CCAAATACACACGAAAAGTACTGCAATAATAAAGTAACGTATATAATTTTTCAACCAATTACATGATTCGTTTGTTTAAGTTTGTAAAAATTATTTTATGATGTAATGTATTTAAATTTGCTTTCAGAAATTACGAAATACTATTTTGGAGAAAACAACATAAAAACAGGTTTATTTTTCAAATTTTTTAACTATATATCAATGTTTTAATTAATTTTTAAAACACATTTCAATTTTAAAATTTAATCTTTTACGAAAATTACAAAGCCCACAAAGGAAAATGGTCCACTAGAAGGCTAATGAAAGCAAAATGCTAATATTTAATGAGTCATCCAATTTATTATTATTTTTTAATTACAAATTTTTTATTAAAAATAATCATATTTGAGTTAAATACATTTATTATAAATAATAATTAAAAAATATCTAACATAACTGTATTTATTAAGGTTCAAATTAAAATTTAAAAATTAAACTAAACCAACTCCTACCCATTCATCCATGTTTTTTATGGTCTAATTCGTTTCTGATTTTATTTGACTAAATATAATTTTTAATAGAATTTGATTTAAAAATGAGACCATGAATCTGTGTTATATTTTTAGATGTTCTACTGTAGTTTAGATGTCTTTTATTTTTTTTTAAATATATATATATATAATTTTTTAAATCATTATGTGTTATAAAAAAAACTTTAAATTTAATAAATAACATTTTATATACTTTAATATTATATTTATATGATTTATTTTAAAATATATCAAAAATTGATTTTATTCTTTACTATTTTTATAATATAATTATAAATAATGTTAAGATGGATATTTCTGTCAAGAAATTAAAATAACCTAATAAGATTTTATATATTGTTAAATTTAATTAAATCGATATTCCATCTAAATAAATAAATTTATCAAACTTTTAAATCAAATAAAAGTACAGATACCCCTACCTGAATAGTTAGTAGATGGATATATTGCAAATGAATGCTCATTCTTTTTACCAAGTTGTACTGCACGTGTAGTAGGTGCGATTCCGTGATGACGTGATTAGTTTTCTTTTTTTTAAAATAATTGCATTATTTCCTGTTTTTTATGTAATAATTTTTACACATGAAAAAATAAAAAAGAGAAAGGAAAAGCATATAATAAGAAGAACAGGATTGTTTGGTGTGATATGAAGAGAGGGAAAGAATATAAGTATGATAAAATATAAAAATATAGTTTAAGTGTTTTTGAAAAAAAATAGAATTCTAAAATGAACGATATAAATAAAAATAAAATGTTAATCAATATATTTAAGTTACTGATTAAAGAATTTAAAATGTATTTTTAATAGAAACATAAATATATATTTATTTTTGTAAAATTTAATATAATTTTAAATAAATAAATTATTTATTAATTCTCTAATTAATGTGTATAAAATACATATTATCCATAAATTAACTCTTTTTTTTCCGTCATTTACGTATGTTATCTCTCGTTGGTCGTGGAATTTCCCAAATTCTAATTTGTATTTTTCTTGAGTCAAATCGCATCAGCCACACACGATTATGTGGCAAGCGACACAAAACACGAGGCAACTGTCGCTTAAACTTGTGCACGATTATAGTTTTACTTCAGCTATGTAAATACATAATCTCGTAATTTCATCATGCGTTGTGTAGAAAAAATGTTATTTTAATATTATTTTAAATGGTTAAATTAATAATAACTTTCTAAATAATCATTATTTTAACTTGTATGTTATTTGATAACGAAATAAGTGTTTAATGTTGAATTGTTTATGTTCCAGAAGGAATTTATGGATTATTTATCTGTGAATTAATATTAATTAAATGTTTAAAATAAACTCTTTGAATTAATAAATATATATAGGTTATTAATTTAATCATAGTATTTATCTATTTGATGGAATTGGAATTGGGCATTTTCGTTCAGAGCTATTTACCCTTGCTTTAAATTAGTTATATAGCTAATAAATAATCCTCATTATATTTGTATTATATTAGTTTAAAAATTATAATATTACATCTATGCGTGTTTCCCCTATAAATAAAAAACATATATCAAAGTCAAATACATAAAAATCTAAAACTACTTTTCCTACATATTTTTTTTTAATCTTTGTTCAAATAATATAGTAAGTCTAATAGCACAAATTATGAACAATAATTAATTTTAACTCCGTTAAATTTAGAAATATCTTATGATGTTTGGCTTTGAAAAGAATATATTTAAGCATTAGTTTTTAAAATAAAATAACATATAATATTAACAAAGCAATACATTTATTTTGACTATGATAAAAAAAATGAATGTACATTAAAAAAAAATGTCATGCAACTCTAGCATTTATAAATTCACAATAAGAGTCCAATGAAAAAGGTAAAAACTAAAGTAATTTATTCAGTTAAAACAATTGTTGGGTGAGAGAATAAAAGTATTTAACTTAACACAAAGATTAATTATTTCATTAACATTAGTTTTAAACTAATTTTAAATAATTAAAATTGATAAATTTTATTGAAAATAGTTATTATGTTAAAAATATAAAATTATAATAAATATTTTTTATTAAAATTTATTAAGCAAATATAAACCTTAAAAATAACAAAAAAAAAAAGAAAAAGAAGAAGACAATTTAGTGTAAATTTACACATTGAATTGAAATTAATAATGACTATTTTTTTTTTTCGCTTAGCTGTGTTGGCAGGGCCAATAAAGCTTAAAATATAGTTAGTTAGTTGTGTTCTTTAAATATGTTATCAGATGTTTAATTCGTGATTTTATATTAAAAATTATGTTATTTATTGATATTAGGTGTTAAATTTAAATATTTGTTTGTTTTTTAAAATATAAGATTTATTAATCTAATTATTGAATCATGAAAAAATTATCTTTTTATATATATATATATATATATATATATATATAATGTGATACATTTTGGTTTATTTGTTATTTTTATAAAATAATACCGTGACATTAAAAAACTTGATAACAATATTTTGAAAGAACTCTACATATTTTAAGATAAAATAATATGCATCTACACATGGGATTTATCTAATAAAAAGGGAATTTTTATATAAAAAAAATGTTCAAAGTAATTTACAGAGGAGCTTTCATGAAATATAACTTTCCTTCCTTAGAATGTTTTCCAAAATAGGGTAAGACTTGGATAAACTTCACATAACTTTGAATCTGGACAGTTGAATTATGGAATAAATAGAAATTTCTTTCAAATACCATTCATTTCTATGTTCCCATATAAACCACATGATTACTCAAGATAGGAAACTCCAATCCTCAACAGAGGAGCTTTAAATAAGCCTAAAATATAATCATCTGACCAACTACTCATTCTCATACTAATAAAATCAGATGAATTGATTTTGATTCGCATCAATTTCATTCATTTTTCGCTAGATTGCGGGTGCATAATAATCTTTGGAGAATTTTATTAAATTAAATAAAATATTACTATTTTAAATGTTTAAATTCAATTATTGAAGTTAACAAAATTATTAAATATTGAAGTCTCTAGTTGTACCCCTTCTCTAGTTGTGATTCTTCAGGGCAATATTTAGTTGGATTATATGAGAAGCTTGAAGTGCATTTCACAGTTAAAAGGTGAGTTTTGGGTCCTCTTAATGAATTTTCAGCTGATTAGAATATCCTTGTGAAGATGGATTCGAAGGTAGCTATGAATCTAGTACAGGAAATTTGTCCTCAATGTCACCATTGCCAATTAATTGTAAAAGGGATTAGAGCGTGAGGGTGATATTAAAGTCTTGTGTATTTCTCATGTTTATTGAGAAGCAAAATGTAGTGCAGATATGTTGGCAACTCTAAATTTAGCCCACGGTTTAGAATTTAGTCTTCAACGGTTATCTAATCTATCTCCCCTTCTTCTCCCTGTTTCAAGGGAAAAGGCTCATCCAGTTAATCCTTCTGGCTTCTAGGCTAATTATGCAGTTTGTCTGATTTATTATAATAGCAATAACAACAACAATAATAATAAAAATTATAAATTTAAATTTAATCAATTTTACCTAATTAATTTTAAAATTAAGTGATTTTATAAACATTTCATATAAGTTTACAATTTTATTTTTGATCGTTCATATGTAATAGTTGGAATTTTCTTTTAAATTTATATAATTTAATAATTATTTTTTATATTTTTAAATAATAAATTTAATATTTTAATTGATATAAATTTTAAAAATAAAAGAATTATTAAAAATACTAATATATAAGAAATTATTTGAAGAAACGAAGAAAGATAATAAAGCGTCTGTCTAATTAGGAGCCCACGTGTACATCCGGAGAATGCTTCCTTCACACGCTAAGCCGGTTACCAGTCAAATATCCGCGTCAACCAGCACTGGGCCCTTTAGCGGTCCTCTTTTGCAGTAAATGCTATCAACGTCGTGTTGCCATTCTTCGTACGCTCCGTAACTGACAAGTGCCGGTCATCCCAAGGCGGAAATTGGGAAACTCCCCACTCCTCCCTACCTGTTGTACAAATTCCCAACCCAATCAAAGCAAGCTCCTTTCTTTTCACACAACAACGACCCTAATTTTGTTAACTCAGATCTTATTTTGCAGGACTTCCAATAATAGCAACAATATTTAGCCACTAAATACTCTTTTTCTTTGTGTCTTTCATCTTTTTCTTAGTGAATCTTTCGAAAATATATTAACATTAATTTTTCTTGAATAAATAAATAAAATTAATTATTCTAATGTGTGTTCATTAAACATTAAACAAAATTTAGATATTATATAGAGGGTCTTTTACAAGTTTGGTTAGTGCATTTTGTAAAATTAAAAATATATAATAGTACTAGTTAAATTAAAGAAACATTCAATGCTTTTAAATAATCATATTAATTAATTAGAAACAAAAACTGAAATAAATTTAATTTTTCAATAAAAAATTAATACAAGTTATGATATACTCGTTAAGAAATCTCAGAATTTGAATCCATGACAGCACACCCTAATCCCCAAACTATCCCTTTCTCTCTTTTCTCTCTCTCTCTCATCCTTTCTATCTCCTCTTTCTATATCTTTTGTAATAATAACAAGTGGAAGAATTAAGAGGCACACTTCCTTTTTGTGTTCAGAGCACAAAAGCAAGATCTCTCTTTCTCTCTCTCCAAAATAAAAAATGAGGAATATGTGCCATGCTTTGTGTTGATATATAGCACAAACAACCCATGAAAATCAATGGAGGAGGAGAAAAGAGAAGAGGAAGCACACCCCAACAACTCATCATCCACCACCATGGCATTTTCCGACGAGATTCCGAACAACTTGAGTTACCCTTTTCAACCAACATCATCCACCATCTTTGACATCATTCCATCTTCTTCCTGCGACCAAAAAGCTTCGTCTTTTGGCTTCATGGACTTGTTGGGTGTCCACGATTACAACGCTCCTTTATTCGATTGGCTTCCCGCCGCCCCCTCATCCCCCACCGTCACCGTCAACCCTGACTCCTCCGAGGTGCTGAACATCCCGGCATCTCCCAATTCGTCTTCGATTTCTTCGTCTTCGAATGAAGCCACAATCCACAACACCAACCAACAGCAGAGTGGTAAACCACAGAATGAACACGAAGAAGCAGAAGCAGAGGAAGACGGTGGTAATGGAGCTAGAAGAGAGGACCAAGATCAAGACAAGACTAAGAAACAGTAAGTATTAAGTAAAACTAATAATTATTTAATGCCCCTCTTTTTCTTTTCCCCATTTTTATTTATTATTTTCTGTCTCTGCTATTTATTGCATTTTTAACAAAGTGAAAAGAGGAAAGGAATACATAAAGTCAGTAACAGTTGCAGACATTTCAGGGAAATTCATGAGGCAGTTTCTGTTTCTGATCATTGATCTTAAAATAGCCTCTTCAGTCCTGCACTTGTTAACAGTATCATCTCATTTGACTCTGTTTTTTCCAATTCCCTATTATCTGCGAGGAGGAATTAAGCATCGCTAATTAATTAATCAGATTTTCTAATACGCGTTCAATGGCTAACATTATTCACGTATTAAATTTCATAATATTAATTTTTAATAAAAAAATATTATATTTTTAAAGTGTGTGTTTGAACACGAACACGCATTAAGAACTTGGTAATTAATTATGCACAAATTGTACAATAATTAAACAGGCTGAAACCGAAGAAGAAGAACCAAAAGAAGCAAAGAGAACCGAGATTTGCTTTCATGACAAAGAGCGAGGTGGATCACTTAGACGATGGTTATAGGTGGCGAAAGTACGGGCAAAAAGCTGTGAAAAACAGCCCTTATCCCAGGTAGTATATTACTGTCATTTCACTTCTCATTCTCATTCTCAAATTTCACCCTTCATTCTCTCTCTATACATCGCTCTCTTCCCTTGTCCCTAGTGAACAGTGTAATTGACAAAGTAGCAGTGTAGTTTCCCGTTAAGTTATTTCTATCTTAGGGGAATTAACTTCAATTTTCTTGCGGGACACGCAATTGGATGTCTCTTTCCACTTTCACAGGAGCTACTACCGTTGCACCACCGCGGGTTGCGGCGTTAAGAAGCGCGTGGAGCGTTCCTCCGATGACCCTTCCGTCGTGGTAACCACCTACGAGGGCCAACACACCCACCCGTGCCCTGCCACGTCACGGGCTAGCCTCGGCTTCATGCACGAACCGGGTGGGTTCGGACCCACCGGTTTGGTTGGTGGCGGTTCTCTTGGGTCCCCACACTTTGTGCTGCCACATCAGCATCAGTTTCATCAGCAGCAGAACGTCTCACAAGCATCGGCTTTGATATATAACTCCACCCCTCCTTTGAGTGTTGTTAGCTCCAACAGTAACTACATGAACACGACGTCGTTTGGTGGCTTTGGTGGTTTTGGGCCTGTTCATGAGGCTTTGTTAAGGGATAATGGGCTGCTTCAGGACATTATTGTGCCAACGCAGGTGAGGAAGGAGGAAAGGGATTGATTGAATCGTGAGTGAGTGAGAAATTAATATTGGTATTCATATTATATTGAGTTGGGAAAATTGATGATATTCTAATTGTTGTTAATTATTTTTATTATGTATCTGTATTGGCTGCAGCTTGGTATGTGGCATGTATGTAATGCTCTCTAACTCATTTGATGCCATCTCTCGCTGCCTCTGAGGGGTTTTCTGTTTTAGAGGTTACTGTAGAGAAACCCACCTCAGCTAGATTTCAGTGAGTTCATATGAAACCTTTTGGAGGTTCACTTTTAAATGACTATTGCCCTTGTAGAGGGGCCTCAGGTTCTGATTTTGTTAATTTCATTTTTTTTTCATTTCCTTTATATATGGGCTATTCTTTGTATCTAGAGATTTATTCGAATTTTTTTTAAAAATTTCTTCATATTTTTTTTTCTAATGTCATCTCTTCTTTGTTCTTTGGTTAATTTGTTTGAGATGATTATAATTAACGTAGAAAAAGCAATGTTTTTTGGGTCATGCCATTAGGGTTTTCCCTTATTTTGTGAATTAATGTAGTAGTTCTAGAGCCAGTTGACCTTCCCGCTCCGATACACGTGCAGATATATGAGGGATGTCAAGGGTGTATGCTAGGAATTTGATCCTCCAGCTTTTGATTAACGATGGCGTTCAGAACTGACTAAAGAGACACGAGAGAAGGTTATGAAATAAAGTTGATCAAAACTATGCATATGATGTAAGATTCTTATAAATTGGCCCATAACTTAAAAACAATGCATGAGGGTGCGGAAAAAGTCGAAACATTATTACTTGAGCAGTACCATTTAGCTTTTTGTACGGTGGCTTTTATCATCACTTTTGCAAAGATGGACTTGAGGCATTCAATGATGATTTGTGTTTCCTGGGACGGAAATAACTAGAGTATGGATCATTTCTTGTTGATAGCTAAAGATGGATGATGTAAGTAAGACATGTTGGTGTCAGTGCCAAAGATACATATGGTACTTATGCTCTAGCAAAGAAGTTGTAATCGTAGCTGAAGCCATTCTCCTAATCAACACCACATCCCCACCTCCAATATCTAATTTCGTGCACCACCTTTTTTTTTTATGGGTCGAATCTTTCGTGCACTTTAACTTTCAAGGTCACTTCTCACGGACTCATTGGATTTGTATTTAGCCAAGCCAAGAACCTAGGGATGAGCAAGCTAACTAGTTTTCTTACACTCTACTACTTCCCATGAGACAGGTATATAGACTGCTACAAATAACAGGTATAAAAGGAGATATGCGAATTTAATTTAAGATGAAGAGATATAATTTTAAGATTAGTTTTTACCCACTTTTGGGTATAATTTATACTTAAAAATGTAAAAGTGTGGCAGCAAATAACCTATAAAATGTGAGTTAAGATAATAGAATGAAAATACATGAAGAAATTCATACAAACTTTTTATAAAACATTTTTAATGAAAAAGAGAAATTAAAAAATGAAGAGAAAGACGCATGGAAGAACATAATTGATATAATAGAAAGAGGTAGAGAAAATAAAAAGAATATTATAGAAGTAGTTGTATAATACTGTAGGAATATCCTTACTCGTGAAAATAAAATTTTGTTCGATTTGATCCATTCTCATGAGGTCTTGCACTCTTGCTTGTAAAAGATTAACCTGACTCAATAGTTAAAAAAAATATCATAATTAATCGTTATAATGATTGCTAATTTTTAATATATCATTATTAATTTCATGTATTGATTAGTTTTAAAATTTTCAGACGTGTATTTGTTTCTAACATAAATTATTTAAATGAGCTTATAAAATTAAAAATTTTAAACTTTAATTGCAAGAACATAAGTTGATTAAATTCATAATTTATCGATTTGATTGTTTGACCTGTTACACTTTACTGATGAACTGGCGAAATGAGTTAGACAAGCCAAATACATATATACCCCTCCTTGTAGACTAAAGAAATTTGAGCAATTTCCCCTTTAAAAGAGAGCAGATTTTATTAATCTCTTTTTCTATATAACAAATAATATATATTTTTTGTCATAAAAGTTTAGTACACAGGTGTAACAGTAATGCTTAGCGGCGTGACTAAATGGAATTATACTATCAATTCAATAAAATAAAAATGAATAATTGTCGCTGGTTCAAATGTTAACGGACTTTCTGCAAAAAGAAAAGAAAAGAACCAAACCCAAATAAAAAAAGAAAACATTGCCGTTGGTTTTAGAGTGTTGTTATTTTTTAGGACAGAGAGGGTTTCTCATGTTCATCAGTTGGCAAGGAATGCTATTCCCCTTGGGTCACTAGCTTTGTGTTGGATGTTTTATTCCAAGTAAGAACAATATTTATTCATCTCATTTATAGTTAATATGGTCCCATTTTTTGTTGTTGACATATAGTCAATATTTTAATTATGATTATGGTAATGTAATTGGATATGGCAAGATGGGGTTACCATTAGATCATATGATGCGATTGGCATTTTAAAACACTGATATGAATACTACTTTCTTTTTATCTCGAGTTTAATTTTCAAAATATTAAAGTTGAATTTTATAATTTTTCGAAAATAAACAAGATTTTCGCACATTAACAGAAATGGAATTATTTTGTAGAAAAAAAGTGCAAAGATAGAAATAAAATGAATACGATGAATGAGTGGGTAATAATTTAGCTACACTGCAGCATCCAAAGCACATACGCAAGGAATCAATAATTTAAGAGGCATGCATGTCTTAAATTATGGAGTTATGATTTGAATCTAAGTCATAACAAAGCTGTGAAATTGTTATGGGTATATGGAGAAATTAAAGGCATTGGGAAAAGGCTACGTTCTCGAGACAAGCTGGAACTGAGGAGGACGGAGATATGGGTTTGAAAATTGAGTTAAAAGATAAGGTTTTGTTTAAAGTTATACATCAAATCCTCTCTCTTTTTCTCTTTCTATATATACCCCATTCATATTTAGAAAGTTGGATTGATAAGACAGTTGATATATAGCAATACCTTAAAGCATTACACGTACAGTACCCTCTAAAAAGGAGTGAAGTTTAGTGGAAAGCAAAACTATGAATTATCGGTTCTATGATTGCTTCCTACTTGGCATGCAAGTTCAGCCCCTGAAGTATGAACACAGGCACAACAACAATAGATACAATCAATAAATTTTAAAAAGAAAAAGAGGGATATATAAAAGATTAATATATAGTTTAATGAAATTTTCACGCAATTTTTCCACCATGGTGCAGCCTGCAAGTGAATATTCTGTGCTTGGAATGACGAAGAATTTGTTTGTTTTTAATACTAAGTGAGACGAATAAATGGTCATTTGGGGTGTGACTTTTCTAGTATTCTCAAAACTTTCCAGCCATTATAAGCTTTATGCTGTCTAATTGAAAATCACCAACCATAAAATTGTTTCTTATGTAATCCAACTGTTGAAGTGCCAATTAGTTTTAAGCTTAAAGAAATCGAATCTAGAAAGGATAAGATGTCCAGTCATTTATTTGTATACAACCCAAATGATAAGTTAAAAAATTATGTATTTTTTAAAAAATGTATACATAATTAATTCAAGAACAATACAAAAGGTAAGTTAATAATAAGAAGTTCATAATTCATTTTAAAAGTTTTAAATTATAAATTAAAATAAAATAACATGTGTGGCAATTTTAAAAGAACGTGTGTTAATTTAACATATAAAAGAGTTGATATATAGAGCTCATTCGTCTGTCAATGAATCTTGATCATTAAATTTTTTTTAAAATAGTCAAAATTAAGAATAGTTAAACATGTAACACAAGAGTTGCCTCTTAATTTAATAATTATTATTCTTGGCCATATATATCTAATAGTTAGAAATGGGTCCTTTTATATCCTCGTGTTCATGTATAAATATATAAATGCAGGCAACCTTATCCGTAATTAAATTAGAGAGCAATTCAGATAAGTTTCGAAAATAGTGGAAATATCGTTAGGTAATTCCTTCAACAATTTCTTTATTCTTTACTTGCTTTGCAAGTTTAAGAATATGTCGGACAAAAGCATGTGTTAGAAATGTGCCAATGTTATATGCCCAAGATGTTAACTTATTGATGGAAATCTCTTCAACTTTTCAAGCCACATAGTCACTTTATATATAATTATCATTCTGAAGCAATTTAAAAAGCCAGAGAAAAAGTTACCATCGGTTAGTAGAAAACAGAAATTAGACAACGATGGATGATTCTGATATAATGCTGCCAAACACTCTTTTGGACGTTCGCAATTATTAATCTACTATAGGCTAACATCTATTTATGATCTATAAATTTTGTTTAAAGCATAATAAGAGTGATTGAAGTACTAACTACGTGTTTAAGTTATATCACTATCTAGAGAAGATATTTTAGAATATGTAAGGATTTACTAGTCAGAGAAGCTACAAGAAGATATATAGAGAATAATCTTATCAATATCTTTGTTGTTTGAATTGTGGGTATTTTCGATCGATAATTAGAGAATAATATTTTCTATTTAAAAATTATTAAAGTGAATTTTATTTAATAAGATTTTTTTATACATTATAAAATCTTATATTAACTAAAAATGATGATAATATTTTCCATAAGGCTTCAAAACTTATTTAACCTTAATAATAATATTAAGTTTCTCAACAAATTTTATGTATTAAATATCTGATTTTTACAGTAAATTAGATCCAATTTATTTGTAATATATGGTCATGAATCAAATCTTAGTAAGCAAAATTAGAAATAATTTAAAGATCGTATATATAATTCAGGTATATATATACTCTTTACTTCTAGCTCCTAATCTTTGTTACGTGGTGGAATGTCAAGAACTTCTGTGCCTATTTTGTTAATTTGATTAAATGGAGTGGTTTTGTGTTAGCTATGATGAGTTCATAAGGATATGGGTGTGGATGGAACGAGAAAAAGGAATGACATGATTATATTTTTCTTTAAATTGCGAGAATATAAAAGATCTCTACACAATGAATATGGAATAATTAAATTGTTAGATAAGGACCTCATTTAAAGATATTTTATATTGTTTTTGAAGAATGGTGGAAAAATTTTTGAATCTTATATTTCTCTCAAGATATCTATCACTTCCTCCTTTCCTTGTATGTGCAGAATATTGCTCAAGTTGATTTGACGCCATTGACTGCATCGTTTCCGTGGGAAGCTTCTCTGTTATGACTGAATTCCTTATCTCATGTTGTTATGAAATGTGGAAATCCATTACAGGAAAAAGTACCCATTTTTTGTTTACATGCCAAAAGTGATATTTTGGCTGCTGAAAATGGCACCCCTTATGACGTGGGTGACCTCAACTTTGAATCTATGATGTGTATATATATATATATATATATATAATATATATATATATCCTACTTGAACTGAGAACTAAGTCATATAGTGGCTGCTGTTATCTCTTCCTTTCTCAGAAGAACTCAAGTTTGTTTAGATCTATGCAAAGTGATCAAACAGAATGAAATGGAACAAGGAACTCATTGTTTTACTACATTTCACTTTACCATATATGTAAAGATGAGTCCTACCAATACATTTCTTTAATACACTCTCACTTATTAGCTGAAATTTATCAGAAATTGTATAAGTAATAATTATAAAATTTAGAGTAAGACTGTATATTATTGATTTGGTGTTATTTCTCGATATCTAAACAAGAGAATAAAAGTTTTCCTATGTTGCCTTTGTTTCACCCAAAACCGGATATCCAAGAATAGCCTTAGATTGAGTCTGTGATTATTGCAAAAGGTAAATACTTTGCTGACACTTATTATTCCTGGTGAGGAGAAGGAAACCAAAAGGGAATACAAAGGCACATGGGATTAGGCAACCTCACTCCCTAGGCTACATTTTCATGTCTGCTTTATCAGTTTAAGACAGTTCTTTATCTGTACGAGTTTGTTTTATAGCTCTTCTGCATTAGTCATCAAGGGTATTATATGTTGTGACTTTTTCAGGGTATTGAACATTCTGTTTTGCTGCATGACACAAACACATACGACTTTGTTGGTATATAGAAGAAAAGCTTCTTCTAAGTGGGGGCCAGAACAAATTAGAATAAAAATTTAAACATGTAGTTGTTCTCTCTAGTAGAGATGCTTTATTAGTGAGAACTATGCAGACATTTTAATAGGTGTGTACAATTTTTTTCTCATTTATAGGGTAGTAGTACCTATACAGAATTTCTAGATTTCATTGCAGCACCATCAATTGTATTGTTGAAGGAATTCCTTTATCACAAATTGAGCTGGTAGCAAAAACTACAGAAATTAAATGGTTAACTTAATACATGTAAGAGATTTCGGCACTATGTTTAAACCAAGTTATGAAAGTACAGGTATCCTAAATAATTATTGATCAATATTTAAATAAGTGTGCAATTGAGTTGAAATACAAAAGGAATATAACATTTGTATTCTATTTTTCAATTGAGTGAGAGATATGAAATGCTGGTATCCTGAAAAAATGAAAAGATAATCGATAAACCTCTCCCTATTCACAATTGAAGCGAAACTTACATTCCATGATTGATCCGTGTAGGATTTTCTTGCTATATGCATATGTATGATGTCAGTTCGACTCAAAATAAAAACCACCATCCTGCATGTGAGCATTGGATTAAAAGTTCTGTTCCACAGCTATTAAAATTGTGCAACAACTTTGTGCCCCCTTAAGCACTGTCATTCCTTAAACTGTATTATTTGAGTATAAATCAATATTTTCTTAATTATTAAATTTTATAAGACACGAGGAAGATAAAGTTGTGATTTGCATGGGACAAGATTTGAATATTCGTTAAGTTATCAACCAAGGACTTGACACAAATTCTTTTTAAGCATATACTAAGTTGTTCATTATTAATTTAGGTTGATTTGGATCATGCTTCGAAAGCTGAGAAAAATCAATCTAATCAATTTCAACTAGTTACATTTTATCAAGATAAAATATTTTTTTCCTTCAATCCTGACAAGTAAATAACTTTAATTGTGATTATTACAGTGAACTTGTATATGAAAGTCACTATACATTTTGATCTAAAAAAATAATTTCCTTAAATAAAAGATTTTAAGTATAAGAGAATGGCAAAAAAAAAAAAAAAAACTCTATATATAAATAATTTTATACGATTAGTTTTAGATTAATTAAAATATCTAAATCAACACTCATCATGACTTAAATTGAAATGTGATTCAACTTAAACTTAAAATTTAAAATTTTACATGACTCAATTTAAGTAAAGCCCTTGTTGTATGAACTTGTAGAGAAGTTTTTTATATAAAAAAAAAACAAAATTAGTATAAAAAAGACTTCTTTCATAAGTTAAAAATAATTTATTTTTTAAATGTTAAAGAAATTAAATAAAATAATTTTCAATACTTTTAAAAAAATAAAGTATAAATTGTTTTTACTTATAAAATTTTTTATTAATTTTTGTATTAATTTTTCTTCTTTATAAGAACTTCTTAATAAATTTATTTAAATAGGACCTAACTTGAATTTGGAAAAAAATCTAAATAAAAATTTAAAAGTCTAGAGTCTATATATATATATATATATATATATATATATATATATATATATATAAAAGGAGAATTCTTGAATATATCATAAAATTCCATAGAAGAAAAATATTTATATATATATATATATATATATATATAAGGAGAATTCTTGAATATATCATAAAATTCCATAGAAGAAAAATATTACTACTTACCACTACTCATCAATCATCGTAAAAGAAATTTAATAATTTATAGCAAATATAAATAAGAAAACATAAATATCAACTTGTGAAACAACTTAACTGATTTGAGTTGACTGATTGAGTTAGAATCATAATCATTAAATGATTTGATCGAGATACCAAATCAATAAGTCACTAATTTAACTGGAATGTCAATGATCAATTTTTATAAAATGAAGTTATATAATTATTTCATGTGCATAAAATTTTGGGTTTTGTGTTTGTATTGGGTTCAAGGTGCGAAAAAGAGAGGAAACAAGGTCGAAAATAGAAATCTTTTTTGTGTATATTTTGCTAAGTTAAAAATAAATAGCCTCAGTGGCCCTACAAGCTCAACTTGTGGTTTAGGAAATGAAATTCATAAGCTGAAAAGCCTCAATGCCCAACAAGCTCAAGCCCAAAATACCACGTCACAAGAAAAGAGACCGCAATCATTGTACAAAAAAGGACTAGTGGCGTAAACACAAAAATAAAACGGGTGGCTTGAAATCTAAAGATATTGGGCTTGATAGCCGGTCAGCCCAATACCGTAATCCGTGTTCTAATGACAAAAATAAGGTCATTGAAGTCCTAACACCAATACCACAAGTCCACAACCTAGTATTTCTCATTTGTCAATCATTGAAGAAGAGTAGTGGTAATATAGAGAAGAATTCACATAATTTTTATAATTTCTAATAATTCACATAATCGCGATTTTTATCACAATCTCTGCTAATGTCTTAATTTGTATCTGAGCTTCGTTGTTATGCGCGCGTGTGATAATAGCGCCGGCAGCAGCAACTGCCATAACTGTTTTTTATTTTTCTGTTTCTAGTTTTTTTGGTTAGTTACTAACATAACTAACAGATTAGTTAGGTTAGTTCGTTCAAACTTCTCTACGGTTAATCGTTATGCAGCTGTGGTTGAGCCATTGTACTTATCATTACATAACAAGGACATTATTATTTTTATGATATTTTATAATCTTATATGATTTTAATTTGAAAATATTAATCATTATATGAAAAGGAATGGCGAGTACAGTGAAGTAGATGAGTGAAGTGGTTGAGTTTTTTATTTCCAATTCCAAATGCATAGAAGATAGAGAGTTGAGGGTGACGTGAGTGAATGGATGTATATTCTAACTGGCTAGAGTTTTATTGTTTGAAACACAAATTGAAATAGAAATGGATCAACGTAACCAAGCACCGTAGAAAGCGCCGATGAGGAAAGCACAGCGAGGTTCAACAGAGGCTTGCACAACCTGATCATCAGTGAGAGTGCTTCCATTCCAATTGCTCATAATCACATTCCAACTCATACTAATTCCAAAGTATCCAAGGCTTCTTTCCACAATACTCTCCATCGAAGCATTTCCCACTTTATTACCCAAAATGGACCTCACGTCCACGGGATTTCTTCTCATACGCAACCTGTGCCGCGATAGCCCCAACATCCTTCTATCCAAACAGTTCCAGAACCCCACGAAGGTGCACCCTTTGTTCTGGAGAAAATCCCGCAGAACCCTCGGCGCGTTTGGCGCGCGTGAGAGCTGGAATATGAGACACTGCTCACCTATGCAGAGCTGCATTGTGTCCACCGTATAACGTGTGTTTGGGCTCGCACTAAACTGTACACCCAGACCCACCACGGCGATGCCGTCGTTGATGATATGCTTGTACAGTTGGACGATAGAAGTCACCCACCTATGCACCACCGAAGGACTTGCCGTGACGGTGACCACGAACGGGTCTCTTTCTATGTTGAAGTCGTAGACGAGAAGGTCGTCTCTCTGGTGCCGGCGCGTGAACGTGATTGACATTATTCTTTTCTATTTGTTTGATTTTGCTGTGGTTGTGCGCTTTGTATCTACGCCTGACAGTTATGTTATGCGTGTATTAAAACAATACGAGCATATCCCTAACTGTTTTATTGCTACGATCTTGTTATAGTTAGTTACTAACAACTAATAGAGAAGAGAGCGCTTGCAGTAAATGGCAATGGCAATACCTCTATTCATCGTAGGATTTTTAAAAGAATACGTCTAATTATATAATTATTAATTATCGTCATTATTGTTACCGTACTCAGACATTACAAAAACTAAATAAAAGGAATCACAATATTTTTAAACATAAAATACTACACAATTGTATGAATTATTTTAAAATAATCTTAATTTTTGTTGAGAAAATAGAAAATTAAAATTTATTTATATTATGAATTTTTTTATATATTATAAATAATATTGTTTTAACGAAACTCCTTAGATCCACATGATTATTCCTCGTTTATTTATCATGTATTTTTTACTGTAGAATTTGGAAAAGGAGGCATTACTAACTGCATTTATTTTCTAGAAAATAAAATGCATGTTATTCACTTCAAGATTTCAATACTTCAAATTATATAATTGTTTCAAATAATTATTTTAAAAAATACAATAACAAATTAAAATTACCTATCCTATGCATTATTTAATACATACCTATATAATATTAAATTTTTTCTACTAAAATTATTACGTGACATTTTTCTTATCTTTTGATTTCTAAACTCTTCCACTAATAATCATGTTATTTTCTCTTATATTTTTATATTAAAATTATTACTTTATTTATTTATATAATTTTATGATTGTTAACCTATTATATTCTAACTTTTTAGTTTAGTTGTTATTATTAAATATCGTATATTTTCTTAATAATAAAATTGATATGAAGTGAATTGTTATGTACTAAATTAATATTTATTTATTTGTTTGAACATACGTTAGTAAATAAAATTATAGGTAAATTTTTAATTGCTATGAAATTTATAAATGATAAACTATTTTTATAAAACAAATTAAAATAACATGTGTTACTTTTTTTTTGGGATTTCAGTTTTTTTTAATATTGTATTTTGATCTTATGGTTTTAAAAAAATTTCAATTAATGTCAAGTAATATAGTTTTTTAAAATTGAATGTTTTAAAAATAATTTTACCTAAAGAATATAATTTTTCTTTTTGTTTTGAGGACTACTTTTGATTTAAACAAAAGAAAAAGTAAGCGGTTGTATTTTTATTTTATTTTTCTATTAAAGAGTTTGTCAAATCATTTAATATATTAGTTATAGATAATTGTTATATGTTATAATTCAATAATGTAAGAAGTTAAAAACTTGAATTGTGAGTATATACGTTTGAGGAGAGCAACCAGAAAGTTGAGCAGTCAACTTCATATCAGAAAGAAGAGCTTGCTCCAGATAAGAAACAGCATACAAGAAAAGCTCATAAGAAAGCTGATGGTGATTATGCGTTCGGATATTTTTTAATTTGTGTAGCATGCATGCACTAAAGACGGAAGTGAATTTGAGCAATTGACGTCTACAAACCTTCAGCATGTTATTGTCACACTCCATTGATGAACTAGGATTTTCAGACCCATCTCTGAGCTTAAGATCAACGATCTATCTGAGACATAGTTATGTACTAAAGGGAATGAGTTACTTAATTACAACTTGTAAATTAAGCTTAAAACGTGAAGACAAATATAGTAAAATAGAATTAGTGAATATACCTGAATTGCCAAGCCTGCAACAAATTGCCAATGAGGTAAGCGCAGCGAGCTTCGGCAGCGACTTGGAAAATCTGTGCAAAGGTGAGAAGGGGTCTATTCCAATCACTCATAGTAACATTCCGAGTAAGCCTCACTCCAGTGAAACCCAGATATTCCTCAACGATCCTCTCTAGTGGAGCACCGGCGACTTCATTCCTAACCAATCGAACCAAATCCAAAGGATCACTCCTCAATTGCAGCGCGTGCCGCGATTGCGACAGCATCGCTCTATCGTGACGGTTCCAGAACCCCACGAAGGTGAACCCACGGTTCCACAGGAAGTGTCGCAGTTCACTCGGCACGAATTCCGCCCGTGAGATTTGGAAAATCAAACACCGTTGCCCCACGCACAACTGCACCGTGTCTGCTGCTTGTGCGCCGCTGGGACTCCACTGCACGCCGAGACCCACCACGGCCGTGCGGTTGTTGACGGAGACCTGGTTAATATTCATGGTTTCATTCAGCCATCGCCTTGCCACGGTACCGGCCGCCGTGACGGTGACGATGAAGGTGTCTTCGTCAATGTTCACGCGGTAGGTGCCGGAGCGGTTAGTCAGGAACCAGCGGGGGCACGTGATCGTCATTAATTCTTCTCGTTATAGAGTTTTCGTTGTTAGATAATATTATATATATATATATATTAGTTAAGGGTGTTTAGTCTTTATGCTATTATCATCTTTATGTTTGAATTTTTTAGACATCTCATTTTAGCTAATATTTGAAACTTTATTCCTCTTCTTTTCTTCTGCATTTTTCTTCTTTTCTTATTTTTGTGTTATAATGGTATCGAAGGACTTGGTTCATGATTGGAAGTTGTTGTAGTGCCCCCAAATTCTTTTTTATCGATTCTGTTTGCGATCTGACTTAGTTTGATTGTGCCCTATTTGCGCTACCCCAGTTCTGCCGTGTCCTGTTGTGTTCCCCCTGTGACTCCACCGTGCGCAGCTACCCACTAATAATATATGTTCAAAATTATGTTAATCATATCAAAAAGTAGAAAAAAAAATTTGCACACTAGCATTTTACAAGTTTCGCATTTTTATAACTAAATAATTTTATCATGTGTTAAAATTTTATAAGTTTTACATTTTTAATAATAAAACTTATTTAAAAAAATAAAAAATAAAAACTTTGCCAACAGTAATAACAAAACTTAAGTCACGTGACTAAATTTATCCGAGAATTAGTTTTGAAGAAATAATAATTTAATAATTTATTTTAAAAAAGCAATAATTAAATTTAAAAAACCCCTTATCAGTGGCTAAGTCTGTACGGTTCGCGTTATTATTTGTCAGTCACGAGTTAAATGTTTGTAATATTATGAGAACGATATTTTGTAAATTATCTTCTTTTATAAGAGCGAAGCTATTAAATATTAATAAAATATTTGACAAAATTTTAGAAAGTACGCAAGGACAAATGCAAATATAAATTATTTTATTAAACTAAAGATGTTTGTTAAATTCACTGTTAAATCAGTTGAAAAGTATTAAAAAACATTAAAATAAGTTCAAATATGAAGTAATAATTTTAAAAATCCTATCAAAACGTTATTGGCTACTAAAATAATTTTTGAATATAAATAGGTCTAATTTTCATACCCATGTTTGAGTTTATAAAAAATTTAAGTCAACAAGAAGTGAGTAATATATGATAAATTAAAGCATACTCTTTTAACTCGCGATTCTTCTCTCATCTATTGATTTTGCTGTGAGAAGAAAGCAAAGTGTGTCCCATGTGTATTTGCGCTTGGCGGTTATGGCGTAATGGAACACAGCAGCGTGCCTCTAAATGTACTTTGGTTCAGTTTGTATTAGTTTTACTTATTAACAAAACTAAATTATTAGTTAAGTTGTTAGTTTAAACGCTTGCTTTGCCCCAAAATGCCAAAACAATGTTTCATTCTGCCTCACTTGATAATCAAAGTTCAACGTCATCATCTTTTCAAGAACCAACCTAGGAAATTTTTTGGGTAGTCGTCTCGTCCATTTTCATCGCGATATATATTAATATTTTATCGTAGATTATCAAATTTATACACATTTTCTTATCAGACTTACGTATCAATTTGGTTTTTTGAAAAATTAACAAACAAACAAAAGAGGACGTTTCTTTGTGTACGCATGTTATATTTTGAATGGAAAACAAGGGAGTGTAATGCAAAGGCATAAAAGCATAAGCATGAGAAGGGAAGCATATACTGAAGTATAATGGTTGAGATTGTGAAATCTGGGAAACCTAGCCATGAATGTACGATCTTGCATCACCATTGGAATTTTCTTTGTGTTTAAAAGATTTAACTATCTCGCCAAACCTGGGGGAAAATGCCCAGGAGGTAAGCAATGCGAACTTGGATAGACGCATGAAGAACCTGTTCATCGCTGAGAGTCTCAACGCGCCAATCGGTGTACCTGTAGATATCTGTCGTAAACGTCGACGTTTCACCTTCTAGAAATGCCCGCAGCGAAGAATTAAGAATCGGCATTCTCAACACACTCCTCACATTCACGGGATCGCTTCTCATCTGCAACGCCAACGGCGAAAGCGACAACATTCGTCTATGTGAATACTCAGACACAACCACGAAGGTGCACGAACGGTTCTCCAGTAATTTGCGTAGACTGGCCGGCGCGTAATCGGTGCGTGAGATTTGGAAAATGAGGCACTCTTTCCCCACGCAAAGCTCCACTGTCTCCGCTGAACGACGTAATCTGGCGGTCTGAGTCCACTGCACGCCGAGACCCACCACCGCCGTGTTGTTGTTGAATTCACGCTCGTTATTACTGATGACATAATCCACCCACCGTTGCGCGACGGAAGGGGAGGCGGTGACGGTGACGGAGAATGTGTCTCCGCCTACCGTGATGTCGTATATTTGGCAGTCGTTACTCGGGATGCGGCGGTTGTAAGTGAGCGTCGTACTTGAATACTGATACTCTCTTTGATTCATTTTGCTGTGAGAAAAGAATATCTTGGATTTGTGCTAACTGTTTTTCGTTTTCAGTTACAACTTGTATTCGCTAGCTACTCACATGACTAATATATATATATATAATATATTCAGAAACCTATTGCATGAAAATAATAAATTTTAAAGATAAAAAAGAAAGAATGAAACGGAAATCGTAGTTCCTGTTATTCCATACTATTTCGGGTACATTTTTTTGTACTAGAAAGGATTTTCCATATATATTAATTAGGTTAGTTAGTTTAAACGCTTGTCACTGTCAATCATAATGAGAGTTGCAGAACATGAGCTCCTATCTATATGTGAAGTGTGTTCAATGGCAAGTCTGTTATGTTATATAATTGTACTACCCTTACCGAACCCTGTTTGTAGCAAAGCCACGTAACCATATCCCTGATCCGTGGACACACTCTGGCAACAGTCCACGTAACCATATGTGGACATCTTAATTTAGTTTTAAATTAATTAGATATTGAAATATTGAATTATGTTGTTTAACTTATGATATAATTAATTATTATTATTATTATTAAGCTTATTTGTAGTAACTTTATTATTATTAATGCATATGGTTTTATAATTATTGATTTTAGCTTAGCATAATGGGTAGGTTTGACTCATTTTATTAACTAAAGGCTCATGTTTTTAACCATTTTAGATTAATTATTACAAAAAAATTTTTTAAAAAAAGGAGGATAAGAGGAGTTTTCTCTATTTTTTAATTTTTTCTTGCTCATAAATTTAGCAATCTTTTAAGATAATTCTAACACATAATTTTATATAACATATTTGTATATCATTTATCCTATTAAAAATTAGATTACAGTTTTTCTTTAATAATTTAATGATAGTATGTTCTTTGTTTTTCTCTTGCTAGCAAATTGTATTAAAAAATATGGATTTTTCTTTATTATTTTGTTTCATTGTGATACAAAACGGGTGCTTTTCCGGAAATTGAGATATCTGCATTAAAATTTGCCTTAGGATACATGAATATATACATAAGAGATATCATATTTATATAACTTTTTTTATTCTTGATTGTATCACATCTTATTTCATGTTTTTTCTCTTTTAATTTGCTTCGTCAGTCGTCAAGCAACTCTTGTACAATATAATATTTCTTTACTTTTCTGTCCGACTCAATTGAGAAAGTTTCAACATAAGAATCAGAACTCTGTGATTTGAATATTTAAAATTTAATATCTATATAACGTCATATACATTTTAAAAGTATTCCAAAAATAAATTATTTTACAAAAAATTTGATGATTCCATTATGATAGAAAAAAAAAATGACGTGTTGAACTACTCAGCCAAAAATATTCCCAAAAAAAGCCTCACTTTAGACGTACAAAAACATACTCTCCCATTAGCCCTGCTCCTAAGGCAAAATCAAAGTTCTGCTAAATGAATCAAATTCTAGCCCAGTTTAAACTCATTTCTCGAAAAACATTTGTAAGAGAGAATATAAAGAAATAAATTTCTCCTCATAAATTAAAATTAATTTATCTTACTCTTAACTGTTCTTTTTTTTATTTTCTTCTTTTATGAATGCTTATTAAAAAGTTTACTCCAAACTGAGGCACAACTTTTTAAAATTAATAACTGCCTGGAGTTTGCTATGCAGTAGATGAGTCGAAGCAGTGGATTCATACTCCCAGTGCGACTTGCAGGTGACCATAGATACGGTTCAGGGCATTATTCAACTTTTTAATGAGTTAAATATCTGTATTCCTAAATTATAAGAGCAATAATTAGAAAATTATCTTTTTTATGAGAGCAAAACCATTAAGTATAAAAAACAATATTTGACAAAAGGAAAATTAATTACACTTTTAATCCCTCTAATTATACGATGCAATTTTGGTCTTCCCAATTTGCTGAGTCAAATTAATTTCTCTGTTTTTTGTCATAGATATTTTTCCACTTAAAACTCTTAATTTTTTTTATTTATTTTGTAGTCATATTTTTGGGAGATACATAATGAAATTGGGACATGGAATGATTTTAAAGTTTTAGAAATAAAAAATTTAGTAAAACTTTGATCATTTTAAAGTAAAAATTTGTATACATTACGCTTTTCATCAATGTAAATAAATACGGATAGCGATAGTAGTATATTTAATTTAAAACAGTTTTCATAATTAACAAGATTTTGAAAAGATATGGGTTCACTTTTTAGTAAAACTAAATTTCATCAATTAAAAAAATTATTAAAATGTGTTCTTAGATATTATACCTAATAAAGGATGTCCGCTGTATCTTTCCAAAAAAAAAAAAAAAATTATTGTTAAAAATGTTTATGATTATATATCAGGATCCTACATATAACCTTTGTTGGAATTGCGTCAATCCAACTTGGAAGACCCTGAAAAATACCTAACTTTAAGTATTTTGAAGTTTTTCAGTTTTTTGTCAAGAGAGGAAGAACAAAGATAAACATACTTGTCAATGACATCGATTCAAGATCGCGATGTTACCAAAGGCTTGCCCTAGTCAATTAAATACTTCTACTGAACTCTGCGGATTACATTGCCTTTGTTTTAGTTTTCACAATTAAAATATAAAACTCATTTTTTTACCCAAATTAAAAAAATTGCAAAGCGGCGGAACGCAAAGTCATCAACGGTGACGACTGATGAGAAAGGAATGAGATGAATGAAATGAGTGTAGTGTCAGTGACAGTGATTGTGATGAAATGAAATCTCATTGATTCTAGATTTTTACCTAGGTCGCCAAGCCTCTACAGCGTGACCAATGAGATACGCACAACGTGCATTGAGAGAAGCTTGCAGAACCTGATCATCGGTGAGAGTGAACGCACCCCAATTGCTCAAGCTCACCTGTATCCTCGTCCTCACACCACTATACCCCAGGAATGATTCCACGATGGTCTCCACCGAAGCATGAGCTAACTCCTGATTCAACAAGCTTCTCAGATCTATAGGATCGCTGCCCAGTATCAACCCCAGCTGCGACTCCCACAGACTCTGCCTATCGTAGCGGTTCCAGAAGCCAACGAAGGTGCACGTGCCAGGTTCGACTAGGAAATCCCGGAGGAGGAAAGGCGAGCTTGTGGCACGCGAGATTTGGAAGATCAGACACCGGCGACCGATGCAGAGCTGCAACGTGTCCGCGATACGAAGTCCATCGGCGCGTGGAGTCCACTGCACGCCGAGACCAGCGACCAAGGTGCCACTGGAGAGGGCGGCAGCGTTCCGGTTGAGGGTTTTATTCAGCCAACAATCAGCGGTGAAGGGTGAGGCGGTAACGGTGACGGTGAACACGGTTCCGTGTAAGTCGACGTCGTATAAGTGGTGGTCGAAGTGTGGTTGGTGGTTGCAGGGGCAACGTTCGATGGAGTAACTGATCACCATTTTTATCTCCCTCGTCACTGCTAACAGAAAAAACGAAGTAGATGTGGCGGCGGGGTTTTTGTTTGCGCTTAGCAGTTATAGGTACTTGATTTTCTGTTGTAACTGTGGTTTGTTTAGTGCCTGACACAATTTAACTATTTGTTAGGTTGGTTAGTTTAATCGATTGCGTTGACAATTTTTTAAGAGTAGTTAGGAATTTACGAAACAATGAGGTTGGATACTTTTTAAAATTTTTTAAGACAAGATTAATACTTTCTATTTGACATCTTCTACTATTACCAGTATTGCCAAGTCTCGAATTGGCATCTAACGAGGAATGCAGAATGAGCTTGGAGAGAGACGCATGCAAAAACTGATCATCGCTAAGAGTCTCTGCAACGAAGTATTAATCTAAGGCATCTCCAACGCTTTCCGGTGCAGAGGAATGCGCGGTTCAGGTGGCGCGTGCGGTAGAGTCCCCTTCGGGTGACGGTGATGTAGCACTGCTGTGCTTGTTGCGTGTTTCTTGCGTTTTATATCCGCGCTTTGGCGATTACAGGCGGATCGTAATTCGATGCAATCGCCTGTATTCTCCACATAAGGCATACCCACTTTAGCCCAATAGGGGAAACTGGCTGGGACACAGTTTTTAACTGAGATGTTTCTTTATTGATTAAATTTAAGTTTTACTTACTTATAAAGTGATTAAAATATTAAACTCTTTTAATCTGTTAATTCAATTTATTTATAATTTAATTATTCTCATTTTATATTAAATATTTTTGGAAATATTTGCAGTTAAGTAATTTAATATTTAAATAAAAGAATATTTAAGTACATATATCAAGTAACGACATTAAGCAACCATAGTTTTGATTATAACAGTAATGCTATAACAGTATTTTTAATCAAATACTTGATAGTAAATAAGATATAAAAAATAATAAAGTATAAACTAGTATTATCCTAATTACAACTACTTTATTGTTCCTTTTGATAATATTATTCTGTAAATAGAATGCTACTGCGGGTATATACTACTCCTTATCTATTACCAAGGTTTCTCAATTACATTTTATATTTTTAAAGTGTTTTTAATTAAGAGCTGTGTTGAAATTTTAGTATATTATCATTTCACTCTAAATCACAACTGATATATATCTACTTGACAAGCATTATTATTATTCTAAATAAAAATATTAAGACACGTGTACCAAAAACATGTCTACTAAGTGATTTTGGTCTTAAATAATGAAAAAACAATGTTTCAATGTGATAGATAAATTTGTTTAAACTAATTTTATATTTAATATCGATTTGTATAATTACACATTATGAGTTAGCGTATATATTATACCTCTAATTTTTTAATTCAAATGTGTAAAAGAAGAGAAATCATATAAATACAAGTGTAAAAATAAATTAATGTTCACAAACTCATAAAATCATGTTAAATAATGTTTTAATACAAAAAAAGTATAATATTAAAATAAATTTATAATTAAAGAAATTTAACATTAATTCAAACAGACTACTATAAGGTTAATATTCAGATTTTAGGATGTTGATCTAAGTCCTACTACATTGGCGTTAGTACGTGTCTTACCGATTAATTCAAAACTATTTCTTTTTATCAATTAGTATAACAATTATGGTATAGAGTGACAATAAATTGAAATTTTAACATTACTTTTAGTTAAAAACAATTTAGGAAAACCGAAATTAAAGTAATTGAAAATAGTTTCGGGGTGACGATAGACTCTTATGTTTGAGTGAATATTTACAAACTTGAATGTGGATGATTTTGATCACAAATTATTAGTTGTGAATACAAATCAGATTGAAGTAAAACAATTTATATTTTTTATTCTTTTATCATAAGAGTTTAATTTGCCACACTTTTTAAAAAATTGATACATTACATCTCAATTAAACTCTTATCCTAAAAATAAATTTACATTAAAATTTAATATAAAATTTTCAGCGTAATTAAAAACTACCCAATATTTACTTTTACTTAAATTTATTTTAGAAATGAAACCTCATTTAAGAAATGATACTAACATCAAATCAAACATGTTACAAATATACTAAACCATCGCCCATTGTTATAGATAAGTTTGAAGTAAAACAATTTACATATTATATTTTTTTATCATAAGAGTTTAATTTGCCACACTTTTTTAAAATATTGATACATTACATTTTCAATTAAACTCTTATCTTAAAAGTAAATTTACATTAAAATTTAATATAAAAATTTCAACCTAAGATTTTCTTTTACTTAAATTTATTTTAGAAAAAAAACCACATTTAAGACATGACACTAACATAAAATCAAACATGTTACAAATATACTAAACCATCGCCCATTGTTATAGATGAGTACGAGTCATCCCAACACGTGCCTAGACATGCGATGATAACTTTCCCTCGTACTTTCTTTATTAATGCAAATATAAAAGTTGCCACCAAGCATATGGTTAATCATTTTTATTAGCAAAGAGAATAAATAAATGAATAAAAGACACACACCTTATTATTACTTTGGGTGATTATATATGAATCTTTCTTAAATAGTCTAAATCCATTATTTCAAAGTAACATGACATCCCCTCTGTAAAATGGGTAATGATTCCTGATTTATAAAAATAGAAATTAGGAATCTACCGCAGGCACAAAGAATTTTTTTTCTATCTCATTCACAAATTATGCACAATTAAGATGATACACATTTGTCGTATATTTAACATTGATGATTTCTTTCTCATTTCGCACGAAAATATCCATCCTTTCTAAATCCAGAACACATTCTATCATTTTTTAAAATTTTTATTTATTGAAGAAAAATTTACAGATATAAATAGAATAAACATTCATTTTAGTGTAAAATTACAATTATTTTTATACTTTATATTTAAAAAAATAACAATAGAAAATGAAATAAAAATATTTTAAAAATTAAGTATTAGACAATTTTTTTATAAAGTGAGCATTATAATTCGAAGGACTAAAATGTCCTTCAAATTAGATTTTTACTATCTTTCAATAATAAAACAATAAACCAAAGTTATTGATTTTTCTACTCTGAATTTAAAAATATTCGAAACGGCCTGGAAGTAATGAAAGCAGTATTGCAGACCCTAAAAAAAAGGTAAAAGTTGATTTCTTACACTAATTCTGCACTCACATTCTCAAGAAAACTAGTCAGTAGGTACAGAATATGGAAATAGTAACTATACCGTCAAATCACCCTTAATGAAAGACCAGAGTAAACTTTGGAAGCAAAACAAGGTCACGAAAACCCATTTCATCCCATCACCGTCAATACCATTCAACCGGTGAAATTCAAACTAGGCACAGTTGACAGTACTATACTCCATTCTTGCTGCAACCAAGATATCACGAACTATCATAATAACTTCTAAACAAGCATTTTTCGCAAATTAGCATAGAAAGAGTTGAAGCTACTTTACCCGTTGACTTCCCAAGCTCTGATATTCCTACCTAGTAGGAATGCACAGTAAGCGTCGACGGCTGCATAAACAACTTGATCGTCGCTAAGGCATTGTTCATACCAATAGCTCGTGCTGATCTCCCTCCTTTGCTCCACTTCAAAACCGAGGCATTTTTCCGCGATTTCCTCCACCGAAGCTCGAGTTAGGTCTTCATCATCCTCAGTTTCCGCGTACAGTCTCAGATCCAGAGGATCCTTCAACATATCCAAACAGTGCTTCGAAATCGCGAGTTTCCGTCGGTCCGAATGGTTCCAGAATCCAACAAAGGTGTGGTAAGGATGCTGGAGAAGCGTGCGGAGAATCTTCGGCACGCTGTCGGCATGAGCGATTTGGAAGATGAGGCACCGCCGGCCGATGCAGAGCTGCAACGTGTCCGGCGGAGGATCTGCCCCGCCGGGAGTCCACTGGACGCCGAGGCCGACGACGAGCTGGTTGAAGTAAACGTAGTGGCGGCGAAAGTAGAGCGTGGAGGAGAGCCAGCGTCGGACGACAGAGGCGGTTGCCGTGACGGTGACGCTGATGTTGGTTCCGTCAAGGTCGACGGTGTAGATGACGTGGTTGAAACGGTAGTCGCGATCGATGATAGTGGCCATATTTTGGAAACGTGGGATGGAAGAATGAGAGTGGAAGACAATCTCTGCTGCGATGATTTTGCAGTGCCTTTAGCGTCTGTGGAGCAGTTACGAATGGGGTGGGTTCCCGCGTCGGATTTGTATAGTACGAACATCTGCAATGAAGCGTCTAATATTTTACAATTTTTTTTTTCTTAAACTTATTTTTTATCTCTATTTTAATAATAGAATGTCATATATTATATTATATTGAGGTGCATGTATAAAATATAATTACATAATAAATAAATGGTGTTTGCTTCTGTGTCTTTAGATTTGAGGTGCATTTACTAATAAGATAATTTTAATTAATTTAATATTTTTTATTGCAAATATTTCTTTTGATATTTTTGTTAACACAAAAATAATTTTTAAGATGTTTTACATTTTATATCCTATCACCCTTTATTTTATATTAAAAATATATAAATATCTTTTAGTATTTAAAATATTAAAAATTTTATAACTGTTAGTCTAAGTAAAACATACCCCCAAAGGTCCTTTACAAAATTTTAGAATGTTCAGCTTTTTGTTTTTACTTCTTAAATAGACTCGTGAGTGTATGGGAAATCATAAAACAAAAAACAAAAAGCAAGCAGAGTTCAAATTTTCATAGGAATTAAGCAAAGCGTTCTTAAACAGTAATATCTTGGAGTAGCAATAATGCGTTATGCCGCCACTGGATGGGAGGTTTAGCAGATCGAAATTGGCAGTGACAGCACAAGATGCGTGTTTCACAACAATTTCATAAGATTTGGTTGGAGGGAGAAGTTATTATGGGAATGAATACTCAAAAGCCCTAGAAATTGGAAGAAGGTGTTTTGAAAGTGAAGGGAATAAACGGAATTTGATTTGACATAGCTGAAGCATTGATTGTGAAGCTTTTGAGTTGGATCCGAGTAATGACAAACCATGGAGGCACATAAACGATGATGAAGTGGACATTGACTCGCAGTCACTCCAAGGCATTGTTGTTCTTCATATACAGGAATAAAAATAGACAAACTTGTAAAAGGAGGACAATTAGATGTTTTATTGTTTCAAAATATAAATTTGAAAGTTGCAAGGAGAGATAAACCAGATTCATGTTCGATTTTCAAATGTTATATTTTTGTAATTACTTATTCTTATAATGTCTCTTTATTAATATTATATATGATGAATTTATAGTATTATGTCACGTAAGAAACACACTAGATACTCTTACTACCTAAATAAATTTAAAAAATAATTATTTTATATTTCTCTTAAAATGTAACAAGCATCTTAATGTGTTTTTTCATTTTTTTTAAGTGCTTCAACCATTTTTTTTAGAACACGGGCTTAACAGCCCACGAGTGCTTCAACTCTTTCATAGTTATAATTAATAAAAATGACTATAAAAAAATTAAAAGCTAGGTACGAGTGAAGAAGGAATAAATTAGTTTTTTTTACACTGATTCATTAACTATTCAATCGTACTCAAATTATAACATCATCACATTGCTATTGATGAAATATTATCACCGATTAAGAAGGATAAGTAAATTAAACTAATCATAATTAAGCCATCATCATTGATTCAACATACTAAAAGTAAACTATTAATCCCATCAAACCCAACTATATAACCCTTATAAGCTCAAATCATGGTATTCTACCATCGACAAACCTTAAGAATTATTTATTTTCTAAGAATTTTAGAAGCTATTATTCACTAATATTATTTTAATTACTCAAAAGTATAGAACTTGCCTCCAAATCCATGTTTAAGTCATTATTTATCCTCTTTGTTTGCTATAATTAACGATTCACCAATGTACATTAAAGGTCAATTAACTTGTCCTCAAATTTTTGCTAATGTAACACTCTATCATTCTCTTTAAAAAAATTATAATAAAAATATCTATTATTTTTGTTAAATTAATTTTATCGGTCCATTTAAGAGGTGTATCTAACGTTCTTTCGAATCTTTCAATTTTATAGCAAGCACCTTATATTTATTTTCTTTGTTGTTGTCTTATTTAATTTTTCAAAATATCCATTTTTATTTATTTATTCTTTCTTTAATTTAAATTATATATATATATATATATATATATATGTATATATATATGTGTTCTAACACTTCTAGTTAATATATAAGTTTTTATTATTCACTTTTATCGTATCAATAACTTAATGTACCTTTTCCTTCATCGACTAACTATGATTTTTTGTAGTAATATTTTAATTAAATTTAACAAATCTTTTTTTGTTATTTAATTTGGTATTTTTTATTTTTAAATAAAAATATTTTCAATTAAACATGAATATACTAAAATATTTATAAATGACTGTTACAAATTTAATTAGCTAAACTAATTTTAAAACTTTTAAAATAAAATTTTCAATTATTTTTTGTAACTGTAAATTTAATGAATAGTTATTTTTAATGCTTTTCCTCTTTACTACACGTTTAACTCAGGTTTTTCATAAGTAACTATTTATTTGTGAATAATTCTCTAAAAAAATAACAATAATGAATTATTATTTCTCTACAAAATTGTTTTTATAATTATAAAAATATTTTTTATGAAAATCATTTTACAATATAAATTTAAGAAGAAACAACAATAAACAAATAAATTAAAGACAGTTTAATTTTTCTATTCTTAACTTTTTTCACTAATTTTCTTTTATCTCTGTCTTTGCTGACTTATTTATTTATTTTAATACATTTTATTTTTAAAACATATTCTTTGTCTAAAGTCTTTTTTTCGTATGTTAGCACCTATTTCATTTATTGTACAGATGAAATTAAGTAATTGTGCTGTGTTATCATTTAGTAAATTTTGTCCGTATGGATGAAACTAATAAAATTGCACTACATGTCATGTTGGTCCAATTTACAAAACCTAATTCAACTATCTGCAACTTCTAAGATGTTTTACTTATGGTAAAAGCAATAAAGACCATAGTATAACTATAATTATACCATTTTATACAGAGAAGAAAGAATACAAAGTTTTTTTATTTTTTATTTTTCCATTAAGAAGTGGGGCTCATACTAGAAGTAAAAATTATAAAGTAATTAATAATGCATGTAACAACTTTTACACTCACACACTTAACACAATTTATTTATTTTTTTCTCTTTTCTATCATTAATATTATTTATTATTGTCCCTCTCCTAACTTATATACTTGAATTTAATTTTTGACTCTTTAAATTTTGAAACTTATCAAATAACAATAAGTAGTGTAATCATGTAATTTTGCCTTTGTTAAAGAGGAAACTTAATTAAAAAAATAAATTCCTTCTTCACAATAGACAAAACATGCACTAACATAACAAAAAAACTCAGAAAATATGTTTTTAAAAAAATATTATTTTAAAAATTTATTTTTTAGAAAATATTAAAATATAAATCAGCTGCCTTTACTTCCCTGAATAAATTTAAACATAAGGTTAAACTCACAACCGACCAAAGTTTACAGAAAGCAAATATATTTACTTGAAATATTTGTAGATAACTTTAAATATATGTTTAAAAATATATAAAATTAATTTACCTATAACACAGTTTAATATCAACATTATAATTAAATTAAATTTAAATACATAAAGAAAACTTTTTAATTACTGCGTTGAATCAATTTTAGTAGTTGAATGCCTGAATGTATAATGATTTTATGGTTTAAAAATAAGAAACGAATATAAAACAATGTAAAGAAAAAGAAGAAAAGAGAACATGTGAAAAATGAAAACAAGAGTTATTTTAAAGAAAATACTAACTAATATTCTAAAAATGTTAATTAAAGAATTAAAAAAAGTAAAGTTTTTATTAAAATATATAATAATACATTCATCCTATTACTTTTATTAATAACTTATGATGAATTTCTTTAACAACATGCTTATTTCAAAACAGAAAAATTACATTACATCGACGCAAGTAAACCGAGATATTCACAGTTTGTAATTTACTCGAAATTCCCAGTTCTCATAAACAAAAGGGCAAAAATAACGTGAGTGGTTACCATATACAAAGAAAGCTGTCTCACGGGAGCAAGACACGTCACCACCGCAATAACGATTCCGTTTCCGTCATTCTCAGCTGAAACAGAAAAGTTTGGACAAAGAACAGAGACAGTGACAGAAGTTACAGAGAACTGAATCGTGATTCGGAAATGGCTAAACACGAAGAGCTTCCAATCCCCGTTTTCGAAACTCTGGAGCCTGTATATGGCGGTGATCCTCACTTGGAAGAAGCTCGCCTTCGTTTCGATAATTTGAAGTCTAAATTTCTCAAATTCTTCGGTCACCAACCTCAACTCTTCGCTCGCTCACCGGGTTCCCCTTCTCTCTTTCTTTTGAAAATGAAAAACAGAAAAATTCATTTTCTTTGTTTTCTGTTTTGAGAAAAACGACATGCGTTTAATTGAATTATTACTGTTATTGGCGTTGCAGGGAGAGTGAACTTGATCGGGGAACACATTGACTATGAAGGATACTGTGTGTTGCCCATGGCCATTCGCCAAGATACGATCGTCACCATTCGGAAAAACGAAGGCCAAAACGTTCTTACAATTGCGAATGTCAATGACCAAACATATGCCACGTGTACTTATCCTGCTGATCCTAACCAGGTCCGTGATTATATTCTTCTAATTAATTAATAACAATTAATAACAACAACAATAATAATAACAGTATAATCATAACATTTTTCCATTTTATGTTGTTTTTATGAATCATTTTGGCTATGTATTTTGTTTTTATTATACTGTGGCTTTCTTTCGTTTGCATGCAGGCGCTTGACTTGAAGCATCACAAATGGGGCCACTATTTTATTTGTGGGTGAGTTTAAAAAAAATATAATTAAATCCATATTTCCTTGATGTGGTTGTTTTTAAGGTGAATATGTTTGCAACTAGTATGTTCGTGGGGGTGAGATAATTGTGTTTATCACTGTTGTTTAACTCAGTAAAATAGGTAAGATTATACGGTTTTTGTAGGTACAAAGGTTATTACGACTACGCAAAATCGAAAGGAGTGGACGTTGGTCAACCGGTTGGGCTTGATGTCCTTGTTGATGGAATAGTTCCCACAGGTGGGTTCTTCTGTTTAAATTAGAATGCTGCTATTAGTGAGGGGATTTGTACCTCATCTTCTTTGATTCTCTGTTTAGTTCAATAAACAATGTCTATTTTATACAGGTTCTGGACTTTCAAGCTCTGCGGCGTTTGTTTGTTCTTCTACAATTGCTATTATGGCTGCTTTTGGTGTGAACTTTCCAAAGGTGTGAGCAATTGCTATTATTATTAATATTGTTGTTGTTGTAATGTTCTAACTTGCACGTGTTGTTGATAGAAAGAAATTGCACAAGTTACATGTGACTGTGAACGACATATTGGCACGCAGTCTGGTGGGATGGATCAGGTTGTATGCTTCTTTTGTTACAGATATGTTCTATTCTAATTTTTAATGCAAATATCTCCCACTTACCTGTCCAAACTTTGTCATTTCCTTCAAGTCATCTCTGCATGGATTGACATTCACAACTACTGTGACAGCATCTAGCTAATGTGTACGGGTTGACTATCTGGGTTTTTTATTTATACTTGAAGTATATTGTGTCAAGTGGGTTAACCTATTTATATTTGGTGTTTTATTGTGTCAAATAGATTCTACTATTTGTGCTCTGGTTTGTAACTTTGAAATACATTGTTCAAAGTATTAGATATTCAAATTTTGTTGTCTTTTGAGTTGGAAATGATACAGATGGTTTAAATCTATAATTTTTTAAGCCTTTTGGCCTCAATTTGAAAAGATAATGTATCATTTAATTCATGAGTGAAGTCTGCTTCATTAGCGCATTACTCTACTTTGAGCTAGTTCTCATCATATATTTTTTTACTTTTTGTAAATAATTTTGAACCAAGCCATTTGATGCATGTGGTTGACTCTGCCTAGTCGGAGGAAAAGATTCTCGTTGTTGTGAATAATTTTAAATTGTTACATGGAAGCTATATACGATTTTATCCAATGCATAGTTTATACAAGGCTTCAACGCCAATTCTCTTGCTCTTTGTACATTCTGATGCTGTACCTGGACTTGCATCTTTTTCTTATATTTTTCTTATTTTACTTGATAGGCAATCTCTGTCATGGGCAAAGCAGGGTTTGCAGAGCTGATTGATTTTAATCCAATCCACGCAACAGATGTGGAACTTCCAGCTGGCGGGACTTTTGTTATAGCCCATTCTTTGGCAGCGTCTGAGAAGGCTGTTACTGCTGCTACAAATTATAACAATAGGGTTCTTGAATGCAATTTGGCTTCTGTAAGTACTTTCCAAAATAAGATTCAATTCACTTAGTTCTCTATTCTTATCCACAGCCCTAAGCATTGGTGGATTATATTGGAGTCAGATGGAAATTAGAGGATGGGTGGAATCATCGAATCGACCTTTGTTTGTCCTTACCCTTGTTGCTCTTACTGTTGCATTCAATTGTGACTTTCTGTAGTTAATAACTTCATAATAATGGAGCAAAGCCTGTTTATTGTTCATCATAGTTATCCAATTAAGGCATTAGGCAATTATAATAACAAATGGTCGTGGTGATATTGAGTAATTTATTTAGATTTTTAAACTAGTTATTTGACTAGTGGTACATATTATTATGGTTAGAAATTTTTGTCACTGCAAACCTACCTTAATCTCATTATGTTTCCAACAGTATTTATGTAAAAGATGTATTTTTAAAAATGCATTTCATTTACATGCTTTTGAGTTTCAATCCTCTTAATTCCTTTTTCTCATCAATTGTTATCATAGTAGCGCCATTTTAAGACTGCATAAAATAATGGATAATGTCAATTATATTTTATTCACTTGCAGGTTTCTTTCAAGATAAATGATTAAGTAGGGATGAAAAAGTGTAGGAAAAGAAAGTTTTGATGTGTTTGGATGTTTTGTTTTATACGAGTGAAAAATAATATATTTCGTGGGACTCACAAAAATTTGTGTGTGAAAAAAGTGGTGAATTTTTTATTATATTTTATTGAAATATTTTTTAAAATAATATAAAAATTTAAAAAGTACATAATTAAGAAAAATATTATATTACATTTTTATCTTTTTTGTTAAAATAAATTTTTTATTTCTATTATAAAAATATTATTTTTATATAAACTACCTATTTTTTTATTTTTTTTCCATTTATCCAAACGAGTAAAGTAAAAATTTTTCACTGTATCTCTTATTTTTATCTATTTAAACAACACATATTTTCCATCAGGTTTCTCGTATGTTTCTTTTTCATCATATTCTTGTCTACTTATTTTCTTTCTACTCATTTTCTGTTACATCCAAACATATCATTACTCATTAGTCTTTTATAGCTTCAAGTTTCCTTTGACAATAAAGATTAAAAAAGACAAAGTAAACCTTCAAATTAATACTGAAGATGGTCAAGATCAAACATTTTAGTCTCTGAGGTGAAAATCCTTTGTTAATCCCTAACTTTATAAAACGTCACTTCATTCTCTTTTTCTGCAAAACAGCAATGAAAGTTATAGCATTAAATGACCCAAGACTAACAACCTTTTGTGAAATTGGGGAATAACAAAAGCTTTTTAAAATCTTATGAACTAAAATAATCTATTTATACAATCTTGAGGAATGATTTGAGGGTTTATTTAAAAAAATAAAAAATCATTTGGGTGTGTATGTGTGCATATGCCAAAGCTAGCTCCTAGCTGTTTAGGTGATACTGCAACTTGCAAGTACTCGTATTGTTATATTTATAAACTCAAGAAATGTGATTGTGAACTTTTCCAGATTGTGCTTGGCATAAAGCTAGGAATGAAACCACAAGAGGCAATATTAAAAGTGAAAACATTATCTGATGTTGAAGGCATGTGTGTATCATTTGCCCGTAAACATAACTCTTCTGATCCTGTTCTTGCTGTCAAGGTAATTTTACCAGATATGAGTTTTTCCTTGCAATTAGCTCTGTCAACACAATACATAAGATGCATAATATGTTTATTCAATTGATTGTATAATGTTTAAAGACATTTTAATCTTTCATAAAAGCTATAATCCTTTTCTGGTCTAAATATATAATTTTCCTGTGGGTGCAGGAATTTTTAAAGGAAGAACCTTACACAGCTGTTGAAATTGAAGGAATTACTGGGGAGAAGTTGACATCATCTTTTAGCAATAATACAGCTTATTTGGATGTCATAAACGTTGCTAAGCAATACAAGTTGCACCAGGTGCTTTTTAAAGCCTGGTTAGCAAAATTAATTTTATCCCATTTTTATAGCCACGTCAATATCAGAAAATCAGAATCTACTCAATTTTTTTTTTCCTTTAATTCAGCTACTTACAATTTTAAATGGTGTTTGATATGCATTTTTGTCAGATTTGTGTAATAATTGTCAACCACTGATCGGGATAATATTTATTTGAATGGATTGCATTTAAGCCACAGGGCAGTTACTTCTGTCCTATTTGTATAAGCATGCTTATATCTGAAAATATTTTCTTCAGAAACTTACAGTTTTTAATGATAAATTACTGACAGGATGTTGTTAATTTTTGTGAATTGCATTTATGATTATGTAGCGCGCTTCATGCATTACTATTTAATTTGGAAGTAAGTAAAAATTTTAGTGTGGCTTTTGGTTTTTGCATGGTGCGTCTGCCAACAACCATTTTTCATTGCTGTAACGGTTGACATCTGATTTCTTTATGTACCGCTTCTTAATTTTGAACTTTTGTTTTATACCTAGAGAGCTGCACATGTGTATTCAGAAGCCAATAGGGTTCATGCTTTCAAGGATGTTGTATCATCAAAATTAAGGTGATTTTTTTCATTTTGATCAAATATAATATCTATTCTTCTTCATGACAGCTCATCCGTTTTTATGGAATTCTCATGAGACATTTTTGGGATTGCTTAATTGGTTTAGTTTTGCTTCTGTATTTTCACTAAAATATGTATTCAGGTTCACCTCGGAAGCGTCTGGATTTTGTGATCCTTTTTAGGTGGTTACCATGTTTCTTGGATTTTAACTATTCATTATTGTTTCAGTGAGGATGATAAGCTAAACAAGCTTGGTCACCTTATGAATGAAAGTCATCATAGCTGCAGTGTTTTATATGAATGCAGGTAAATGACACATACACACTACTCTTGGTTTCAGAATGTGCATTATATCATTTAAAAATTATGTATTGGATACTCTTGGGATGGATCTCTCTTCACAAGGCATGATTAGTTTCATGAGCTTTCCAACCTTCAAACAACACAAGGAAAAATACTGCTTGTTTTTATAATGTAGTGTCCTTTTTCATAACATAAAGTTGATATTTTCTTTCTTTATTATTCATGGAATCAGCTGCCCAGAGTTGGAAGAACTTGTAAAAATTTGCCGTGACAATGGTGCTCTTGGGGCAAGGCTAACTGGAGCCGGATGGGGTGGTTGTGCTGTTGCTTTGGTAAAAGAGAACATCGTACCACAATTTATCCTTAGTTTGAAGGTTTGCTATCATATATTCCTTAACAGTCGTATAAACATTAGAAATTTGGAATAAACAAGTTAATAATTCTATATTCGTTCCAGGAACGTTTCTACAAAGCTAGAATTGACAAGGGCGTGATCAAGGAGAACAATGTTGACAATTATGTTTTTGCTTCTAAGCCATCAAGTGGTGCTGCCATCTTCAAATTTTAGCATCATTTCTCTGACCCCCACTTCACTTTTAATTGCTGAAAACATGCAAACTACCATATGAATGTTCTGACCGAATAAGATTAAAATGCTATCCTAATTGTCATTAAGTTGCTTCGATCTGCTTGTTAAATTATTGACCAAACGAATAAGGATTATGTGAACATCAGCGAAGCCAGCTTTTGTAATGGACAAATGATATTCTTACCAAAATGATGTTTTTGTATTTATTTAAAATAGGCTTGTTGTTGCAATTATTTAAAATTGTTTTATTGTATATGCATTATGACTAAAAATTTAAATTGAAAAATAAGCTTAATAGTTAAAAAGAAGGATCAAATGCATTTTTGCAACCGAGTTGTTTGTCATGTTGCACACTTGCATTTTCGATCTTAATGGTGGCAACCAGATAAATCTATGATCTTGCTGTGGCCTAGCAGATCTTGTAATATTAGAATCCACGTGCATTTGTAGCTTTGTCCGTTGACGTGGGTTCAAACTGCACATGATCATGCAAAACTCCTCATTTATTGCGTTATGAGAGGATCTCCATAAAAAAAAAGTCAATAATAGCGTCTTAGTGTCTAATTATTTCTTAGGTCATGACAGTAACATGGTACTCAATTTTTTTAATATGTTATATCTCGAACTCAGTTGATTTATGTGTGATGCGATTTTTGCTCAAATTGTTGCTGAGAGATTCATAGAATTATATAAAATTAGTCGTGTATTTTTTACAAAATAGTTTAAGTTTTTGAATACTTAAATCATAATATCATTTCAAAACTTTCATAAGCAGGTGATCTAAAATTCGATCTATACTACTTTCATTCTTTTTTAATAAAAAAAGTTTAATTCCAGCATTAATTAGATGGGTCTCTACATTACATACACTTTAAGCCCAGAGAACTCTTGTGTGAGAAGGTGTATTTAATATAAAATTATTCATGTCTTTACCTTTTAGATCAAACTTTAGGAATAATTAGTTCATGACAAAAAAAACTAGGTTCATTAAATAGAAAATATTGTGAAAACTGTAAATAATTAGATTGCCTTTAATTGATATTCACATACGTTTCTAAACATTTGCTGAATTGTTTATATATTTATGCTTTGATTTTTGGAAGACCAATCTTTCGAAAGGCCTTTTTTTTTTTTTTTTTTTAACAAAAAGGAGGACATTCTGTTTAATACATTTAATGAAGATCATTGACTCAGAGATGGCGATTGAACTTCTAAAATATAGAAATACCGAAATACTTTATAGCTAAAAAGGGGACCGGGGGGGGGGGGGGGGAGAGAGGAGAAGATAATTTACAAATTATATTATCCAATCAGTACAACCTTTAAAACGAATAAAGTGATGCCACTTATTTTACACATGCCTTTGTATACATTAAAATATAGTTTATTAATGTCTATCTGGTATTGTAGTTAATGATTTTACATATATATTTTTAATTTTTATTCTATTCTAAATTTTTTATGTTATCATATTCTCCATGTAAAACTAAAATCTTAGTTTTTATTCTAATTTAAAAATTTATCAAATTGAAGTTTTATTCTATTTAAAATTTAAGTGATAAAATATAAAAAAATATGTATATTTTAAAAATTGTCCTAGAGATATTGATTATACAACGATGTATTGCCGTGTGGAAGGAGTTGGTAGAGTGGGCCTATCCAGCTGCCAGCTCCCATTTTTGATGTGGCTCCGTGAATCTCCAAAAGCTATTTTCTTTACAATTATTATATTTAAATAAATAAAAAAATGACAATGACGTTGCCTCAAGTCGCAATATCCAACGAAAGGGGAAAAATATTGAAGGTCATGAATGTAAGTTGAATTAAGCTCGTATTAATTTTTAAAATGTTATAGTTCATTATTTTCTATACTTTTAATTGCTAAAGACAAATACTCAATCCTAAGAAATTAATAATAATTTGAAACTAAAATATCTCCAAAGAATTGGCAACATTAGAACCACAAACTGCAAACAAGAATCAGTTTTGGACATTTTAGACTTAAAAATACCTTGTGATTTTTTACCCAAGACAAACAAATATAATAAATATAATTTTTCAATAAAAAATTTACTATTTTTAAATGCTTAAACTTATTTTTTAAAATTGAGTTTAATTAAAAGAAGTGTATTATCTTAAATCTGTGTTACTAATTTTACGTTTGATATATGTTTAATATATTAGTCCTCTAGTTTTTAAAATTTTCATTTTTGTCATTATCTTTTAAAGATATTTTAAATATTTTTTAATTTTATTAATTTTTGTTGTTATTATTGTTATTAATATTAACATGACTTTTTTTATATACCTTCTTCTTCTCATCTTCTTTATCTTTTTGTCTTTGTTGTACTCCTCTTTTTGTTTTTCTATAACCCCTCATCCTCACAACATAGACACTAACATATATACTTCATCACCATACAATGCTTCCTCCCACACAATACTTGGAGCCATTAATTACCTCCTATTTTATCATTACCATCTCAAGAACCCAACCACCATCTCTATTAAGTGCCCCCATCATCACAATAGAAGAATAAGAAGAAATAACAATAAAAAAAAAAAAGTTTATGTAGTGAAAAGACAATGATTAATTTAAACGTTAATATGCGTTTAAAAAATAGACAACTAAAATAAAGCTATTAAAAAAGACCAAACCATAAAAGAAATTAGAGAACTAAAAGTGTAACTTTATCTAACTTTTTTACATGACGAGAGCTAATACAAAATAAAGTTGACATTTCATATAAAAAATATTTTAATAATTCAACTACAGGGACAAAATCTAAAACTTTCCTATATAATAAAAAGGAATACTTTTAAAAAAATATATGAAATATTCTTGAGAAAGGTTTGTGAATATATTTTAAAATAATAAATAATATTACTAAAAAAACTTACCAATTTTTTAAAGTTAGTTGACTCTAAATATATTTTCTTAAAATAATCAAATATTAACTAAATTCGTTTTAGCTTATTAAGAAAATAGTTTAATTAAAAACAGAAGTCTGATTATGTCGAAATGCCATGTAAAATAGTAATAAACTTTTGGTTAATTATGTAAATATGTATGCGAAAAGGTTGGGTGAGTCACGGCTCTCCTTTCTCGTAACTAAGACCCGCCATTGAATGACACACTTAACATTAAAAATATAGAAAAGAATGTTAAAAATAATGAGTTAGTAATTGCGTACAATTCAAGTAACTTGAAGAAATAATTTGTTATGAAAATAAGATTGAAATTATAATAAACTCAAGCTTTGCAAATTAATCAAATTATAATAAACTTTAGAGTATAAATTTGAGCACTTCTTTTTTATAATTACATAGGGACGTACTTTTACACCTAGTAATAAGAATTTTTATGTTAAATAAATTAATATTCCCTTAAATATTTATTCAATAAAATAAAATTTTATTTAGAATAAAAATATTTCAACACAATATTGAGTATAATAATATTTATTCATTAGTATTTTATGAACTAAATTATTTAGTGAGATTAAAATATTTATATTTCTCTATTTTTAATATTTTTAATATCTCATATACTTTATGCAACCGTGTACTAGACTAATTATAGAAACAATAATCCGTAGACAAATAAGTAATGGATGGAAAGGTGGATGATGGGCAAATAGTCATTAGTTTGAATCGTGTATAAGAAATATCATCACAAATTGCCTAATTTAGATATAATTATCGTATCTTTAACTAGATTTGAAGGATTCATTAGCTTATAAGTTCACGCGTAAAACAGACTAACCTGAACACCACTTTGATCCCAATAAAATAAATTAAAAAGACAAATCTAAGATCTTATATTATTATAATGATCATCATCATTCCTATCATAAGGAAAACTCCGGAGAAAACAAAAATCATTTTTGGAAGTGTGTATTTAAACGTATATTTAAAAAATTGTGCATGATAAAGTTTTTATTGAAAATTATATAACATTATAATAATACTAAATGTTATAAATTTAAATAATATTAATTTAAAATTTTTTATTACATATCTTTTTGCATGTAATAAAAGGTGAAAATAAAGAGAGTAGATGGGAGCCACGGTGTGAATTGTTGAGTTGCCAACTGTGAAAGAGTGTTGTCTATAATGGATACATCCCATCCCCAATCTTCGCTCTATAAATATGCCGTTTTCGAAAGCACATTGCCATGAAATCAAGAGAGAGAGATCTTTGTTTGAACAAATCTTAAATTCGCTGTAATTTCGGTATATCTATCTATCTATAGTCTCTGTTCTTGCCAACTTCCCTCTTTTTCTCGCTCTCTGCTAATTCATCTCTTACGCCATTGGATCTGGGGTTCCTTCCCCTACCTTCAAAGGTATATTCACTTTTCCTTACTTCTTCTTCTTCCTATCACATTCTTTTTTATTGTTTGTAATGGCTGATGCTAGTTTAAAGTTGTTGACTTTCTTCCATTTCATGGGTGCCCATTTATAATATACGTGGTTCCGGTGTAAGTTTATATATATATATTGCGTGCGGGGTATTCACCAGTGGCGGTTGGGAGGTATCACCATTGTGTATATTTAATTATGTTTGTATATATATTTTCTGGGGTTAATTTCTTATGTGTCTTTGTCATGTGTTGGTCTTGCTTTTTTTCTGGCTAAGAACCATTTCTCTGTCTTTGGTGGCACCCTCTGTGTTTTCCTTATTTTGATTACCCCCCCCGGCTGTTTTTGTCCTCAAGTTTTTTTTTTTTTGTTATGTTTCATTCTTTTTGGTCTAAAGACTAAATGATTTGTTTGTCTGTTTTGTATTGTTTAAAAGTTTGAATAGCTGCTTTTGGGTAGCTTAAAGTTGTATCATTTGATTTGCTTCTTCATTCTTCTACCTCCTGATTAGACTACCTCCAAAATCATCGTAGGTTAGGTTCAATTGATTGAACTCTGTCTCTAATTGTGATGCAGGGTCATTTGGATTGCAGTGTTTTTTCTTTTGTTTTTGGAGGGGTGGTGGTGTTGGTGGCAGGTGAATAGAGCATAGGAAGGAAGAGTAATACTTTTGGTGGCTATAATTAACTTTATTTTTGTCTGGATCTGTCTAATGTGAAATTGTAGAAGAATTGGGATTGGGTTGTATTGAAAACTGTCTCCTTGATTATTTATGGTCAATTATGCCCTCAGTATATAACATTTGTTTATGGTATGATGGATTGAGTTCAAGGGTTAAGTTTCTGGGGGCAGTTTAGAGGAAATTTTATAGTGTAACAAGCAAGGAGAAGTTAGATTAGGTTTGTGGCTTTGGAATGGATCACAGAAGTGCAAGGGATAAGGATACTGATGTTGATCTTGAAAGTGGATTGCCTCTAATTGGAGATGATTCAAATGAAGTCTCTCCTCTTAGTAGTTCGAAACAAGGAAAGACATTATTTACTAAGATTTCTGGTGGGTCTGATGGAGGTTCTGTTAAAGGTGAAGATGAGCCTAATTTATACTGCAATAAGTTAAATGTTAGTGAATTGTCTGTGGATGTGACGAAAGTCATAAACAAGCCAAAGATGGGGAAAGATTCAGTGAAACGTTTGGAGCAGATCCCAGTAAAGGAGAAACGTAAAAAGGCATGTAATAAGAAGGCTCCCAAACCTCCAAGATCTCCACAGCCTCCAACATTGGATGCAGCTGACCATAAGCTAATCAGGGAGCTATCTGAACTTGCCATGATGAAGCGTGCAAGGATAGAGCGTATGAAAGCCTTGAAGAAAATAAAAACTGCTAAATCATCATCCTCCAACGGCAGCAGCATTTTGGCTATGGTTTTCACTGTTATCTTCTTTATTGTGATAATATTCCAAGGTAACATTTGCATTAAAAGTAGATTTTATCTATCACATGGCATTTTTTTAATAGTTTTGTTAACATTAGTCCTTAGGCTTAAGGTTAATATTTTCCTTTTATTTATAATCTTGTGCATTTTAAGACGAAGGGAATTAGCTCTGACTTTGAACCATAAAAAAATTGTTGTGAAAGATTCTTCCTAACTGTGTTAAGTTAGAGACCATTTCAAAATTTGAGATCATAGGACTCTTTTCTGTATGATATTGAGATCATAGGACTAGAAGATTGGATCAATTCAAATCTTGTGGAATCGAAACTCTTTAGACATGTTTTCATGGAAATTTTGGCATACACTAGAGCTTTTGTTTCCTTTTTCCATGTTATGCATTGTTCACTGATTATTCTGCTCTGGCTAACCAGATCAGGTTTTAACTTTTATCTGTGATTTTAGCCATGATTGCTTGTATTTTTTAAATACATTCCTATCACTATTTATTGGGCTCCTTCGGAGTCAATCTGGTTATTTTAATCTAAATATACCTTAACTTTCTTTAGTTCTCGTGGTCTTGAGATTTTCATGATATCATGAATCAATCGCCTATTATTTTTTCTTTCTTGTAAATTATAAACCAATGTAGCATGCAAGATGGGATCAAAGTACTTCCTATGGTGTTGTTTCTTTCTTGTTCTGACAGTTGACCACATTTTAGCTTGATTTGTATTTAATCAGATGTTCCTGTTGCAGGCGTGTCATCTAGAGAAAGCTCAGTGGCAAGTTTCCAGGGATCTCCTCTATCCACAGGAGAATCAGAGGGTGGTTTAATTTCTGTTCAGTACCAACTCAATCCATCTACAAGTGATTCAAATGCTCCTGGTTCAGAATCTCACAAGTAAGTTGAAATGCATGCCACACTCTGAAGTCCGAACCCCCTTTATTTCTCACCTCATTCACATAAAAATACATTACTGTTTCATATTTTCCCTAATATCAATTTTGCTACTTGATGGTACCTTGCAGTTTTGTACAGCAGGTAGCAGGTTCAGATTTGCCTGAAAAAACTAAGGAGGGATTCAGGTTAATGCAGTTTCATTGACAAAAAGAATATCATCTTTATCGAACAAATGATGGCTCGCTGATCCTGTGCTTCTCATACGTGCTCTATTTCTTGTCTCTCAATATATATTCCTTTATGTATTGGTAATTTATTCCCGTTATGTATATTAACCAATGTTGGGGTGAGTTAAATTACCATAACAAAGTCGCGAATGTTCTTCATTGGCTTGCAAAATACGTGCTGTCACTTTTTACCTCAGCAACTCTCAGTATATTTTGCTTTTGAAGATCACTCACTGATACTAAATTACTAATTATTATGTTCTGGTGTCTTTTGCATTGCATTGAGACAACAGGTATGTAACTTAGTGCTTCATGTTACAACTAATATTTTATGTACAACACACAAGCACATTTCAGAAAGAAAGGGGCTTCACCAATTACTTTTCTTGTGAGAGAGGAAAATTTTCTCATTCTGGCTAATCAATAAGGCGTGTGGCACTCTCAATTTCCAATTAAGAATAAGAAATGTGTCAGGTGTGGCTCTCGATTTTGTCTTATGTGATGCCAGCTTTGACTTTGTTGTGCATGTTGTGTAACAGCATGAACATGTGACCTTTGCTCCTTCTGGGATCCCAAAAAGAAAATTTAAGAAAAACTCGACTTTGAATCGGAGACGTTTGTTTTACACGCTTCTTGCAAGAACGCGGTTGAAGCCGTACATTTGGGATGTTTTCAAGTTAATAGCTAGAAACAAGGATAACCTGTATTAATTATAAAGTTGGTTTCTTTTGATAATAATTGTCACAGGTCCAATTACATTTCAAAAAATATATAAAAAAGTGTAAAAAAAATAAATGGACCCTGGAAGACTAAATAGCCATAAATAGGAGGACTAACTAGCAACAACCTAAATATTAGGGGTTAAACGTTAAAAAGGAAGCAACATGTTTTGCCTCGACCACGATGTCCTAAACTTTTTTGGGAACATGTGATTGTGAATCATCACTATACGAAGTTTCCTCATATAGGACACGGACACTTGTACAATCTCTCATACTGTGCCAGAAAGAAGTTCTGGATGAGTGAAACTCAATTCAACGTGTGCTCCTCCCGGCTTAATTTTCTTCTTCCTCAAATCCCAGTTTCATAATAGAAATATGAGATTATATTCAATATGCCAAAATCGACATAAACGTGCCCAGATTAATAATTACTATATGTTGCCTAATATTATTGCTTGTAACCTCCTCTTCTTTGAAGATTTATTATTTGGGAAATGATATTTGCACATAATTTTTGTGCACATACTTTTACAGAGTATCATTAACGGTGGAAAAATGTTTATTCAGGTATAGTGCTTAAGATGGTCGCGCTGATATGTTGTGACCGCTTATAATTAAATTAATGAATGACAGAAAAAGAGAGTAAGGAAACAAGAGTTTGATGATTATGGATTTTGTCATTTATGTGAGTTGCATCTAACATAATAGTTGTAGCTTTAGTTGACCTAATTGCAAAGCTGTGGTGAAGCAAGGAGGTTGTCAAAAATCATATGGTTTATGGAGTGCTGCTCCAAAGTACACACAGAAACGTATTGTTTACAAAACCAACCATCTAAGTATTTATTTAATAAGAATAATATTCCTACAACTAACTACTAAGTGCTATTACAACTAGTAATAGGACAGAAGAGGGGTGAACAAATCACCCCTTAAGTAGTAGTTTGATTATAGCAGAAGCCACATCCACTAGCTTCTGCACAATGTCGTTTCTGTCCCCTAATGGTGAATGATTTGAGCCATTGAATTTTTTGTCACAACTACTCACTTCTTTGACAGCATCAGATATGCAGTAACTGGCAAAGCCAAAACGGCTTTGGCTTATGGCATCAGCTGCTTGTGGGAGAATGTATTTGACAACTGGGATATATGACTCGGCACAGAAAGCCAAGGCTTGTTCCAACTCACGATCTGAGGTTTGCTTGATCAACCCCTCAATGTAACTCAGTGTGTCAGTTGCATTTGCCACAATGTTGTTGACCATTAAGAGAGCCACCCCTTTAAGATCAGTTTTTGGGCTTAGAGGGTTTGAATGTAGGATTGAGCTGCAAAGGTCATAAAAGGGTGTCTTTTGGCATATTTGGTCTACCAAATCGCCACTCCCATCCTTCCCCAGGAAAGAGGGTTGGGATAGTGTGAAGGGTATAGAAGCAAGAAGAATAATCTGAATTGCAGTAAGAGACACACAGGTTGAGCTCCTACCCATTTTTCTCTTGTGACAAGTAGGGGAATGAGAATGGCCTAGGCTCTTTCTGGGATGCTATTTAAGGTTAAAAAAAAAAGATTATTCGATACCCTTTGTAGCATAAATATTTTAAAGGAAAAGAGATAGATAAAGAAAGAAAAGAAAATGACAAATATGATAAGTGATATAATGAGCAAGTTATAGGAATAGAGGGGGATCTATGATGAAGATAAAATTAATGAGTGAATGAGTTAAAAATTTGAAATGAGGAAAAATAGTTGGACCAGTGTTTCTAAGTTCTATTTATGTATATTTTGTAGTCCTCTACATTAAAAAAAGTTGTCACAGGTTTGGTGTTACCTGATTTCCCTGTTTAACCATGAGCTGCAGTTGCCTCTACACATTGTTTAAGGTTGAATAGGCCTTGGTTCACGGGTGTCTTTATTCATTTGGCTTTTATTGCCGATGCCACACCTTCTTTTATGTTCCCTACTTTCCCAGAAGAAGCCAAATTTGAGAACTTTCTAGACGATGTTCTCTTCATTAAACCGCTTCTTTTGAACTAAAGAATGAAGAGAGGGCCAGAGACAGACACAACCACTAGTTTTGCTACTGAGATTTCATTCATTAAAACAACATGATTACATGCAACACACCAATTTTTTATTGCTCAAAGATCAAAGCAGAATCATCAACCAGCGCACCAAAGACAGATGCTAACTAACAACCATGGTTGGCATTATCATGTACTTCTCTCCTTGAGAGTTTCAATTTCTTGTTAGTTCTAACACATTTAAGCCATTGTTTTATTTTATGAGAATTAGTCGTTTCAATTAAATAAACTATGAAATATAATATTAAACTCTACCATCACTTTGGAAGTGTGCACCAAAATTTGTAACAAACTAGGGTAAGATTTTCTTTGTGGTACATGGAAAATTTGCCTGTCCTAATAACGGGCTTCATTCTGCAATTGAGACTCCATTTATTAACAAAACTCCATGTTTAAAAGAAGTAGCTTTATTTTTTGAGCTTAAAACAGAACTATCAAAAAATTATTTAGCAACAAGCCTAGCATGAATAGTCTTGTGGATACACCTCTTTATTAACATTGAAGAAAAAAAAATTGTGAAAAGTGAAATTTTTTGAGAAAAAAATTGTGAATACCTCTTCTTTTTGAAAAATAAAAAATGAAGAATATATATATTGTTTTTGCAATCATATAGCATCGTTAAAGTGTTCTTATATCTTCAAAAAGATTAATAGTAGTTAAAATTTATGATTTTATTTTGGAAATAAGGGAAAGAATTTTCATTCTTAATTATTAATATATTTACCATTAAAATTTCAGGAATTTGTTTGAATGTTCATTCGGAAAAAACAAAATCTTTTAAACAAGGTGAGAACTTTTTCCAACTTAAACCATGGAAACAGAAACAGAGAACCCTGCACCAATTTTTATGATCACCCAATCTCATCAAATTAACATTATAAGAAAATACTTGAATAACAAACAAGGCCAACAATTTCCAATAACTTATATTATATACCTATATAGGCTTCATTTTCACACAAAATTGCTCCCTTTATCATTTTATATTCGGATAATTTGTTTAAAGGCACATTTTATTCTGCCAAAAAACATAAAACTCATGGCATCATAATCTATTCCTCTATCTAGAGCAAAAGTCTAACAACGGCCCTTGTAACGTTTGCAACATCATTCATACCATTGTTCTCATTGGTAAGTGGTGATTTCCCAGAAAATCCCTTCTCACAAGAAGTGGCCTCAACAGCAGAATCACTTGCCGCATCTTCTGCAAACTTGGGGTTCCCAGTTTTCAAAGCTTCAGTGGCTTGTGGCACATCAGCTTCCAAAATTGCTTTGTACTTACCAGCACATGAAATCAATGCATTCTTTTCCACTTTCCCCTTAAGAAGTTGATTGATTTTGTTCAATGCTTCATTTGCTTTGCCTTTGATCACATCGACCAGGATTAGTGCTAGGCCTTCAATATCTGCACCAGAGCTACGTGGGTCTGCTTTAAGGAGTTGAACACAAAGATTTGGATTAGGGGTTTGCTTGCATGTGTCTTCTATGAGTTTCACATCATCTGGTTTCAACACTCTACAATGAGTTATTGGCATTGAAATTGTAGCTACAACGATAATGCTAAAGATTAGAGATATGTGCTTCATGTTTAGCATCTTTGTAAGAATAATCTATGTAATGTGCTATTCTGCGGAGCTTCTACTGTTCTTTCAGCATTAAATAGACAATTGCCTGCACATTCACTCATCAATTTCAAGGCATATCCTGGGGATTAAATGCATATTGGCTAAATTATTTCATTAGTAAAATTTAATTATCCTTTAAAAAACACTTAATTCTTTTGAAGGATTAAATGATTAAAAAATTTACCATTATTAGCAGACTCATTAATAATGTTTTATTAAAAAATTATTAAATAATTCTAACAAAATGATTAAATTTTTTGTTTGTATATTTTTCTCTATATAGATAAATAAGAAATACGATTAATTATTCAGATTTATTAATATTTTCATTTTTATAATTTTTGAAAGAATTTTAAAAGTAAAATTACTATCTTCCTTAAAATATATTTTTTCTCAAACAAGGGATAAATTATGTTATTAGTAAAATTTAATTATGCTTTAGAAAATACTTAATTTCTTTACTAACTATTACCCCCCTAGTCCTATGTATCTACGCAGGGAGAGAAGATTAAATTAAATTTATTTTTATTTATCTGTTTATGTAAATAGAATTTGTAGATTGAATTAAATAAAATATTTGGTAACTTATCATTTCTATTTATAAAAATATACATTTTTTTGTAAATAAAAAATTACTCGAAGTGTTTGATCGATACCAGCAATACTTTTTGGTAATAAAATATTTTATATTGAAACTTATTAGGAACTTTTATTTTTTCGGAAATTATATGGAATCAACTTAAAAACATTTAGATTAAAGCTATTCAACTCAAAAAATCAAAATTATTCTCATTAATAGCTACCATTTAATAAATATATACTAAGTGATTACACTCATAAAAATAAAAAATTTCTGATAGACAAAAATCAAAATGTATCTATATCCATTTACGCACTTTTCCAAAATGAAATATATAGACGATTTTTTTATTAACTTACCTGTAAAGGAAATATATCTATTATTTAATTTTTTAGTCTTATTTAAACTGAAACCTTAAATAAGTGTATAAATAAAAAATATTAAGAGTATAAAATCAGTTTAAACAATTTTTTTTATTTAAAGTAAAATGAAAATTTTCACTAAATAGGATTGCATATGTTATTAAATACTTGTTTGTGTCCGGAAGGAATTAATTGTAAAAGCTTACAAAAACGGGAATTGCACCCGACGTGAATCGAACACGCAACTTTCTGATCTGGAGTCAGACGCGCTACCATTGCGCCACGGATCCACAACTGATAGTTTCTACTACATTCTAATATTAAAACGATTACACATCAGATGTTCAGAAAATTGGGATGGTTTGATTTTCACTGTCAAATTGTATAAAAACTCAATCACATTACCTGATATTTTGAAAAAGAGTAAATATCCCAAAATATTATTTCATTATTTTCCGTGTGTGTGGCATTATAAAAATGTTAAAGTACCGGAAATCTCAATCTATAAATATTGAACTTTATTTTATCTTTCCATTAATTTTATCATTAGTTTATAGAATAAATATTATATATGTACTAATTTTAAAATTAAAATACATTAAATGTTTTTTCATTTAATAAGTAAGAGGATTTAAAAACTAAAAAAAATTTGATAAATTATTTATAAACATCTGGACATGTCATTCTTTGATGATTTATAAGATGTCACGGACGTGAAGCAATGGACAAATACGTTGGGCATAAATTGCAAGAACATGGTCTGTCCTTCTTTTAAGCTTTCATATTTTTAATATGCCGAGTGTTCGGTGTACCTAACGTATTTTGGTGTTTAGAAATATTTTCTTTACAATGTTAAAAATATATTTGATATGCTAACATTATTTTTGAAAATGTTATCTAATATATTTTGAGAAAATGGTTCTATTTTATGTTTGATTTCAATGTGACTTTGTAAAAATACTAATATTTTTAAAAGATTATTGTACTTTTTATGGCGATTGATAGATTTTATTTGCACTAATAATTAATTTATGCTTATTAAAAAATTTAAAATTTAAGTTAAAGTTTAAAATAAAAAATACGAAACATTTGTAATGTGATAAATGTGTGTATATGAGTGTTATGTGACGATATTACATAAATTGACCCATATGCATGATGAGAGCTATGTAATTTTGTCATAATATTCTTCAATTACAATGACTAAATAATAAGAAAATAGAAAGATAACACAACAATATTGTATTTCCACCAATTTTATGGAAATATTTTGTTGAAAAATTTAATAAAGAAATTTTTTGAGAATGATAAGTGCTATTTATTTTTATTTTATTTTTACTCTTATTTACCAAATTTTTCCTTTTTTTTTATTCTATTTTTTTATATTTTTGTACACAAACTTTTAAAATTAAGAAATATTTTCATTAATTTTATATAAGTCTTTAAAAAAAATAAAGTAAAAATAAGATATAGTTTTATAGTTAAAAATAAAAAAATATTTTTTATAACCAAACAAACTTTTAGTTTCTTGAGAATATTTAGTTTTCAAAAAATTTATACTAAATACAAGATTCTAACATTTTCAACTTAAAAATTCTAAAAAAAAATTAAAATAATTTTCCTCTCAAACGTCCCCATAAAATAAAGTTACTTAACAAATATAGAAATCAAACTCTAGTAATTGAGGCAGACATCATCAACCTTTCAATAATAAGAATTACATCAATACAAGTATAAAAATCGTGTGTAAATTTTGTTATCAGTTTCCTTAAAATATCATGCCAAAAAACCAAGCAGTAGCTATCCAAGTTCCACCTAATCATTGCTTTGTCAAGCCCTTCAAAGGGTAAAATGAGATTTATTCACTTTTCATCTCCTAAACCCTCTTTAATTTTCTTCTCAATCTTCCTTCCAGTGAATGACTAAACAACTCATTCGGATGATCCTATGTAACCTATGCTCCTACTTTAGCTAGAAGAAATTAAGAAGACGTAGAGGGAGGTAAAAAAAAAAAAAGAATATACATGGCTATAATACATACAAATAAATTAAAATAAGTCTAGCCACTAGAACTGAGGCATTCAGCCTCACCACTAGGTGACACATGGCCAATAAGGCAATGTGGAAGATGCTGTGAGTAGACCATGTTCCTTTTCTTATCATAATCAATTATTTTCCAACATGTTTTTCTACCCTTAACAGTCCCATCATCAACTTGAGCATTCTTAGGCAAATGAGAAGCTAATAGGACTGACAACTCCATCTTCCCATGAGAACCTTCATAGCCATTGCCAATAATCTTCATGAACTCTCCCTCTACCAAATCAATGTCTATCAAGTCATTCTTCCCAGGTTGCAACCCCCAGAAGAAAACCACATTTGGCTCACTTTTCTCATCTTCAACATATTCTGTAGGATTGGGGTCACAAAATCCCTGGATACCCTCCAGCTGCAGCAGACAAATCACATGAGGAAATGATGATGAAACAAATGAAAGATAACAATACATTCCTTTCATGATTAGTGATCACGAGGAACTTCTCAAAAGCTACATTAAAATTAACAGCAGAAGAGGTCATTTATATAGCATAAATATTTAATGCCAAGTCAATACGTGAAATATTGATATAATTATAATGCATTAATAACATGAGATAATATAACTTTTAATATAAATATAGAGTCTATAATATTTTTTATTGTGCGCTTTTAAATATATGTTAAAAAAATTGTTTAATATTAGTGGGATAATTACAAATAAATGTCAAAAGCTTTTCTAACGCCAAAGTAATTTTTAACTGCATGATATAACTAGATTTACCATTTAAGCTACTTACCATTCCAAGAAGACCACGAAAGCGTGACTTGACCCAACCAACCCAGTCTCCAAGCTCATGCTGTTCAAGAGTAGAGAGGTAAATCTTGACAAATTGGGAGTATCTTTTTGAGTATGGAAAAGGCTCAAATACATCGTCCCAAATAAAATCTGGCCTCAAAAGATCCTTCAATGCAACCAAATAAAAGAAAATGAGCAAGACAATTTCACAAATGTCATTTTTAAAAAAAATTATAAGCACCCATGGAATTCATCAGGAAATAAAATAGAAGCATCAACTTCAATTATGGCTGTCAAGCAAAAGAAGAAATTAAGTGTGATAAGGAGCATTATGATTAAGTGACTCGGGATATATAACAGCATATAATAATTCTTTTTTTTTTTTTACTTTTATTATACAAGGAGATATAATAAAAATTTATATATAACATTTTTTTTATTAAAAAATCTATTATTATTGGAAAAAAGAATTCAGTTTACACTGTGTAAACTTCTCTAAAGTACATTTTAGTTGATATGTCACATTTTAACAATTACAAAATTTAATATATTGACAGTATTAATTGTTTTATTAAATTTTAACAAAAAATTATTATTTATTAAATTTTGTTTTGTCTCTTTAAAACACGTTAAAAAATACATATTAATTAACACACAAGCAGTAAAATGTATAACAAAAAGGAGACCTAGGTTAAACAACAGTACATCATACCCTTGTCATGTTATGGCCACGGAAAAACTCAGTCCTGATCCGATAAAATGTGCTTTTAGTTATATTTGAATGACAATACTGATGAGGGGTAGATGGCAACTGAATGGGCATGAAGGAACGTGTTTCTATAGCATCTATAGCTGTTAGAAACATTCCTTCCTGCAGCATCACTGGTGTAGGCCATGGCCAATATGCGAATGTTCGAAAAAAGTTCATAATTAGAGCATTTAAGGTGACATCAGGATATCTTTGACAAACATAAGCTGCAAGAACTGCCAAGTGAACTCCTCCCAAGTAACCAAGCAACTGCATGCAAATGAAAATGTTGCTTCACATTAACCATAAAAGTTGAGTTCAAGTATAAACATTACTTAAAAGTACAAGTGCACTTACAGTTCCATACACTCCTCTTCTTTTTGCCCATAATTTAAGACATCGTACCATAGATTGAAATTTCTGAAACACACGAGATTTGCACTTGAGAGACCACAATGCACACGGACAATAAAGCAAAACTTGAACAAATGATTGTGATATAATTGTTTGTGAATATGATTATTTTCTTTTAATGGGGTAAGAAAGGTTGACGTGTATCACACCTGAATATTTGGGACTAGCTGAAGAATGCGTTTGTTTGCACGCACCCCAGATAAGCTTTTCCAGCTGGTATCATCAATGTTCCTCATGAAGAATGGATTTAGTATGTCAACGTTCTGTATTAAACATAATTAACGTCGTCGGTGAAACAATTGACTATTTAATAAACCAAGTTCAGTATAATATTAAATATTTATATAAAAAAAGCGTTATTATGTAACGCATAACTAATATAGAGAGCCAATAAAAATTAGTTTGAATGAATATTGAGTATACGAGGAGGGATGGAAAATCATTAAATAAAAATTGAAATTAGCTGATTTTAATAATTTTTAATTAATAATAAAAGATATATTTAAAAACTGTGTTACAAATTACTAAGTTTTCTCATATTCACAAACTTGAAAGGTAATAGTACATATACATATATTTGAGAACTACATTATGTTTCTTCATGCTGACCTCAGGAACATATAGTACTTTAAGCTGAGCATATGGAAGATCAATGGAAATCCCATCGAATTTAAAACGCATTAAGGGGACTTTTGCACTCTTGACACACAGAATCTCTGATACTTCAGGTCTCCTTTTAAGCATGTCATGCAACACAACAAAAAAGTCTTCCTGTATAGATCATATATGTGAACATTAAGAAAAATACTACAGAGCCAAAAGGGAATGATAAACAAGAAACACAATTAACATACTGCAATTGTGGCAAAGAAAGGAGCAACGCACAAAGCATCAATGTCAGACTCTGAGCTGTGAACCTAAACATTATTAAAAGTTTGGAAGGGAAACAAGCTTTAGACGTGTGACAAATTAAATTTTAATAGTCAAATGGCAGTAAATTAAGAGAAATTTTAGCAAACAAATTCTTCAGCTGTCATCTTGTTGACCAAGAAAAACTATGCAGTAAAGGAATAGCTAAAAGGGGGAACACTAACTCCAAGGCCATAAGATCCATATGTCAATATGGTGGCAGAAGTAACAGCGATCTGGTGCTTTGGCAGTCGATGCTGCCATGCTACCTTCTTGATCCATGATGAGACTATCTGCAATTAATGTGAATAGCATGATAAATAAGGTATAATACAAGTGCAAGATTTGTAATTAATACAATACCATCAAGACTACTGCAAAGTGCATAATATTAATTGTGGTACAAGTTAAGAAAACTAAATTTAGATAAACTAACAAATACAGATTTTTTTTTTTGTTACAAAAGAAATATAAAAAACAACAAAGAAAAAGGCTTCTTGCAATAGTGTAACATCACACAGCAATTACAAAACAATAAGCTATCAACAAAATTAGATTTGAAGGAGGATGTCTCGGAAAAATAACGTTGCTTCCTCATTGAGCATTAATTTTAAGTAAAAGATTAGTTTAAAACTTAGCTTTTTATGAACATGACGTAAGAAAAATGTTAATTCCTCTAAAATTTTACAAATATCTAAAATCAGCAGAAAATAATGATAAAAGACCGATGATTCTTTATTTACGACATTGATCACTTGAAAATATAATTAGAGTAAGAAATACAAGATTTGCTAACATAAAATATGAATGTTATCCACGCATGCTCGATCAGGAAAAAGTAAAAAGCTATATTTTCAATATTTGAATATCTATAAAATAATGTTTTTTTTCTTTTTTCGTATATGTAATGCATCTTAAAACCTTCATCATTGTCAAAGATAACAAAAAATTACCTCACTTTAGTAGTACAAAATGTATTTTTCATAAAGCTACCATTCTTGCGAAAAAAATTTGATTGCAACATTTATAGCTATGCGATAGGTATTTTGTGCAAGTCTTTGCAATGTGGAAAAGCACCTATCAATTTTACGAAGTACTCTCTTCGTTTTTTTATTCTATATACTTTCGCAATTTTGATTTGCATTTTCTTTATCATTTTTTTATAAAATTAATAAACAAGTAACGTTTTTTTTTACAATTTTACCTAAAAAACTAATGTTTATTTGATAAAGAATAATAAATAAGTGAAACAATGAATATAATAAATAATAGATATAATAGAAATTTAAGTAGTAGCTTTTTTATAAAATTTATAATATCAATATTTTTCTTAATATCTGTACAAAAATTTAAATGTGAATGAAAAATATATATATTTTTAAGAAATGATATTTATACAATCGATATTTACAATTTCTTTTATAAATTTGTTGAAGAAAGAATGCATCCAAACCAGGCTGCATGTAGCATGCATTAAAAAAGAAAAGGAAGATTGAAAATGGCACAGCAGAAATTAAACAGGGAAGTTAAGAATTAATCGGGCAATGTTAAACCTGTTTGAGCTTCTGAATAGCAGATTTCCTTTTCTCTTCCTCTTCTGGCGATGGAACAAGACCTTCATCAGCCATGAACTGCATAAAAAAAGCAAAAAACTTTAATAATACCCAAAACCCCAGAAAAGAAAAAGATTTGGAAAAGTAAAATCCTGTTCACCTGAAGCAGAGAAATGGACCTTTGGTTATCCATAATGAAAAAGAGTGACGGGTCAGGGAATGGAAGCAGCACGCGGGAGGGTGGAGAGTGAATGATCGAAAATGGTGAGGGATTCAAAACGACGGCACTTGGAAAGGCGTAACTTGATTCAGATTCAAATTCCATGCAAGTTGGCAGAACCCCTCCCCCCAAAATAATGCCTCCGACAGAGAACAACAACAAATTCAAATTCAAATAAATAATTTCAAAGAAAACGGCTTTCTGTTGAGACCGTCTTTAGTCAGTAAGAATCTTGACGCCTATTCTTGGCTTTCACAATCACAATCACAATATTCTCTCTGTCTTCTTCTCTTTTAAGGTTTCTTCAGGGAAGGCCAAAATAATAATAATTTTTTGTTTTATTAAAAAACAATTTAAAATTTTTTTTTTACTTGTATATATTTTTTTCTTTTTTTCTTCCCTCACAGACGTAAATGTAAATTTTTCCTCCTTTTGCGCATTTTCTCTCCGTGTTTACGAGGGAAGGAGCAAATATTCGTCAGACACGTGGCAATATACTTTCTTTTACAGAAAATAAACAAATAATGAAACGATTTTTTTATGATATTTGTTGAATGCATGTGTTAAATGTAATAGATGTTTTTCTTTTATTTAATAATTTTTTTAGCATTTAAATTATTTAACATATGCATCTAAGTCAACATATAAAATAGAAAAATCGATAAGACCGAAAATAACATAAAATATAGAGCGTTAAATATATTTATTTTACCGTAAAATATACATATACTAAATATAGTTATTTGCTTTCAACTTGAAGCCACCAATTTTGGAGTGAGTGAAGAGTCAGTTGAGTTGAACGTTGAAAGAATCAAAGAATGTAGAACGCTGCGTAATCCTAATTATGACTTGGAGCTTAGCTAGCAGATCAACGCCCACCACCAACTCATATTAAGTTACGTTACGGAAAAAAGGACTTCAATAAAAAACCTTTCTTTTTCAATCCTTCAGACTAAAAAATTAAGATGTTGGTGTTATTTTTTATTATAATTTATATCATTTAATAGTATTAATATATTACATATTATAATTTTTTAAAAAAAGAGATATTTTTTTTTTATCTAAGATTAATGACCACCAAGTATTCCCAAACCAAAAAGAAATTTAAAACTATTTTTTATTCTCGATTTACAACTACTTTGTCTCAAAAAAATTTACACAATCAGATTTAAATGCATAATTTCTAGTTTAATCCAACAACCCATATGCATGTGAAATCAATATCGTTTCTCTTATAGTAAGATTAAATATATATTTTTTAACAAACTTTAATTAATAGTTAAAAATTTATTAAAAATGATAAAGCGTTAGTAAAACTTATTAGAACTATAGGCACCATTTGTAATTTATAATAAATTTTATTTAATAAAAAAATATGTTTAAAAAGTTTGCTATTTTTAACATATATTTTAATAAAATATGAATACAAGATTTTTATTATATATTATTAGATATGTATTAATAAATAATTTCTTAATAATTAATATTTTAAATTTTACAATTTTTTATGTTCATAAATATACTTAATTACTAAACAAATAAAACACTTGCTAAAAGTAGCCTCTTTATCCCTCTCAAGAAAATTTTCACTTACCAATGATAATTTAAAATAATTAATTAATATTTACCTAATAAATAATATTAATTTTCAATGGTGATTATTTTTGTTCTTAGAACAAGAGTTTTAATTTTTTATGACTTTCTTTCTTTTGTAAATGGTATTTTTATTAATTGAAAAAATCTTCAATTATATATTATTCTTTAATTATTTGATATTAATTTTGCTAACAAATAACATTTTAAAAAATTGATTTGTTAGTCATGCTAATAAACTCATTTATACTCATACCATTTCATCTTTAAATAATTGTGTAAACCTCATCGTTTTGCTGTTGATGCGCCGAGACATTATTTTCTTTCTAGCGTACGTGGGATGTGATATTAGCAAAGTAAACCTTATCCAATCCCGAAATCCAAATTAGGATTAATGTACAAATATTTAAATATTTTTAATAAATCGTACAATAAGTGTCAACTTTTAAATTTAATGTAGATTGTTGATGTTTAATTTTAATTAAAAATTTGCATTAAAACTAGTTTAAAACTTGCTTAAATTTTAAAATAATAATCATAATCTCCACCAAAAAGAACATAATTTCCGGAACAGATAACAGAAATGCATCTTAATATCAAAAAGAACAGAACAAATAGGCATTTCATCGATCCTTCTGGAGCGATCACAAATTTAGAATACAGAACACATCACAAAAATACAATTCCGCAACAAACCTAATATTAATTTTAAACTATAAATCTATGATTAAGTCCCCATCTAAGAGCTATCTACAAGCATCGCGTCATGAAGCAAAAAAAAATATATAATTGAAGAGATTGAAAATAAAGAGATGAAAACTAGAGAGTACATCCACAGCAAAGGAAGAAGTAGCAAAGCACGGCGACCAAAGCTATGGACTCAAGGCCAGTAACCAAAGCCCATAACACGTCATCCACCAACGACACGTTCCACTGATACAAACTCTCCAGGTTCCAAGTCCAACCAGGGTTCAAATACGACAAGTCCAACGCCGGCAACCGGAAAATCGACCACGTCCCCGACAGATCTAACTCCGGCCACCAGAAATTTGACGTGTACCACCATCTCCCTGACCTTGTCCTGCTGCACATGCTTTCCCTTCTCTTTTTCCTTAGAATTTCACTGTCAATTATAATGTTGAAGTATTTATATAAGTGAGGGTAAGAGATGCGGCACATATCAGTGCATGAAAGAAAATTGATGAACACGTGTTCCCCCAAAAATGAATCCATCTTTTTTTATGCATTTTTTTTTCAATTGTATTAGGTTTATTTTGTCATTGTCTGTTTGGGCCTGTCTTTTTATATAGGCCCAATCCAGCTGGTCCTACCTTCCTTTGAATTGGACTAAAACAGTATATCCAGAGTTCAGCAAATTTCTACGTTCTCTTCCCCTAATCTCTCACTCCTCCAATCACCAAAATAAAATAAGTTTGCTAACGGTATTTTTTAATTATTAATCATTATATCATTTAAAACTGGTAACTTTAATAAATCAGTTTTAAATAAAAATGTGTAATTTTTTATTTCATTTTAATTGGTTCTTAAATGCACACGTTTAAAATAACAGAACTAAACGTTTAACCTAATAAGTAGTCCGATAACTGGTTTTTGTTTTTAATAATTAGTAAAAAGAAAGAGAGTGATCAGATCGTTCTCACCAGACATATGCTTTTATTTTTAATTAAGTCAATCACTGTCACATAGCGAACGTTTAGAATAATTACACTTTTTTTTTTTTATACTTTTTTAACGATCTTTTTAAATAATATGTTAAAATAACTCTTAAAATTTATTTTAATCAATTTCTTAATTAAATTTATAATATAATTTTTTATATTAGAAGAATTTTTAAAATCAATATTGAATTAAATTATTTATCTAAAAACATTCATTAATAAATTTATTAAATTTATAGAATAGGATACATTTTAAACAATGAAAATAAACGATTAACTACTAATGAAAATTAGTTTGAATGACAAGTAGTTCAGCTTACTAACTCAAAATTGTTCAAGTAAAGTCTTAGATTTGAATTATTGTGTATATAAAAAATTTTTAATAATAAACTTATCTATTATATTTGAATATGTAACTAGATCGAATCTAAATTAAATAATTAGTTAAATGATTTTTGTTTTGATGGGTAGGTGTGCTGATGTAATTTGGTGATAAATTTAAATAAAGTTTCATAACGACGTTATATAATTTGACTTAAATTAATCAAGACTTAAAAGTAAATGGTTTAACTCTTTTACAAACAAGTGCCATGATTTTGCTTTCATGTTCATGAGTTGACCCCTTGCTCTCGAAGAAACCACGATAAAAACGCTACGTGTGAAAAATTTATCAATCATGTTTAAAAACGTATTTACACATTTGGCTTAGGAATTTGGAAGTTGAATATATGCCGTAGTAGATAACATAGGTTTTTGTTCTGGTGTGCAAAATAAATCAGAATCGTCTCTCTTTTATGAATGATTTAATTGAAGGGGCCAACCACGAAGAATATTATTAAAGTAAGTAATTATAGTTAATTATGGTCAAACACAAAAAATAAGCCATTGAAGTAAATAATCAAATTGTAAAATACTATCTTCTTTTTTATATAAAAATATTAAAAAAATTGAAAATTCGAAACCACCATGACTTTCTCAAAATATAAAATAGCTTTTATAAAAATATATATAAAATAGCTATGCCCCTAAATTAACCACATTTTTAATACTACCATTTATCATTAAATTCGAGACATATTTCTAATATTTTTTAACACATTATTATTGGATGAAATTTACGTGAAATTTATTAAATAGAATACCAAACTTACATTATTCAATAAAATTTACATAAATTTTATTAATATTAAAAAAATATATTAATAACTTTTTCTTAAATCAAATAGATAATATATTTCACCGTAAGGAAAAAAAACAATAACCATGCAAATTTTTAGTTTGAATGAACTATTGTATTAAGGACTTGCTATCATTGTAAAAGGAGAAAGTTGAACGTTTGAATTTTACCGTGTGTAAATTTTTTAAAGTCAATAACAATTATAAACTACAATCAGTGATTACTTGTGGATATTGCACGATTTTAACTTTGGACACACAAAAAAAGTAAAAAGTATTACGGTTGTAAATTTAGGTCAATTGTTCAATTATATTAGTGTATTTAGATTCAGTTTGAAAAGTGAGTAACTGTAAATTTAATGTAAAAGCCTAATAATATTGATGTAAGTGGAGAATTTGAATTTCTTGTTGGGGAATGTAGCCAAAGCAGAGACAAACGAACTAAGGCATAGCGTATTAAATACTTCTATTGACCCAACTCACTTCAGCTAATGTAAATCCCCAATTCCCGATATCATCAAAACTAATAAATGGAAAAGAAAATTACCTTGGAGGTGGAATTTTATAAATCATTTAATTGCATAAGGCAATATTTAGGTAACACTGCTTAAACACCCTTTAAAAGTTTGTAATTGAATACCCGAGTTTGTAACTTATTTTTAATTAAATCACTAAGTTACGATTCATTATAGTTAAATAAAATATTCTTAATTCTTTTTTAAATATAAAATTTTATTTAAAATCTTTAAAATAATTGAACTCTCAAGTTACTAATTTAATTATTAACAAGTCTTTAGTTATTTAATTTTTTTAATAAGTTGTCATATTTTAAGAGAGATTAAAAAATTTCCATCTAATTTTGAGAGAACCCCAGCCCAAAAAATCAAATAAAAATAAGTTGTTCAAAAATTAAATTACAATTTTTTAAACGGACAAATTTAATTATATAATCATCTAACTTGATTCTTAATTTTAAATCTGTCCTTAACTTTTTCCTGTTCTATTTAATCATTTAACAATTATTTTTGTTTCAAACTAACCCTTTCATTATATCTTTTTGTTTTTTTTTCCAAAGATTATTGAAATTAATTGAAGAACTCTGCTAGATATTGAATTGCAACCGACATACCAATTGTTTCCATCATTTTGTTGCTAAAATAAAAAGATCCAATAAATTTATTCTTCAATATTAGTTTTACTTCAATCATAGATTCTCTATATTTTACTAATGACTGATCATATTTCTTCAAAATTTGTCCATAATTAACGAACAACATTTATCCTATAATTTCATTACATTTTGTGCTCTATACACAGTATTAGACAGATCAAGATAACCCAATTCAAAAAAACAATTTGCAACAAAATTTAATAATGTTGTAACACGTTTAACTTGAAACAAAAATAAAAATTAGAAAACTAAGCTGAACAAAAAAACAATTCGAGAGAAAATTTGAAGCAAAAAAAATTAAAATATCAAATCACAAATTTTACCTGTAAAATACACAAACTTATTCAATAATTTGCAAAATATCTTTAAGAGCTAACGGATTACTTTAACCGTTATAATATAGCATTTAGAGTCAAGTAGTACGGGTTCCCCGAAATTTGGACCTATGCTTTTGAGCCACACATAATACTAAAGACGTCTTCCCATGTTTTCACGACGCAGGAGAGCGCCAAGCAATCATCATAACCGGCAAAGCAAGCAAGCTCATTTATTTCAACTTTCAAGCTTAAAATGATGCAGTCAACCAAAGAGTCTTATTTATCCCAGGAAGCTGTTTAGTGATTGATAATTTCACATTGAGAAGTAAGTAGAATGATAACATAAAATTGGCAAAATAGCAATCTATTTCAATAAGCAAACTTCAAGAACAATGTCCAAGAAGCTAATCTGACAGCCAAGAAAAAAGACGACATTGTGCCTTCTTCCTAGTTGAGATTCTAATTTAAATAATACATAAACAGATTAAATACCGGAAGTAAATCTCTCAGTTTATAAAGGGGAACATCATGAAAGCTATCTAATAACTGGAGGCTGTAACAGCATTCTGGCAAGGATCAATCGCCGCAACAAAAGCCAAAATTGCCTTCTCTTGAAACATTAGCTCATTCCGTCCATCAAAATATATGAACAATGTCATATGCAAATCTTTATTTCGTCAAAGAAATACAACAAACAGAATGGACAGCACAGGGGTATATAGTAGGGTTCCAAAACATGGAGTAACTAGTGTTCAGACAACCAAAGAACAGGTCAAATGTGTGTGGCAAATGGCAATGGCTGCTCAAGAGCATCTGAAAAATTACACTAGTTTATTCAGAAAATTTGGATGATGTTAACTTGTTACTAAATCTTGAATTTTAGGAAATCTACTCAAATCCCCATCACCACCTCACCCCCCCTCCCCCTCATTTTCTATCAAAATTTTTAATAAAGTTCAAGTTCAATTTAGAAAACTAACTACATTGCTACTAGGTGCTAGGTATACAAGCACTCCATTTTGACGGATTTTATGGTACTGAATTAAATTAAACTTTCAGCTATATACCACCAAACCAAATTGTTATTATAAAAGAGAAGGATACGTCCAAAACAGCACGAACGACTGCAAAATTATGAAAAAAACAAAAAAAGAGTTATAAAACTAAATTCCAAGTGTTCTACACACACACAAGCACAAAGAGAGAGATATAGAAAAATGATATATATGTAATGTATGTTCCATAGATCTTCTCTACTTGTGCCTAAGAGGTGATAATCTATCATCTCTTCCGCAATAAATGTTATCCCAACTTTTCACAATATATAATTTATCAAGTATATTAAGTATCTTATGCATTGGATAAACCCCACTTATTTTACTAATGTTGATCAGAATTTTCAGCACCAAACACGGATAGCAGAGACTAAAAATATATATACAGAAATCAGTAAACTGATAACACAAAACACTTTCAACTCCAAACAGAAAAAATGTCCTGCCAGAAAAGGCCATTGAAAATTCTAAAGTTCCTAGCAAGGTTCATTGCTTTGGATAGTGCATTCCTCAGAATGATTACTTTTAATGGTATGTTATGGATACGTAGGCAACAAAAGCTTTATCTCCAAGTATGTATGTCATGTGAACATCTAATTTAGAAAATGCTGCAATTTTTTTTACATTACCAAGCGGCTACATTTGGAGCAGGCTATTTTGTGAGTAATAGGTGCACCTTCAATATTCAAAGCATTTTCTTTCAATTCAATTATTAAGTATGAGGAGGCTAAAGTGTTTAGTGCATTTTGTATGCTATCCCTTGGCGCTTTGCCTAGAACATGATGCTTGCCTTTTCATGGTCACTCTATTGTTTAGCACATTTTTGTTTCTTTACAAGATTCTCCTTAATAAGCATACAGAGGGTCTCTTTTAATGACTTTGTTTAGCATTGTTCTTTATTTCCCCTTAAGTTTTTTCTCCACACAAAAGAGAGAAGAAAAAAATAAGCAGAATCAAAATAGTAAAGATAGAAATCATCTCATGGACCTGTCCAATCAATTTAAATGCTTGCTACTAACACAATTTCATGGATTAATCTTTGCTAGTTGCTACTGCATCTTTGATGCAGTAAAGAGGTCTTTTCACCCCATTCATGTTGTTCACCTAATGGTTTGTTTTTAGGGGGCTTCCAGCAATTGATATGCAAGAGTTTGGCTAACTCTACATCGGCAATGCCTTCTGTGGGTTTCCTAGGCTTCTGTAGCTTTTTATTCTTCCATACAATATCCATTCTCCATTTGGGTACATCTTCTCTTATCTTATCTAAACTAATTTCTCGTTTCATGAAAAATAAACAAGTTTCTCATACAAATCAAGCCCAAAGAAAGATGAAATGAACATAAACAACATACCATTAGGCCACCCAGAAAGCCATCAAGTAGTACTTGATTCCACGAGTCAAAGTAAGTGTGTATTGAAAATCTTGCTTTGGCAACAAGCCCAAGAGATGTAACTGCCATGAGAAGTAAGTAAAAGACAAATCCTTTCAAGCCTGTAAATCCCAAAATACCAGCAACAACTCCACCAATTATAGATAAAAATGTTCGGCTGCAAAAGAGACAAAGAAAAGAAAATTTGATTGCAAACCTAAGACAACATAAAAGAGATGTTTTTTTTCATCCCCTTCCCCCACCATCCCATCCACACCCCATTCACCTTTCTTTAAGAGTACTTTATATTTACATGGACTTGGATGACTATTTCATGGAGACAGAATCATACAACTAAAAATGTTGCGGCCCCCACACTGTTCTGTAATTAGGTCAAGAATGAAAGCAGAAAAGAAAAACCCTTCTGTTTGATGGTCTGGCCCAAATATAATATTTCTAACTCAAGTATATATTCACATACTATCAATAAGTGGCAGTCAAACCAAACCTGTAATAGATAATTTTCATGTTGCTTTGCATATTTTCAGCATTAAAAGTCAGCAACTCATTTCCTCCATTGCTTGATTTTGTCTGTGATGAACCCGAATCAGAATGTACAGCCATAATTATCTGCTTAGACTAATTTGATGGTATGTTTCTGCAAACAGAAGCAGAATAGAATGATTTTGTGTAGGAAAAAGATATAAAATAAATCATCCTGTGGAATTCTTAATTAAACATCCAGGATACTGAGGTTAACACCTAGTAAGTTCAAAGGGATGCTCAGCCATGAACACATGATGGACCACAAACTCATGAAGTCTGACCTAAGAAAGTTGAGTCATTAACAAGTATGATAATTCTCACACACACAGAGAAAGAGAGATAAAGAGAAAGAGAAAGAGGGAAAAGATTAAAATGAAACCATGGGAAGCCAAATCCTCCCAAAAGCCATCTGCTGTAATAACTCAAATTTCCAACACTTCAGTTTCAAATTTTGCAAACCTGGATGCTACCCATTCCCACTGGTCATTCATAATTATCAGATATTTCGTGGCCCAATAAAATTTCTAAACCATAGAAAATTTAACAGAATAAAACGATATAAGCAGATAATATCATACCATATACATATACAAATGACCATAAACAAAATTCATAAAACCTAATTACTATTTAATAAACAGTCGAAGTTCAGAATCACAATTTAGGGTTTGGCTCACTATGCAGTTCAGCTAAACTACTCATTGAACGCTAAACATTGACAATTGAAATCTCGAAGTGATGCATGAACTGAAACCCGTTCGAAAGCGTAAATTTTGTCCGACGGCAACACTTGACCAGAAACAATTAATTTAATTGAACGCAGATTTGCAAGAATTAGGAAACATAGGGGAATCACATAATTCGAAAATAACTAAAACGCGGCAAAAATCGAGATAGTTGCTTGAATCGGTTCAAATCGAAAATTGGGAACTTAATCAAAGAAGGAGATGCAGATGCTTTTCAATTGAACGAAATATCAGATTGGCAGAAACAATAATAATCGAATTGAATAAGAAAATTGGAGAATCCTTCACCTTAACACGTTGCTTGTGAAATTACTGTTGATGCAGCGCGTGCAGTACACTCAGTCGCCTCAGAAAACCTTCCGATGCTGTGTTTATATAACTTCTAAACTAGTTGGGATTTAGCTCGCGTACGTTGAGAGAGAAACATGACTCTTAATCATATGAAAATTAAATCTTTATTTTTTAATTATTCACAAATATTTAATACTGTATATTGAAGATTTTTAATTATACTTTTATAACAATCGTTAATAATGCAAAATTTTAACTCACTTTTCTATTATAGTGTCGTATTTTTTTAATTTAGTTAATTTTAGAAAGAAAAAAAAGCATCCGCTTATTTTAATCAAATTTAAAAGAGATTTTTTATAAAAAAAATATTATCGTATAAATAACCGATTATCAAATAAACACGAAATCTAAAACAAAATTATACGTTCATATGTAAATAAACTAGTGATTATTTTGTACTATATAAATATTATTCAATTAAAAATAAAATATTGAATAAATAATTTAAAATATATTATATGAAAATTTTAAAATTTATTAAATCTTATAAATTTAAAAATAATTAATATTTTAATTTTTCATGATAATTATTTTATTTTATTAAATAAAATTAAAAATATTTATAAAAATTTACAATTTAAACTAATAATAAATAATAAAATATTTAATGTAAAAAATTATTTAGCCTGATAAAAAAATTTAACTCTCGTTATACTTTTATTTAATAATTTATACTCATAAATTATATATAAAAATTAATTATAACTATTATGATAATAAGTGCACAAAAAATATATAAGCAGGAATCTTTTTTTCAGTTATTATTTTTTGTACATTGATTGTATATTATTAAATTAAATTGTCTTTTAAATAAAAAAAAATATATTCTATGATTATTTTAATAAATTTTAAAATATAAAAATAAATATTATAATTATTAATAATATAAAATATATTATATTAAATAAAATTTAAATAAATCATGAAAATTTAAATTAAATTAATGTTGAATTAAAAAATAAGTGCATAATGTAGACAAAATAAGTTGGTAAGATAACAAAATTAAGTCTTAAAAATACTCTTGTTTGAGAATATTTTTAAAAATTATATCTTTTAAGAATTTTTATAAAAATGCTCTTATTTAAAGAATTATTATTCACAATTTATATAATTATTGATTATATTCATGAATTTTAATTATATTTATACATATTTGCATGAATATTATTATTATTATTATTATTATTTTATAATAATTCATAAAATATAATATATGATTTAAGGGAAAAAAAATATCATGTCACTAAGTTAGATAAGATTTATCTATAATTAGGTTAAGTTAAATATTTTTTTTAAAACAAAATGAAATTATGAACTTAAACCTCTAAAATTATATTTGTCATTACATTAATTATTAAGAATTCTGGGCCATCAAATTTGCCCTTCAGATATTTAAATGATCGCTACATTTATCCTCTGTAAAAATTAATTTAATTTAAAGCCGTAACAACTTAAAATTTTCAGGTGGTCAGATTTCAGACTAAGAAAAAGAACATGTAGACCAGGGTTTGCTTTTTGAAACGGCCTATCAATCAACTCTCTCTCTCTTTTCAAAAGCCCACACTAGGTGAACATGATTGCTTATTTTAAAATAGAATACAATAGAAAATTGTCTTATTTTCAAGAGTAAGTAAGTGAGTTTATTTTATAATAAAGTACTAAAATTGGTATTAATTTGAAGTATTGGTTTGGTGGTACACTGCAGAAGCCTCTGCTAGAAATCCTGTTCAAGTGTCCATTGGCCTAAACTATCACCAAATCTATAAATGCAATGCAATTTCAGACCAGATTAATCATCCAGTAGCACGCTTATTATAATTTACTGCCGTGGGGTAGGCACAACAGTTTCAAGATACACATACATATTTATAATCTACAAAGCATATGCATTAGAATTATTATGCTTAGGTAGTATATTGCAAGTAAGATCTTGCTATACGACCACTTGCACCTTCAGGGTAGAAGCCACCAGGAACATGTTCATTACTTGTACCATATATTATTCTCAAAATTTCTTGTGGAGTTCTATCATATGCTAGTGAATCTTTGTCACCAGCTAGAATGTTGCCTGTGAGTCTGCCCTCAGCACCTTCAACTCTAGGCACCACAAGACCCTCATCTTTCAAACCTGCTTTTCCTAGCCTATTCCTAAGCACTGAAATGCGATTTGTGAACTCTGCTACGCTCACTCCATAGGGTTCAACTAATAACCCTCGACGTTCGTATAACAATGCTCGAATAACTGCATCTTGCCCCGACTCTACTCCCAGAAGCCCTGCAACAAGCTGCATGTCCACTATGTACATAAGGTCATTATGTGAAATTTTTTTTTTTCAAATAAACTCCTTAATCAGTCCTTTAAATTGTATAGGTTTGAGGTTTTATTTTATTTTTATTAGTGTTCAATTATATATATATATAAATACTTTTTTCTTGTTGTTGTAATTAAAAAGTACTAATAAGAATGTCTATTTTATTATCAAGAAATTTAAAAAATTATTATCAACTTGAAATTATAAAAAAATATTTAATAAGAAGTATTTAATATTTCTTATCCTTAATCATATACATGTTAAAAATTTCGATTTTTTACACAGGAAATGATTGCTATACTGTGTTAGTGGCTTTGATTACCCTCTTAGAAGTAGCATTTTGCAGCTTTGGATTGGCACCAACATAACCAGTAAGGCCAACATAAGGAATCACGTAAGATGCAAGCAGAAAGTTGATCTCATTGGCATAAGGGTCAAAAGGAGGATGCAGAGGTCGTCCAAAGGCACTGTTCATTATTTTGCCAAAAGATGTCGAGCTTAGATCCAGCAATGGCCTAGGGAACCCTCTCACTTGGCTCTTTATAGCCCTGCAATTATAATTCAACAATATCAAAATCTTATTTCATCAAGTTAAGTAAGTTACATGAATCAAATCATGTTTGTTAAACTTAATTAAAAAAAAAAAAAACTTATGTGCAGTTATTCAAATGATGTCAGTATTTATCAACTAAATTTAGAATTCTATTCTGATTAAAAAAATTATAAATTTAATCAACAAAAAACATTAACAAAACTTACGAAATAGGACTTGGAGTTTTCTCCTTTCTAAATTATTTTTTTATGATGTGATACTTTTTTTTCAGCCTAATTAAAAGTGATTGTAATTGCAAAGAGCAAAGAGAGAACAAACCTCAAATGTCCAACTTCTTGCAAACCAAATTGCAAGATGACATCTCTGACAAGGATGTCCAATTTGGCCAATTTGGCACCAATGGGAGGGGGTCCTCCTTGGGCTAAGTTTGGAGCAACTACATCCAATCCATGACCGAGAGACCCAAACAAGAAGAACTCAGCTTCCAAGTATTCTAAATTAAGAGGAAATTCTAAAAGATCAACATCTGTTTCTGGGGGGGTTGCCGCACTTGCTATGGCCACAAAAGAACCACAAGATTCGGAGGGAAGAAGGGGAAAAGAGGCTAACAAAACAACAACAGAGGCAATGGCTTTGGCAATGTGAGGCCCCATGTTTTAGAATCTTTTTTCCGGTGATGATGCATATATGTCACTGATGATCCTGTCACACATATATTATGCATTTATATACAAAAAAAATCTTTTCGGTTCTCATGCAACTAGTCAATAAAATACCACGTGGCAAGAGGATGCAACATAGTCCAACGTTGGGGTTTGCTACGTGGATTTATAGAATTAGGTTTACGTGATTAAATGTGCATAGTCCTTGTTTTGGGGGTGGGGTCACTTTGGAAGAGCAAAAGTGAGTTCATCTTCATTGGAACAATGTTGATGATCTTTGGTGCTTGGTTTGGTTTACTTTGGGTTCGGAATTTGGTTGAATTGGGAGTGTTTCAGTTACGAGGCACAAAAATGATGAATAAATGGTTTAAACTACTTTGTGTGATCTCCTATTGTTATGAAAAATTTATTTGGCATTCAAATAGAGATATTATTCCCCAGAAACTATTGATAAATTTATTTTTATCTCTCTCAATCGCATCATCTATTTTATCAATTTTTTCTTTTCTATCTAAAATAAGTTGTAAAAAAAAACAAATTTACTGTATAATTATAATTTCTCTCACACACATATATATATTTTAAAAAATACAAACTGTGACATATCTGAGAACAATGACCCATCACCTAACCGAGTAGTTAGATTCCATGGACGATTTATGTACGCAATCTTCATCAAAACCAGGCATTTTTCTAGAAACGTGAGATATGCATATGCACCCTTTTCTCTTGGTGGATTGTGAAAGAAAGTTACATTTCGATAATGAATGTACATGTTTTCAATTTCGTTTCCATCCACGCTCACGGAAAGAAAAGCCAAACTTTGTCACAATTGAATGTGTTTTTAGGGTTAATTATCCTACTTGCCTACTATTCAAATATTTAAATTACATTATCTTTTTGATATTTTCAAAACTTATATTCTTTTTTTGAAAGACGAAAATGTATTAATCCCTTAGTCTGTTTTAATTTTTGGGTTTTTGTTGTCTTTATCATTCTTTTAAGCAGAATTTAAATATATTTACTTTTATAAATAAATCTTCAATTCTTGTTCTTGAATGAAATAATTTTAAAAAATATCTTAAATTTAATATTAATAATTAAAATAATTAATCTTTAAATTTATTAAATTTAAAAATAATTAATAACATAAATTTAATTTTTTATTTTAATAGTTTTTCTAATTTAATAATATCGATACAATGTCGGAATATATGTTTAATTATTTTAATATCTTTTTTCTATCTCATTTTAATACATCTACTAAAAGCTATCTATGACTCTCAAAGTCAATGCTGGCTAATTTTGTATAACACTGATATGACTTTGAAATTGTGAATATAAAGATAAAGATTTTGAATAAAGTTATAAAGTGAACTAAAGTGTACTACAAATTCATCTTTTAGAAGTGAGGTGCATAATTTTTAAAAATAAAAAGTATAATTTAAATATCTATAATAAAATAGTAATATAATTTATACAAGAATAATTATTAAAAAAATATTTTCTTGTGTCTATGGGCTCGCAAAAATAATTTTAAAAAAAATTTTATTTGAATTTTATATAAAAAAAGCAAAAAATGATTCACTATATGTTTTTTAAATAATTTAGAATATTTTATATCATGTGTAATGTTCATGATGGACACACAATAAACAACTCCGAACTATAAATCATCTTCTATCATTTTCTTATTAATGATCCTTCTTACCAAACAGGGCAAGTATTGAAATTTGAAGATATACTAAATATATTTACCTTTTCATTTAGTATTTTACTAACAAAGTCGAACTATTAACAAAAAGAGGTCCATTGGTTAACTGCTCTAGATATTTACTCAATTTCTCAAAATTCATAATTAGATGATCAACTTATATAAGAGCACATGCATTCAATTCAATGCTTTCTTGGGCACCTCGTGGGGGCCAATGTTTTCCTCAGTGCTGTTGAAAATAATGTTGCCCATCAGAATCAATCAACAAATTAATCCCAATATTGAGTATGGTTCAAATGAATATGCTTGATCTTTTTGTTATAATGTAAATGCAAAAGTTTGTGTAAAATTATCGTTCTATATATAAAAAATTTGGCTATGATTTAAGAAAAACGAAAATAAATTTTGGTCATGGGGTGTACATTCATGGTTGGCCAATGAAATAAATGACGTTAAAAATGTGTTAACAAGTAGCCATATTAATAGTTTGAGTAGCCATATAATATATAATTTTTTAATTTAAAATTAAAAAATATGTTTTTCTCTTTTTTTACTTTCAAAAATCTTCTTCTAAACATACTTCAAGGCAACGAGAGAAAATAACTCGAAGTAAATAAATTTTAATGCATACATATTATATTTTTAAGTATGAATTAAAGATATTTTTAGTTAATTATTAGATATTTTTAAAGATAAATATATCATTAAAAATTATATCTATATATAATTTTTAATTTAGTTTTGATATAAAAAAATTATAGATTTGTCTATATTCAAAAAAATATTTTTATTTTAGTTCCTGTGATAAAAGAGTATTATAACACCATCAATCACAGCCCTGCATGTCTAAAGGAATTTCAACTTCACACATGATTCCTACGAGTGAGTCTACTGAACAATGATCATTCTTTCTTCTACATGTTTTCTAAGATGTTGAGCTTCAACTCTCCTTCCTTGAGCCCATATCAAGTAACCTTTAGATCCTCCTATCACTTCTCATCATTCTCCATCTTGAACTCCACCAAATCGCTTTCTTCCTTTTGTATTCAACATCCATAACTCATATAACAAATCTTCTACCGTCCTTATTTCTAACACGGAAGTTTGAAACTTTTATGTGTTGGGTTGGAGAATTGGACACTACAGAAACAAAACGTTCCTGTTTATTTTTCTAACGAAGTTGTAGCAGATAGAAGGGCATATTAAAGATTCAACATCTTCTTGTAGATGTTTGATATTCATGTATCCGATTCTAAGTAAAAGTCTTGTGTTTATTAATTTATGGTTATCATCATATCATGGCTTGCTCAGGTGAAACATCAAGGATCCTCGCAAGTGTTAACATCACCACCCAACAATATTCATGTATTTGACTTTTAGTAAAATCTTCTTGTTTATTAATCTCTAGTTATCCTCTAGTTAACATCATCACTCAACCATATTCAAGTATTCGGTTCTCAGTGAAATCTTCCTATTTACTAATCTTCAGCTATCATCGTAACATGACTATACTATCTCAAGTGGAACAACTTCAAGGTCATATATACTTCAGAACAAGTTCTTTGAATCGTGGATCTGCGAGACAATCTAGAATGAGGAAGAAGAATCACTCGGACGTTTTCGTTTCAAGTGGCTCAACTAAGGAATGAGAATTAAAAAATTCTCGCAAGCATTGACATCACCATCCAACAGTGCTTGAGTGTTGAGGTTGAAAACTCAATAATAATCACTAGAGTGTGGAAAGCTAAGGCACATGTTAGAGCCTTTGACTGCTAGTACTGGGATTGTGTTCAATTCAAAAGACATGATTTTCAGTATGTCTTTAAATAGCTAATGAGTAGTTCTTTCGAGTGAGAAGTAGGTTTGGCCAAGTTGCACTGTACATCACCACCCCAGAAGTAAAATATTTGAGAGTCCAAACTTACTTTACATTCATAGATAGTGGTCTAATGACAAGCAATGAGAACAGAAGTTTGGAAGAATAAAGAGCATGGTACCTTGCTGATATTTCGTTTGATACATAGGATTACGGTGGGGAATAGTAATGGTGTTATAACACCCCTTCATGACAAGGACCAAATGAAAAATGGGTCACATGTATCGGAAATAAAAATGTATATAAACATTACCAAAATAAACATAAATTTCTTTGATGATCAATATACTTAAAGAACTTAACTATGTTTTAATTGTGTTGGTCTTATAAATATGCATAATTATATATTAAAAATATTTTGGGAGGGATGACCTTCCCTTGCCCCCTGCGTCCCTGTTTCTACTTTGCATGTGCAAATTTTGCAATTTTCTATTTTTCTTTCAAGAAATCAAAAATAATTTTTTATAAAAAGTTATAAACTTTAATATTATTAATACATTTTAACCGTGATTTTTACTAAAAACTTTTGTTTTTTATTTACTAATCAGTGTTTTCAAAATACACATTAATAGGACCCGTCATATAAATATAATTAGTTTTAAGAAATTGAATAGCTTGTTATGACTATAAATCATAACAGTCAACACAATATTAGTGTCATTGGGTTAGAAAGTTGGCTCTTCTCATAGAAATTAGATGGCTTAGTTAGCATTGCATCACATGTAGTCTCATCCACGTATCTTTCTTATTCTATAAATGCATGTTGCGTCTCACTTGTATCAATGTATTCAATCAATACAATGATTTTCTATGGAAGCCTTTAATTTGAGCTCAATAATGTTTGGTCACATCAAGCTGGCATCACATACTTCCCCTTCCCAAATTATGAGTAGATTCTTGAAAGTAATGAGTACAGAAGAACTCTAATTCCTTCAAGGTTTTGAAATGCTCGAATACCAATCTTACAACTTTATATATTTGCAATTATAAGCCATTAAAAATGCTATTTACTACAACCGAGTTTTCATAAAAAGATTATTATTATTTTTTGTCGTGATCATAAAAAGTGTTAGAAATGACTTTCTAAACAACAAGAATAATAAAAGAATGAATATATGAATGGAGAGGAAAAAAAATACGGTTGTTTTAAATGAGAGAAAAGGGAAGTAAGTCCTCACTTACAGGATAAATCATATTTAAATTTTACCTCTCTTAATAAATATTTGATAAATCCTTACCTATTCATTGCTCATCAAGGAGAAGAGAGAGAAAGACAATATTTAAACAAGAATTTAAATCTTTAATAATATGGTAGAATCATGGTAAAAAAGAGAAAGACACAATTTTTATCAATTTTAATCATTGATATTTACAACCAGTCAAGATAAGTTTTTATTTGATAAAAATAATATACCTGTCTTTCTCTACCTTCACCATATCATGTCTAAATTCTTTAAACATAACCTTATCACGTTAAAATTTAACATGAAAATATCTATTCTGGTATCAATTCTTGATAAAAAAAAAATTATTTTAAGAGAAAAATAAATTAATTTTGGAGTTTTTACAAAAATTGTTTGTACCAATCAGCCTTTTAACCGGTGCTCTTTGCTGGTATCAGCTAGTTACCCCCTGTGTTGCCAATCATACAAAGATCTTAGAATTTAATATTATAAGGAAACACAACATCCTAATACCATTGATCTCCATATATTTAAAACCATAAGGTTTAGAATTGTTCTACATTCCTAAAGAAACAAAAGAATCAAGGATAAAAGACAACACCTACCTTCCTACATTCTCAGCCCACAATTTTCTAGTATCTGGCTGTCTAACATTTGCTGATGTCTCATTTCTAGAATCTGTATCATCATCATCCCCGTCAATAACAATAATATCATCTCTGCCACCATCATCATCATCATCATAGCCATCCATCTCATCTTTACCATCCTCATCATTATCGTAATCTTCATCAAATTCTTCATCATCCTCATCATCATCACCTGCATTTGCACGCAGTGTATGAAACTCAGGAGGAGGAGGGCAATCTTTAGTGATTGCCTCATCCCTCTTTATCACGAGATGCCGAATAACTCTTTCATCTTGGTCCAGCAGAGTCTTGAAATCGTTGATATATTTGGCATCCAACTCGAAGTTCATCAAAATGTAGCGGGCATTATTAGCTTTCTTTATTTTGTAAGCTAGCCTTCTCATACCCCAATCATTTAGTCTCCACACCGTCCCTTTCTTCTCTCTAAAAAATTCTGCAAATATTTGCAAAAATTTCAGGGAAAAAAGTAATTTTTCACTAACCAATCCTTTGCAGGAGCTTCTAAGAACTTGTTGAATTCATTATCCAGGTAATTGTTAAGGAATTCAAAGAGCATTTTTTTGTTAGAAGCTCAAAAACATACATTCAATTAGCAGACTGAGACTGTAAACGTCCTTGTATTTCCACAACTTACAATTTACCACCATCAATTCTATGTTGCATATTGTGCCAAACACCGCCATAGAAAATAAAGTATATCTTGGGCAAAGTTTGGCTTTACTTGCTCTTCCTAGTTTCTACTGAATGAATGTCGACAAAAGAATTGAAATCCCTGATGAAATTTTCGGATAGGACATAGGAGAAGCTATGACTTCTTAACTTTTAGCAAAGGCAAGTTAAGCAACAATACCATTAGGGTTAATGTGACAGATAAGGGCCGTAAGGAAACACCTAGCCCATTACAAATACGCAGCATCAGTCACAAACCACCTGGTTCTGCTAGATCAGTTCACCTATTTTGGAGATAGCTACAGTAGGACTTGACTCCCGGACAGAAATAGTAAAACTATTGAATTTATTCTATATGGCATCAGAGGAACATGAACAGTTTAAAAAAAATTAAGAAGAAAAAGAAGTTATACGTGAACTATTTACCTTGAACTTTTTCATTGACAGCAGCAACCTCATCTTCATGCTTCTCATGAATTAAGTAAACAACTTCATAGTGGCGCACTGCATGGGTAAAGAAGCTGAGTATTGTGAGATAGAGCACTTTACTTGCTCGATGAAATATACACAAAGATTGGCACAGGGATCTTTAATTTTCCTACTTACTAACAGAAGATAGATAGCTATAATAAGAAGCCAAATTGCATCTTAAAATGTATAGGGTGAACACACGACTTAAATTATCAAAATGTAATGAGACGGATTGTAACAAAATTAAAATAATTGTAGACATATAAATATGATATATGACTTCGCTGCCAAAAGTGAATGTTGTCAGACAACATAACTTCTCGTGCGTTGACCTCACATGAGCTCAAAAGCGAGAGACACAAAAGATGATCCTGATAACCCAAAAGTAGCGTGCAGGATCACGACTCACAAACTTAAACATCAGCTTTGATGGTTAGGAGTGAGCATGGATTGGTAACGTCAATGTATGGTTGGCCAAGTAGAAGATAACGTCAATCACAGTCCTTTTTCACAAGATAACAAAGTGCCATTAAGAGAGTTGGCACCAGTGAGTTCAGCAGGAAGATGGATGGAAGGGTTAATTTGTTGGACAAGGTCCACTGGGTCATCAAAAGGAAGAGGGTTCAAGGAGCAGTGGTGGGAGAATCCCCAGATACCAATAGAAAAGGGAAGAAAGATGGATGGAATATGATTGCTGATTAAACCTTGTGAACTCTGGGTACCATGTAAAGACCAAATCTTCGAAGTGAATTATTCATCACAGTGTAGCTATTTGAACAACGATATTTGCACAAGTGTTACTGTCGACAGCTCAAAAACAAATAAAAGAATTACTGGAGGATGAAAATAATTACAAAAGAGATGTTACAAAATTCCGACATTTACGAAATTACATTAGAGAAACAGTAAAATATTTTCTCTTAACAGTAAGGAGAAAGTACGTACGTATTTCAACATTCATATCACTTTCCAGTTCAAGCATCAGCGATTCAAAAAGTTGTCCTGTAAATAGAAATGAAAATACGTTGAGAAGAATAACCTCAGCAAGTAATCCAGAACTGTTTAGCCTATAAAGACAGATGCAAACAACTAGGATAGATTGAACAATGACCACTCACTCTCTTCAGCATCTAAAAACTCTGGGAGAAGCTTGCCATCTTCCTCAACCGTTCTCTGAAAAATGGAAGTTAAAAAACCCCCCCAATTCAGTAACAAAGCGAAAATTCATCTCAAATTTAAGCATCCAAAAGTATTAATCTTTTATTAGAAAAAACAAGTTCTTATTCCACTTTTGTATCTCCAGTGTAACAAATACTTCATTTTTCAACAAAAGTCTACCACTTCGGATAAAAACATACTCAGTTAACTAAACTCTACAGGCAAGGAAGTAATACTAGTGTCATATACTATCCAAATGAGCAAATTTGTCCTTTTCCTTACCCTTGATTGTGAGGAACGTTCCCTTCTAAACAAAACAGAATAAGCTAGGATTTGGTAATACAAAGAAAAAGAGTTCAAAACACCAGAGTAGTACCAGTAGCAGTGAAATTTCAGATAACATAGAAGTTCAAGCTGAACGAATTTTCAAAAGGGTATCTTGCCCTCAAAATTAAACCCAAGAAAATTTGCTCCAACCGAGAAAATAACACTGAACTTAGAGGGAAACGAGAAAAACAAGTGGTGGGTATGTGTAAAAAAATGACCTTTTTAAGGAGCACAGATTCAGGAAAGAAACCTGTGGCCTCGTCAGGTTTTGGTGCAGAGCTATGGCTATCTTCTTTCTTATCTTTCTTGCGGGCATTAACAATCACTGATGCTACTTTTCTGGACTTATTTTGAACATGGAGTCGCAATAAAGAAGAAGAAGGGCACCCATTTGCGAATAAGAAGCAGGGGTTGTAATTGAAATTGAACCTAACGCAGTTACCGAATATCATCGTAGTTTTTGGAAGCTTAGGGAGAAGATAAGAAGGTGAAGGAGATGAACCATGGAGCAGTGCCTCCATTGAGGGATGGATATTGAATACACACACTTCGATTGTGTAAGCAATGTTATTTATTTAACCCGGTAGTGTTCGTTTTATTTGGATACATATATCTGCATAATTGTAATTTATTTAAGATTAATTATACTTTTAGTTTCCCTATTTTAGAAAAGTTATTTTAAACACATATATCATCTATATTTATGAATTTTACTTCTTACGCCTCACTATTAAACGAAAATTACTTTAACACCTCGTTGGTGTATTAAGACTACCAAGTTTTACGAAAGATCTAAGAATTTTTAGTTTTTTTATTTAAATATTATAAATTTAAAAATAATTTCTTAATTTATGAGTTTTTTAAAATTATTATTTTTTAAATAATTTAGTTGACGTCTCATACTATTTACAAAATAGCTTATAAAAATATTAATATTTTTAAAAATAATAAAATTTATCATGAAAAAGTAAAAAACTCATAAATAATAACACATGTCACAATCTTAATAAATTTTGATGTAGAAAATAAAAAATTATTAAATAGTGATACTTATAATGATCTTAATGTATTTTGTCGTAAAAATTACACAACTTAAATATAAATTATTTTAATTTATTATAAAATTATAATCACATTATAATTAAATAAAATTCTAACAAAATTAACTTATATTATATCTGAAAATATTTTTTTATTTACATACTATTTTAAATTACATCTTAATTTAAAAAATTAAAATTATTAATATAATTAAGCATAATAATTTTTATTAATAGATATTAATTATAATTATGTTAAAATTAAAAAAATAAATTACTAACATAATAACAGAAATTTTTTTATATTTATATATAGATTACTAATGTAATGACAATACATAATTTATTTTCATTCATTTTAATAACATAGTAAAAAAAATTTAATTTAAGTTTACATACAAATCATGACCACATTTAAAATAAAAATAAAATAACTAACATAATACTATAAAATATTTTTTTATTTACATACAAATTTAAATTATATCTTAATTAAAAAAATAAAATTATTAACATAATTAAGCATAATAGTTTGTATAAGTAGATATTAATTATAATTATATTAAAATTAAAAAAATAAATTACTAACATAATACCAGAAAATATTTCTTACATTTATATACAAATTACTAAGGTAATTATGATACATAATTTACTTTTATTAATTTTAATAACATAATCAAATAAAATCTAATTTAAATTTACATACAAATCATGACCACATTTAAAATTAAAATAAAATAACTAACATAATATTATAAAATATTTTTTATATACATACAAATTTAAATTATATCTTAATTAAAAAATAAAATTACTAACATAATTAAGCATAATAGTTTTTATCAGTAGATATTAATTATAATTATAGTAAAATTAAAAAAATAAATTACTAACATAATACCAACAAATATTTCTTATATTTATATACAAATTACTAATGTAATTATAATACATAATTTACTTTCATTAATTTTAATAATATAATTAAACAAAATCTAATTTATTTTTACATACAAATCATGACCAAATTTAAAATAAAAATTAAATTACTAACATAATAATAATTTCTATGTAAATATTAAAAATATTTTCTTGTATGTTAGTAATTGTTTTTAATTTTAATGTAATTATAATTGACATTTAATGATAAAAACTATTATGCTTAATTATGTTAGTGATTTTTATTTTTTTAATTAAGATGTAATTTAAAGTTGTATGTAAATAAAAAAATATTTTTAGATATAATATTAGTTAATTTTATTAGAATTTTATTTAATTATGATGTAATTATAATTTTATAGTAACTTAAAAAAATTTATATTTAATTCACATAATGAATCAAAATCGTGACACTTATCAACTTTCGGTAAGTTGTACAATTTTTATAGAAAAATTTATTAAGATTGTGACACGTGTTATCATTTAAGAGTTTCTCACTTTTTATGGCGAAACTCATTAAAATCGTAACACATGTCACCATCTACGAGTTTTTTATTTTCATTCTCACTTTCTATGGCGAAACTCATTAAGATCGTAACACATGTCACCATCTGAGTTTTTCATTTTTCATGGTGAAAATGCTTCTTAATTTTGCTATAAATATTGCAAAATTTTTAAATACTTACATATGTCATGATCTGGTTATTGTGACAAATTTTTTTTTAAATTAATACTTTTGCCAGCTGATTTGGCAAAATAGTATGACATGTCAATTAAATCACTGTAGACAAAAAAATAGTTTTAAAAAACTTATAATTTAAGAAATTATTTTTAAATTTACAATATTTAAATAAAAAAAGTCAAAATTTTTATATATAAAAAAATGAAGGCGTTTCATTTTTTAAATAAATTTATTTACCTTACTAATCAAAGTCTAATCTAGTTTTCTAATCTAGAAGATTCAAGAAAAACATATTCAACAAAATTTAATAATCATTTTCCATTTTTATTGTTTGAAAAATAATATTAATAAATCCTCATGTACATTTCTTTTTTAGAGAGGGCAAAGGGTGGAATATTTGCTTGATTGCTTTTTAAGGGAATCAAATTAATCTTAAATAAATATATAAATTAGTCCATATAAAATAATATGGCATTTTTACAAAATTTTGTTTGTATAAATTAGTATAAATTTTTTATTATTTTTATATTTACAAAGACTTCTCTGAAAATTTATCCAAGTTACTATGTATAAATAAAAACTATAAAAACTAGAACAAAGCAAGTACTATTTTTTAACGAAGGAAATTGTACATACGATGTAAAAATAACTTAAGAAACATCAAAGAATTCATAAGTAGGATTATAGATCGATGGAAAATTCATAAGATCGTTCCCGAAGTATAAAAGCCAACCATTTAGGACCAATCAACAATCTAATTATAGTGCATTTCGATAATTTTTAAAATTATTGTTCTATGAAAATAAAGCAGTAAATCATATTTGTAGCTTTTGCTTTTCCTTTAAAATTGAGCATTTTTTATCTGAAATAAGTTCTTGACAAACAAGCAAAGCAAAACCAGATGTATAAAGTCCCTGTGTTTTGTTTCAAGACCAGAAAGTATCCTTGTATGTTTGGTTCATTTTCAATGGCGCGACAGAAGTATAAATACGGAAAGACTTCGGGTGATAATAATATATATATAAATTTGGAAAGACATTACACTTTTTGGTGAGCATATTTGATTGCACTTTTAACATTCATGTATTTGGCAAAATTCAATATCAAGCAAACCACAATAATTTATAACTTTAATATATTTATTAATTGAATCAACTATATTCAAGACCGTTAAGTCACAATTATGAACTAATCCAAAACACGGTTAATGTAAGGTAGCATCTGAGGTGCTAGGAGTATGCTCTGGCTGTTGAAAATTGAAGCTTGATACAATTTGTTCTCTCTTCCTTTGGCCGAGATAGATCATATGATTCATGCATGATATTTTCGTCTAATTGCATAGAAGACCCAGTTTGATCCTCGCCGCTTAAGATTGAATCTTTGACAAGGAAAATCATGCGCAGGGGACCATTGCCACAAAGCTGTACTAGAAAGGCTAAAGGTATACCAAAAATTTATTGGAGAATAGATCTACACTTGAGAAAAATGACGCTGTACAACAGGCACCAACTCAATTTTGGGGCTTCGTTAACAGATAGCAACTCTGAAACTTACATGCCTTTCAAGCCTGCGAAGTGCTCAAGGCAACTCTGCTATTATGATAAAACATGATTTAGATATCACCATTGCTTTTTTCCTTTTTTCTTTCTCTTGGTGCTACTACCACTACCATTGCCAGGACTTTTCATCCCATTTCCAGATTTGGAAGATGGGCTTTCTGCTGCAGTGCCACTATAATTGTCAAACACACCTGCCTGTACTGCATTCTGAAACCACTCAAAGAATTCTTCCTCAGTCATGGTTTCTTCAATATTAGGTGTCGGCATCCGCCCACCTCTTTGAGCTGAAGTAGCTCCTTTGCCAGAACTATGCTTGGACATTAAACTAGTGTTCACATGAAAACTTGGTTTATGAGTATTCGCTGGACATCTCATACCCTGGAACAATTTGTTCATCATTATTGTCTTGTGGATTTTAATCTCCATACAAATCTCAAATTGCAAGATATGCAGTGTGAAGTGTGAACACAAGCAGATAATATATAATTCTCTTAATTTAAGATTTAAAAATATATCCTCCCTTCCCCTCCAAAAACCTTCTACCAAACATACTCTAGAGAAATGTCATGACTTATTCATTTCACTGTTTAACATGGCAATGCTGGTCTAACAATCAAAGATACAAGCCAATCACATAAATCCTCTAATTCACTTAATTAAAAACCTTAGATTGTACAGACAAAATCAGAACAATCTTACGCTGAATATTTCTAAAAATCAGTTTTTTTTTTTCAAATGAACAATGCTGATACCTTGTGTAAGCTCAAATAAATCCTTTCAAGTATGTCAAAACACACACAAGGTCAAAATATGGAGGTAAAAAAAAAAAACTAAATTACCTGACAGATATACCATTCAGTGGCGTTATATATTCTGCTATCAGCGCACACATATGCCAAAGGAGCAACTACCTAAAGATAAAACAGTTCAAATTATTAAACAAAATTGTACTCTCAATCTCCACCAGGAATTGATCAAAATTTAAAATTGAAAGACAAGTTATAAGGTGTTCTCCAATAAGAAGACATTCACGATGCTACATTGAACCATACCTTCTGCAATAAGCCAAAAAGAAACGGTTGGGAAGATTGTTCAACCCATCCATCACCATCCTTGGCTTGATGAAAATCTTGGCAATCCTTTAAAACAAAAGACCCCATTGTAAAACGTTAGTACCATGACATGTACAAAAATGCTTTCTTTTTTAGGGAAATCGCACGATAGGATACTGGCAAGATTTTTTCAATTATTAATGTGGTTAGGCAGCCTAGCTAAGTCAGTTACACATGCTACCTAGGCTTCATTGAGAGGGCGGGGGGGAGAAAAAAGATGAATAAACCTGGCACCATCTTGCCCGAGACTTTTGTTTCTTGGTGTGTATCCAGACATGAAAACCCCCACACTTTTTGCAGGCTATTCGTCTTGAATCACCAAATGGGTCTTCACCATCAGCATCTGATCGTGCAAATCCTGACGAAAAGAACCCATGCCTACCATTCTGGCAAATCAGTCACATTATTAGCTAAAGTTAGACCAGAAGATAACACAATAATCAACAAATAGATTATAAGGTTCTCTAAACAGTCTGGAGTGTTCAGAGAGCATTGGAATGTCTAAATAAAAAAGATACAGTTGAAAGAGTACATATCAGATGTAAATACTTTGAAGTAATCATGAACAAATGTACTAAAATCACCATCAAGACATTATTTATTACAATTTCATTATTTCTGGATTCTGGTTTCTTACTTAAGCTTTGCACCACTTGCAACGTCAAAATTTCTATGGATGAGACAAATAAATGTTCCATTCATGACCAAAGTAGAAATGCTTCACTTATCTTTTATGATCATGAAGAATATATAATCCTCCTTTCTGAGTCTTAAAACTTTTTTACAGTTTTTATTCCCATCCCTAATACAGAGACATATTAGTACGATTCCTAACCCAAGTATATATGTGTAGTCCCACAACCCTAAAACAGTAGGGAAAACATGCATAAATCATACCTTACGGGAAGCATCATGAAATCTGCGAAATACACTCAAAAGTTCTTCTCTCCTTAGCTCATCATCATAAGCTTTTCGCTTCAAGGAATCCATTAGAATCTGGGAAATCATTATAACCATACAGTATATCTTAGAGAAGTGTTTTCTCTTTTGATTTTCAGGGTGAGCAAAACCATGTAAACTTACCTCATATGCATTTTGAAGTTTCTTAAATGCTTCTGCAGCCTTTTCATTACCCATATTTTTATCAGGATGTACCAACATTGCCTGATAATCAATGAAAACAGGTTGTTAGTAATGGGGACAATCATCAAGCTACAACAACAAGATACAAAAAGGATTGTATTTAAGTTATAGAAGAAAATTCATCTTTCATCTTACAAGCAACTCAATATCCAATCACTAAAATCATAATTTCCAACAGTACAAAATCTTAGAAAGACTCGATAAATAAATAAATAAAACATGGCTATGCAAGTATTGACATCAGAATACGAAAATAACCTTCTTCCTATATTCCCGCTTCAGTATTGAGACATCTATATTTTGATACCGTGTCAAGCCAAGTGCTGAATAGTGATCAGAGCAGTTCAACAAACGGACAACTTCATCTTCAGAAGTTACATCAGAATCAACTCCACTAGTTGAAGGGACTCCGGCATTACGATCTGCAGATGGTCCTGGTCCATTTTCAGAGGAAGATCCCTGCATTGGTTCATCATTAAATCCTGGTTGACCATGCATTCCAGCCGTTTGCTCAAAAGGATTGGATCTACTCTGTTGATCAATGTTTTTCTTGAGGAAGTATATCAGAATATCACTTGAGATGAAAGCTAAATTGAAAGCCAATAGCAAACCAAGCCACCCAACGTACAGCCAAGCACAATAAACAGAATACCCAGTGGTGATAAATAGTGCCATTCGTTCATGACTTAACATAAATGCCAATCCTGAATTTAAAATAAAGTCAAAGGTTAGTAAATTTGGTAAGAAAATACACCATCAATATATATCGATATTTTGCATACATAGGATGGCCATGCAACACTTCTCCAATACTTGTACCTAATTACCCATACAAAAAGATACACATAAAAATAAACAGAAGATGCTCAAAACAACTCAGAAAGGCAAACAATTCACCTCCAAGGATGATGAAAAATGCTGTTGTCCAAAAGCTACCATAGAACCACAACGTAACAACTCCCAGGATTGCAACTACCAAAATTGCAAGCATGAGGCCAAGAAAAAATCCAATCAAGGCAGCCAGGCCCTGATCAATTACAAAAGCTAGTTAGCATAGGATGAGGAAAAAATTTATAATACCTAACTTAAGAAGAGACTAGAATGAACAGATGCACAACACATCAAAATATAAGAGAGGAGTTAATGAGGTATACCTAGAACTAAGAGTATCATGTTAACTAAGTTTGTCTCTGTTACATATGGGGCTTGAAAGTCAAAAAGTTCCAAGACTGTGACACAACTCATGCTATACAACTTATTTACAAACTGAAACAATTTGCATGATGGGGTTTTAAAATTTGTTATGAAAACTTGCAGCCACATGATGTTTATTAATTGGAGAAAAATTTACCATGTAGCCTTCTTTTTCATCTGCTGAATTATCACTGCTATGTCTTAATCTAAAATTGCAACAAACAGAACATGTGTACAGGGAAGTTGTAAACTGCATACCACCTTATGACAGTAAAATAAAAATTAAAAGAAATGCAATTATAAAGCAATAAAAAGTAGGTCAACATGGATAGATTTAAAATCATACTGCTCAAGGACCATTTTTCCATAGTTCTTTTCTTTCCTAGGACAATTAAATGCAATGTAGGTGATTAATCAACCAAAAATATTAGAATACAGGTTTAGGGGAATGTGTTTAAATGCAAGCGTGGGTGTATTTAACAAAGAACAGATAAAATAAAATTGCATTCACAATAATTGCAAATATTTTAATCATTTAGCTTTTTCTTATTGCATCAACTCGAATATAATAAAAAGCAATAACCTGAGCTTACCAGGACAACTAAAAACTTGAGCATCCCTATCATACTAATCACTGAGAATATGCTGCACCATATAACTGTGAAGAAGGATGTTGTACCCATACGTACAAATGAATCAATACCTCGGAGGGTACAATCCAACCAAAATACCGATAACAGGAGCATAATGCTTCCAAAATGCATGAGCCACTTAAGAACAACAGGATATGCATGCGCAACTTTCGTTCTGATGTTATCATAGGCTCTAATAGTTATGGTTTTCAGAGAAACAAACAACGGCGCCTGCCTGGTTATCCACTCAGTAACTGCTGTGATGATGGAGAACACTGACAACCTTAATCTTCTAATTATCATATTATCAGCAAACTCTACTCTTTCTACCACACCTCTCACATGCAAACCATCCAGTATACAACTCAATCTACTCTTTATACTCTGTTGATCTTGATTACTTCTAGGTAAAGTCCCATTTTCTCCATACACTGGAATTTCAGAATTCAGACTTCCATCCCCTGAATTAATCCCAGAGGACAAGGAGTTCTCCAGATCATGCTTTGCAGCCATCCCTTGCTTCTCTTTCCCGGCAATTTTTTCAGATCTTTGCTCATTGTTATAGTCATCACAAGCAGAGCTAGCATCACATTCAGTATGTGAAAGACCGCCAGCAGGCCTGTCACCGTTTGCAGGTTCCTCTCCCGGGAAAACCTTCACAGGCCCTCCTTTGCCTTTCATACCCGGAAGGACACCACCACCACCCCCTTTCTTGTGGTTCAATCCATGACGGTCCACTCCATTCTTCTGCTGATTACCCTTTCGAGCCATGAAGCAATTAAAACCTTGAGGAATTACTCAAAAGGTGAGTTCCAAGTTATGCCATTTCAAACTCCATTAGTACTAACACCTGATTAGTAGAGGAAAACCAAAGATTAAGCCTATAATCACCACGCCGTAATCAAACAAACATGCATAAAACTAAATTGACATTCAATAGCCCACGTGCTCGATAAACCCTAAAATCACATATTCCAGAGAGGAAAATGATTAAATTTTACGCAACCAACGAATTTTATTTTTTTTTAAAATAGGTGGAATTAAATATATAGATAAATAAGCAAAACAATAGCGAAGTGATCATCATATAGGAGAAACAGAAACAGAAGAAAAAAAAACCCGAGATCATGGCAGAGAAGATACCTCAAGCTACGCCTGCGCAACGATGAGATAGAAGAGAGTAAGTTAGAGAGAGAAAGCGAGAGCATCGAAAACCCTAAAAGTAAAGGATCGTGTTTCTGTGAGTTCTCTCTGTGTGCGTATGAGGTAGAGAGAGAGGGAGGATCAGAACATAAAACGGCTGCAGAGAGAGAGAGAGAGAGAGAGAGGTGTGCAACAGTTTGTTTCTTGACCGAGGAAGTGGCTAATGTATCATCCACTGCTCACATGTTCCATACAACCGAAGGATCGTTTGGCTATTTTGTTTTTTCTTGCTTCTACTAAAACCAACCCTAACAAAAACTACCCTTTTCAACGCACATTTATGACTTTATTGCAAGCCGAACAATCCAAACACACCATAACTCACGTGTCCCTACCTCCTATTCATGCTCATTATATGATTTCAAAATCTTCCTAGATGACCCCTAATTTATTTTAAATAATATACATAACGGGTATTGACTAATGGATTGGATATAACAGTAGTTCCTCTTATATTCATTTTTAAAAAATTGTCATTCGTTCTATAACCATCTTTATCTTTATACATGTTGAGTACATTTTTATACTTGTTAATTAAAAAAATATATCATACAAGTAACATACACTAAAATATAATTTTTTAAATATTTTTTACCAATTAATAAAGTTTAGATCTTATTATTAATTCAATGCTGAAATGGTGTCCAATATTTTATTATTGTATTCAATGTTGCAAGCCTTTTAATTTTTTATTCTCTCGTAATTGATTGCCTATGTAATATGATTATCGATAGTTTTTGAATAATTAATAACACAGTTATAAAACATTATATTACATATTTTACAAAGCAATAAGAATTGTAATTTAAAAACATAATGGTAAACTGTAGTAACTCCAAGACCTGAGCAGTGCTTAACATGGTACAAACGAAGAGTACCTCAATTATCTTCTTTAATTCACACATAGACCAAAAGTTTACAAAACGATCATATAACTATTGATTTGATCATAAGATTTTACACGATATGTGTTGTGTCATTTCGTTGACAAAATCACAGTTAAAGGAAAATGATGGTTTGTTTGACCTCACCGATCAAAAAATAACTGCGTGTGTATTTTCTTGGGTAAGAGTAGGATGTGTCCAATTTTGGATGATGCGTGGAGGGTAGTTGCTATTACATCCTTTGCACAACAACCCGTGAAATTATCAAGTGCGTTGGTAAACTGAGCTTTTAGTTTTGACGAAATTCACTGCCTTTACAGAAGAATCAAACGCTTATGCCATGCTATAAGCATCATCATTTTTGTGAACAAAATTGTCTCATTCTTGGTTAGAATTTCTTGCATGGTAAGAATAAGGACAAATTATTTCAGTTTTGGCTTTTCTGTGTTTTTTCGTCCAATTTGGGCTTAGCCGACGCTTTTTCTCTTTTTTTCCGCTTTTCTTTCATCCTGCCTGCTTTTTTGTGTTAAAACATGGGCTTAAGATTGACCCAGCCCGAATCAAATTGCCCCAAAAGCGTACAGCTGTGCCAAACTGGAAGAGTGAGCGAATTCACCATATTGACCAAAAATTATATAAGATTTCATTTAGTAAACTAACAAGTAAACATATATTCTCCATTCGAGTTTCAAAATTTCTAGAGTTTCCTTTCATGTTAGTTAAAAAGAAAGCGTCCATATGAGTACCAAATTTATTTTAATTGCAAAGATTTTTAGTCTTTAAATACGTACCAGTATATGGCTCACTGATAACATTAAACTCTTAACACTGAATCAATATATATTTTTTTTTCCTTTTGTTCACATTGTCATACGTGAATCCCACTTAGGGTCCATTTATTTAAAGTTAGGTAATTTTGAATTACTAAACGTAAATGAGATATGTCTAAATTAATCTCAACCACAAATTTTACATTGAAATGTATGCTTTGGTAAGAGGAATTAATTCTGTGTTTTCCATAAAGACACTAATAGAGTTGTCATATGCTAAGGATAAAACAACCTTCTCAATTCTCCAAGGGCAGCATTTAATATTAACAAGTGAAGTGAGCTATTGCATTATTAAGTTCCAAACAGGGAAATCTGGAAGTTCTAGTCAATTAGTGCCGTCCATTTAGTATTTAGATAGGTTTTATATGAGATTATCATGATGATTAAGAATCGTGTAATCAGAATGTCCTCTAAAGGTGCTTCATGCTTGTCGCACAAACAGAATACTCATAATCTGAACTCTAAAAGGTTAGATCCTAGATATGAACAATGTTATGTCATTCCATTCATATGAAAGAGGAAGGTTGCAGCACTTGCATGCAAAAGTCGAATAAATTTAACAAACTGAAATCAGAACTTTTCACTTTACATAAGATATAACTATTTGAAGGAAAAATTTTAAGATTGTATTGAAAAGCTTGAAAAGATAACTAGATAAAATAAATAACTGGTCTATAACATTTACAGGGTATATATGGTATTTCTACATTGTACAAGTACCATACCTAACAAGGTATTTATTTGATAGCATATCACTTTTTTGTGCTTTAAGTGAGAGAGAACAACATAATCAATTAGATGGTGCTAAAATAAATATACGGTATCCGAAACATACAATATGTTCAGCAAAGTATCAAATGCTTGAAAGCTGCAACAAGAAATATATGTACAAAAGCTATTTATTAAAGCCACACCTGTTACAAGAGACACTGGTGTAGAGATACAGCAGGACTTCCACGGCAAAACCAACATTATTGTTTTAAAATAAATAGACTATACCAAAAGCATACGATATATTCAGCAAATTACAATGACTTAAAATGAATTTTAAAACTTGCAACCAGAAATATATGTACAAAAGTTATGTGATGTATTCACCAATCACCTTGACTCAATTACACGAGAACATGCTGCTGCGATATGCATGTGCTGAAAACCATAATGGGAGTGTTGAGCTATACTTCACAGAGTACATTTCTTTCCAAACTTGACTCTTGCGATGATACACCAAAATCTGCTTATGAGTTGCCAAAAAAACATATCCACTTGTTTGACTGATTGGAAAAATGCCTGGTACCATTCCTCTTATACACCTCAGACTCACCTTATCTACCATACACCACTCATCTTTCCAGTAATCCTTTAGCACCCATATATTCATCCACGCTTCAGAAATTTGAATAACAGAAAGACAGCCATCAAAGTCCAAGAGATAAATCCTATTTCCCATTCCATAAATCAAGTCATACGGCAATGACATCTTCCTCCAAATGTCACAACTTAAATCAAGCACAAGTATATAAGTAGAGCTAACAGTCAACCAGTGCAACGCATTATTGACAAAAACTACTTGGTTCTTATTCATATGAGTAAAATGGTCATCTTGGAATGAAATGAACTTTCTCCACTTGTTCAACTCCGAATCAAACACCAAACAAATGAAACTTCCATCTGGCCTATGACCAAAAGTGCGATGGTAACCAGCTAAAACAACATTGAACTTCTGATACGTCGGATCGCAGGCCAAGCCAACCAAGGTAGCTTCACCATCTGGATAAAACCGAGTCACAGGCCTTTCCCTACTCTTAGGAAGTAACCTGTACTCTCGAGTGACAGGGTTGCAAACATAGAAGACACCCTTATCAGGAATACTAGAGCAACACAACAAACCACTACAAGATGCTCGAACCTTAACTCTATCATTTAAAAAGTTCAGTGAAAATTCAGACACGCCCCTTAAATTATCAACACAGATTAAGCTAGATTTGGACTCTGAGGAATCTGAAATCTCCACCAGAATCATGGGATTCTTCCTAGATACCTCATTATAGATTTGAATGAAATACTTATCAAAAGACAACCTATACCAAAGTTTGCACACGGTTTTGCACCTAAAAAGGGACTTCACAGGCAACCTTGCAAGAATCTGTATAACCACCTCCTCCGGGAAAACCCCATGTCCTCTAATATCCATAATTGAGAACCTCAAATACGCAATTAGATTTTGAATAGCAGATTTGATAAGAAAATAAAAACCTGGGCAACGAAATAAACAAGGTAAAGATTTGAACTTTGCTTACCGGAACCAAATTCGGGTATCCGATGAAGCTGCACTTGATGGGATGGAGAGAGAGAAAGGATGCAACTTTAAGGTGGGGGTGGGTTTGTGATGGTTAAAGAAAGGGAAAGAGAAAAATTGGTTTTCATTTTCAGTTTACATTTGACATAAGAATAGGGGCGGTGGAATCTCAGTAGTCATTATCGTCACACACACGCAAGAATGAAAATATATATTGCAGTAATGGCGTGGCGTTTACCAAATGAAGAGAAATTTTAGAATAAATGGGTGGGGTGGATCCAGTTTACAGCTTAAGGATTCAGAGAGAAGGAACGTGAGAGCGGACCATGGGGATAAATGGAAGAAGAGAGAGAGAAAGAGAAGGGATCAAAACAACACGTAAAAAGAAGGGAGAAACTTGGGGGGGGGCGCATACGATGAATAATTTATGAAGTTCTACACTTATTTAATATTTTTTATTACATCATATCCCCTATTTACTTTTTATTATTTTAATATTGTTAATCTGATTGAATTTAAACAATTATAAATAATCATTACTTATTAAAAAATATAATATTTATTATATTTTATAATTTTAAAAAATTATCATTTTTAATTACTTATCCTTAACTCTAGGTTAATATTATCTTTAAAATATTTTCTTATATCCAGCAGGTATAAATATCCCACAATTTATTTATTAAATATTTTCCGGCTATATGTCAGTGAAGAATGCTGACTGAGTAAGGATTCCTTTTTGTTTAATAAAAATGTATTTCTTGATAAGTAATAATTTTTGTTGAATTTTTTCTTTAAAAAATTGTTTAAATATGTATTTTTTCAAAAACAAAGTAATTTAAACTCATATAATGAATTGTATGATTTTTTATTTTTTGAATTTTCTATGTATAAATTAGCCTAAATAGCATTTGATGATAAATAGCTTGTGTAATATTGCAGTAATTTACGCGGCTTTATATTATAATTATAGTTTTCACACTTTTTTATGTGACTTTAGGATAAAACAATTATTTTCATTCCCCTAGTTATTAATATAATGACTAACATATATTAAAGAATGTACCTCAAATGGGCTGTACCCTAGATGCTCTAAAAAAAATTCAAAAACTGGTTCAAATTCCCAGCTACTACAAACCCTTGCTCTATATATATAATCTGCTAAGAATTGGATACATAAAAATCGTTTATTGGCACCATCACTAGCATCTTTGTGCTTCACAAAACAAAACAACGTATCTGGTGATAGAGAAGCTAAAAGCTAAAGGCAAAAGAAGAAGTATATTAGGAAAAAAAATTAGCAGGTTTGAGACCATGTAATCTCAACCAATCACATTGCGTCAAGTTTCTAGTTTTTCTTGTAAATTGTAAAAATTTTACACATTAGGGGAACCAAGTTAGCAAGGAGAAGTTTTCTTTGTTGCTACCAGAAAGAGGCCAACCACATGGTTTATTGACCATACAGGACATTGAGGAAAAAGGCTTTGTTTGGCTCAAGCAGAGAGGAAGAGGGAGCATAGGGGGTGAAGGCTAGACTCAATGATTAGTTCACCTTCAGAGAGATTTGTTTCAAAGGCCCTCCTTAACCTTCAAGTCTCTGGTTGGCTTTATGGCTTTTCCAAATCAGGCAAGGAAGTAAGGGAAGCAAAGGAGTGGAGGATGATCAAATTGTTATTAGATAAAAAAGGAAAAAAAAAAAACAATCATTTTTACTATAAATGCATTGTACATGAGGTTATGCTGATGTAATTATTTATGTTTAATGATTTATTGCTTGTAGTTTCTCAAAATTTAGTGAATCTCTGTAAAAGATGATTCTACCATAAAAGAATAATCTAAGCAATGTTTGTTTCCTTAAGAATATGCTTCAAGTGCTTATTATCGCTTCTCATCTTCTAAAAGAGAAATGTGTACCTTCCTTTGCATGACATGATTGCGAGTTGAGAAGTACGAAAAAAATAAATATGAGATAAGAAAAGAGAAGGATATTCAGTGAAACTTTTTATCCATTCAATCACCCATTAGGTGCAATTCTAATGACAATTCATTATTTTTAGTATCATATTTGTTACAGCTATTTTATATATCTCTAATGACGTATACATACATCACAACCGTGTTAAATAATCATTTTTGTTCTAACAAAGGGATCAATGCAGTAAAAATCCTAAACCACTCAGAAAGGTTATAACGAAACCTAAATGTAATCCATTGACTTAAAAATCAGTATGTTCGAAAGTATACAAATGTATAAATACGAAACAATTTTAATTTATATACTTTTGGACATGAATTTTCAGGGAGCATCAATTGACTGAAGAGCATGCCAACTAATGAGTAATCAAAACAAATACTCAATTCATCATGTTCTTAAACATGAACTTTCTTGATTCTGGGTCTTAAATATTTCATACATACATGTACGAAAGTAGTGTAAGTGGGATCCTCACTAAAATTAAAAAGTTGACTTTGCAATTAGCACCAGGTGGACATAAGCAATGCATCCACATATTTACAATTTCCCAGCTACTACAAACCCTTGCAACTAGATAGAAACACATTCAGTAGAAACGGAACAAGTTTAAGCCTCAAATTTGGATAAAGGAGTGATTCTGTGATGGTCTTGGAAAGCGTTTTCAATGAGATAGCAAGGTGACAGCAAGTAATTCACTGATGATCGGGTCCTCATCCCTAAAAGAAACCATAATAAACAAATAAAACCAAAACATTCAGTTTTAAACTCCTGATAAAAGAAATGAGTAATAGAATGAAGCACTCTGCTCCAATAAAAGAAAAGAATGGAACGAATTTTCTAAATACATTTAAATTCTAAACTGCAACTGTCAGAATTCTACACATGAATATGTTAATTTGGAAGAAATTGGGAAATTTACAACTATCATTCATCAAGATTCATATTAAAAAAATATTCAAAGACTGGAAAAGTAAAGCCATAAGCTTGTGCCCCCACCCCAACAAAGAAAAGGCCATAAGCATGAATTCCCCATTACAAAGCCAAGAGAAAAAGAAGGCAAACCTATTGGATAAAAACCTTGCAGTTAAGAGAGAGGGACCTGAAAGAGAAAGAGAAATTATTTCCACCATTAAATGAAGACATTGCTCTAGAGATGCTGATGGAGCGCATCACAGCCTAACTATGAAGCGCAGACTCTTATGCCAACACCTAACACGCATGCATACAAATACATGCATAAAACTCGAGAAAAATTAAATATGAATAACATGACAAAATCTAAATTGATAATCAAGATTGGTATATTCACCTTCTTTCTATGATAATGAATCTCAAAACAAAAACATACTCTGAGGCATCATTTTACAAAGCACTTTGTCTCTATACAAAAAAAATCCAGAAAAAAAGAAGATATATCTTTCAAGAAAAATCTTTTAACATTTTTCCTATGGTAAAAAGCCTAAAGGAACAAAGTGGCATTATTTATTTTAATATTCAATATAATATATTATAATACTAGGGTCCTTGAAGTGGCTCAAGCATCCAAGTTGACACAAATCAGATGCCTAGTGAATAGTGTCCAACATGTGGTTATGTACGACTGTACAAGTGTGGAGGAGTTGTCACTGTGTTAATGTCAAAAATGTGTCGAACACTGAGACACCTCAAGTAAGAGGAGTGTCCATGCTTCATAGAGCATCAGAGCTTGATAATAAGAGACACACAGTTATAAAAAAAATAACATACAATTAGAAGAACTCCACACACAATAGCAGCAACATAAATAAAAGGGCATTGCCAGCACATGGTGAGGTTACTAATGAACTAAATATAATTGTAATGAAGATCAATGAACTATATCAAACATATCACATTAAATGATTAAAAGACTATTTTGCTAAATCAATAAATCAAAGGATGTGTTGTTTAAGTCATACCAAAGAATCAAGCACCCATCTTCCATCAATCCATTCTTGATGAGGCCTCAGGTGACAATGTTCAAATTCCAGCCTCTCCTTTGTAGGCCAAAAATAAATCATATACTTGAAGCCAAGAACACTAGATACCTGACCCACCCACCATCCTTCATGATACCAAGCATCAACCCATTGATGCAGAGCAAAGCGGTGAACATGATTGACATCCGGTGGATATGGCCTGATATTTGAAGCATCTGCTTCTTCTTTAAGTTGTTCAGTTAAGTCATCAGTTTTCAGGGTCAAATACTCCACCAAGTACTTGTCATTCTGCAAAGAGTCAACAACAATGGCAGTATACCAGGCATCTTGGTAGCCTTCTTCATCACTTCTGACCTCTACCTTTGCACCTTTACAGAAATGTACCACAAATTTAGTTTGGGTGTTCATGGTCCTACCTGTTACATCTCTAGGCTTCTTTGAGTGCTCACTAGGCTTTTGATATTTCAAGATTAATTTAGTTCCAGTGAGATTCTTGGCTTTAGGCATTAGATCTCCAAACTTCTCTACCAGCTCACTTGACTTCTGATAGTTGAAAATCCCATATGTTGTCAGATACATTTAAATATTTCCACCATAAACAGAATTGAAAAATATAAGAGAAATTAGGAAGCAAATGATGTTTTTGCACATAATATTGTGTTATATATAACTGTTACAATAGTCTGGAAATATTACGGTAGCATCAAGCTTGAATCCAACTTTAATGCAACTAAACAAACAAATAACAAGTTAAGCACGATGCTGGTGATTTGTTCATGTAAGTTCCTTTTGCTGGTATTGTCCACAAAGTTTATCTTGGAATTTGTCAATTGAAATCTTAAGTTTTAACAGATGCTAGAACTCTTTTGGAGAAACTGATTTATCATCCTAAGTAACAAGATACAGGATAATCTAATCAAATCTAGGGAGAATAAAAGCTTAATGCTTTGACAAGTGTTGGTGTTTGAAGACTAATTATCCTCCCACATCAATTTTGGGAATTGCCAATATCAATTGCAAGTTCAGAAGAAAAATTTTGATTATAAAAGTAGAAGCTTCAGAGTGTTTTACCTTGGAAGACATGACCCATTTCCCATCAAACCAGTCCTGATGAGGCCTTAGTTTAGAATTTTCAAATTTCAATACATCCTTGTGAATGAAAGAAATCAAACATTCTCTGCTATTTAGTACTTCAAGAACCACGCCTTCCCACCACCCATCATTATGCCATGCATCAACTTCTTGGAACTGTTTGAAAGAACCAATAAATGGAACTTCAGGAGGGCAGGGCCTAATAAACCTTGCATCAAGTTCTTCTTTCAAGAGTTGGGTGCCCTCATCCGTTGTCAGGTCCCTATATTCTACTAGAAACCTGTCTTTTCCTATTATGTCAACAATACTAGCAACAAACCAAGAACCCTTATATCCTTCATCATCGCTGCTGACTTCAACTATTCTCCCTTTTCTAAACTTTGATTCCTTTAGTGGTCTCCTACTGTATTTGATCTTATACCTTAAATTTTCAGGCATTGTCACCATCTCAGGGGGCTGCTCCTGCAACTCAAGTTTTCTGTAAATTAGCAAGTATCCAGTACAACAATGTGCGTTCAATTTGAAATTGTAATTGCCATGGAAAAAATGTAGCCCATCACAAAAACATGAAAAAGCATAAAATAATGCCACGGATCAGTTTAAAGTATGCCATTGAAAGATTCTCATTTTTCCTTAAGATATTAATGATGAGTGACTTGTAGAGAATTGTCCACATTCACGTAGACAATCACTCTACCAAAAATATAGATTTCAATATATAATATTTCATAAGATACAGGGATGCACATCCACATTGGCATCGACCTACTTTCCTTTTCAACAGAGGTTCACACAATATGCACAGGATATTTTACTATCAGAAATATCAACTTACAAAATGTCTGACAGACTCCAGTTGGAAACAAAAGATAAGTCTATCCCAAATACCAATGACGATTTAGCTTTTATTTTATGCTATTAGCTTTACCTTTCAGTACTAGGAATCCAACATCAATGAAAAATCATTAGAACAAAACAAACATTAGTTGCTACCAAAATAAATCTATTTTCTTGTGACAATCAATAAGCTCTTATTACAGATCCTCTTCTATTGATATTGTTTGTAGTAAGTCCACACTGCAATCAACAAAACAGATCCAAGTAAGCAACACTGACTGTGAAGATACCACAGGCAAAACTTATAAATCATCTCAAGTGTAAGCAACCAAGCTATCCCAATGTTTGTTAAAATACTAATACTACAAAGTGGTCCTGCAAAGTTTAATAAAATAAAATCAACTTTACAATATCAATAAAGGCATGTGTTAATGCTGCACACAGAGACACAATTTCATTACTATACTTTCTTTCACTACCAGTAAAAAGTGACGACGAAGATCGATGCATCATACTCAAAACACACCCAGTTGTCTTGTTTTTCTGCCAACTCACGTAACTAGTGAATTCAAACAACACGAACACAATAAATAATTTAAATTTGTTAGAAAACGACTAACCTCAATAGAAAATTTGAAAGATTAGAAATAAAACAAAATTAAAATAAATAATCAAGTTAGTACTTCAAATTCGTATCGAATAAATTAAATTATTCCCCTACCTCAAGGTCCCAGATGTGGGAACTAATTTGACCCACAAATTGTCCATTCAAGGACCTCAAGCATAATTTACAATAATAATATTCATACACTTTCATGTCATTTTTCTTTTATCTATTTCCTCTTATCATTTCACCTTATTTATCACATTTTTTTCTCTTCTTTGGTATCCCTCTAGTACTTTTACCTCTACACATCCCAAAAATGGGTATATAACAATGATTATCCCAAAATTAATTAGAACAAACAGTGTATCTTTCTTTAACTAATTAAATATTTTTTATTCTAGAAACAACATGTAGGAAAGAAAAACGAAAAGAGAAGCGATGACACGAACGTAAACCTGTCCAGGAAGAGGAGGGACCCAATTGCCGTGGACCCAATCGCGGTGGAGGCGGAGGCTAGAGTGGTGGACGACGGCGGAGTCACGGTGGTGGGAGCCGGGAAACGAGACGAGATAGCTTGAGTTTTCGAGAATGTCGGCGACGGTGGCAGGGCACCAAGCATTGTGGGTTTGACGGAAAGCGTCGACGGCGTCACCGACCTTGAACCAGGGGTTAACCTGATGAGGAAACTTGGGCCTAACGTTAGCGACGTTGACGTATTCCCTAATGCGTTTGGGGGGTTGGGAGTTAGAAGAAGCGAAAAGAGTAAGGTACTCGAGGAATACGAGGTTTTTGTTCTTCGAAGGTGGACGAACAACAGTAGCAGGGTAATAGCAGTTATTGTTGTCGTCGGGTTTGGTTACCTCAACTTGATCACCCTTCTTGAATATGGAATTGGACATTGTGATTTGTGAGTGAATGAGTGAGGGACGAAGGTGAAAGTGAAGATAGTTTGGTCTCTCTCACTTCACATGAAGAATAATAATGATGGTAACCTCATGCTTCTTCTTCTTGTTGCTGTTACTTATTGCACTTTCTGGCCAAGTGTTGGATCAGTGTGCTGCACCTTCTGTGACCCAATCGCACCCTCATCACAGATAAATTAATTTTGACCAAAATCAAATCAAATAAAATAAAATAATTTAACTCAAAAGTTATAATCAATCCTTTATTCTATCTTATCCTTGATTCTATTGTTGCCAGAAGATATTAATATATCTCGCTATATATTTTAAGTTATTTAAAATATAAATGTTAAATTAATTTTACATGATTTTTTTTTCCCTATTCAAAGGGAAGCTTAAAAACAACTAAAAGAGTCAAGACCAATCTCAATGAAATTTGAGAAAAATAAACCTTTTTAGGTCTAATTTAGTTAAATAGTTAAACACATTAATTTGTTTATCTAAAAATATGATCAAACTTAATAAATTAGACAGATTTAAAAATATTTTCAACCATATCAATCAAATTAAATAAAGGAAATGAAATAAAGAATGAGAAAAGCTCTAAACATTAAAAATCTTGAACCATTATATATATATATGAAAAAAAAAAACAAACACGTTTTAAAAAAATTACTTCTTTTGTCTGCTTCTTAAATGAAATTTTAAAACTAAACCAATATACATTTACAAAAATATTAACATATTGAAAGCTAATTAAACATTGTTGTCATTGCATTACTCTCATGATGTGTCTTCAAGTTATTTTGCTGCTTAAATATTAAAAATTCACTATCATCTTTTATCTATAACACGTAAACTTAGTTCCTTATAGTCAATTACTTTCTTATGAGGTAGTATAAAAAATAAATTAGTCACTAAAGTAGTTAATTCTCTGACGAAATATACAAAATAATTAGCTAAAGAAAAAAATACACAAGTGAAATTCTATTATTTGAGAAGTATTAATGAGTTAAAATTTAAAATAATATTAACAAAACTAAATAAATATAAATAATCAATAAGCTTACTTATTCAATTTAGTTTAAAATATTCTTAATTGAAATTGAATTAAATTTAATATTAAGTCAATCTAATTCAAACTAAAATAGATTTTATTATTTATATTGTTGGACACAAATTAAGGAGCAGCGATTTAATCTTGATAACAGCAAATCTGGTTCAGCAAAAGAACGAGAAATTGTGGGTCTCCAAACCAATGTAGACTTGGTTTCATGATCATGGAATTGTTCACCAAAGTAGTTGTATTGCCACTCCTTAACAAAATGGCGTTGTGGAACATAAACATCAACATCTTCTTGATATCGTAAGAGCTTTACATTTTCAAGCAAACTTGCCTCTCTTTTTTTTGGTGAATGCATTCTTACTACTATGTATCTTATAAACAAACTTCCAATTTCAACTCTTCGATATAAATTTCCTCATCATATTTTACTTTGATCACTTCCCTCATTCTCCTCACTACGTGTTTTTGGTTGTTTATGTTTTGCTAAAAATATGACCATTCAACATAAATTTGACGAGCGATCTAAACCTGGTATATTCGTTGGTTATCCATTTGGCCAAAAAGGATATCGCATATATGACTTACAATTCCGTCAAATCTATGTTTCTCGCGATGTCCAATTTCATGAAGCTATTTTTCCTTTTCAAGATGTTTCATCTTCATCATTTCCTGATGAAATCCGTATTAATACTCCTGTTAATGCGGATGACTTCCTTGATCCAGCAACTACAATTCCAATTTGTCCTGATGTCTCTTTAGCCAGTAATCAAGTTGCAAATTCAAATGACACAACTGTGACTATTTTCACATCCAATCCGGAGGATGATAACTCCACCAATTCTCAACTCCTTTCTGTAGATGTTCCATCAAATGATTTTCCTTCTGCAGAAATGAGTCTCCCTACTGCTAATCATCCTCAACATCCTCGTCGTCCATCACATCATCTCCAGGACTACATTTGTAATCATACTAAATCGACAACAAAATTTCCTTTGGCAAATTACTTATCTTTATCCAATCTCAATAATTTCCATCGAGCCTTCCTCACAAACATCATTGGCAACCAAGAACCAAAATCTTATTATGAAGCTATGATATCAGTTGAATGGTGTGAAGCTATGGCCAAAGAAATTTAGGCCCTTGAATCAAACAACATTTGGTCATTATGCCCACTTCCAGAAGGAAAATGGCAATTGATTGTAAGTAGGTCTACAAAATAAAATATCCATCTGATGGTTCTATTGAGTGACAAAGGCTCATTTAGTTGCTAAAAGTTACACTCAAATCGAATGTATTGATTATCATGATACTTTTGCGCTTGTGGCCAAACTAGTCACAGTCCGACTTCTTCTCTCCATTGTTGCCATTAAAAACTAGTCATTACATCAACTTGATGTTAATAATGTTTTTCTTCAAAGAAACCTCAATGAAGAAATTTATATGAAGCTTCCACCTGGATTTTCTCGTAAAGGGGAAACGTTTGTATGCAAATTACATTAATACATTTATGGTCTTAAACAAGCTTCTTGCCAATGGTTCTCTAAATTTTCAACCACTCTTATTCAAAGAGGTTTTCGTCAATCCATTTTTTATTATAGTCTGTTTACTTACATTTATGGTCAAACGTCTATTTTTGTTCTTGTTTAATGACATTATTATCACCGACAACAAGGATGATGTTATTTCTGATATCAAACAATTCCTTGCTCAATCCTTCTCCATCAAAGATCTTGGAAATCTTTGATATTTTTTAAGCATTGAAGTCTCTCGTTCCAAAAATGTTTACTTACATTTATGGTCAAACATTTGTTTTTGTTCTTGTTTAATGACATTATTATCACCGGCAACAATGATGATGCTATTTCTGATATCAAACAATTCCTTGCTCAATCCTTCTCCATCAAAGATCTTGGAAATCTTTGATATTTTTTAGGCATTTAAGTCTCTCGTTCCAAAAAAGAAATCTTCTTATGTCAACGAAAATATACCCTTGACATCTTATCTGACACCAGTATGATTGGTTGTCGATCGTTTGACTTTCTTATAGAACAACATCTTCGTTTACGACCCAATGATGACACTTCTCTTCCTGATCCAACAATCTAGCGTTACCTTGTTGGATGTCTCTTATATCTCACCGTCACACGCCCTGGTATTTAATATGTTATTAACACCCTTAGTCAATTCATGCAATCTTCATGCTCCTCCCATCTCGATGTAGCCACACGGGTTCTTTGCTATCTTAGAGGTAGTGTAGGTAAAGGTTTATTCCTTTCTACATCTAGTTCTATTACTTTAGTTGGATATGCTCACTCTGATTGGGCTAATTGTCCTATTACTCATCGATCTACTACTAGTTATTTTACCATGCTAGGCTCAAGTCCTATTTCAACCATGATTTCTCGTTATTTTGTTGAAGCATAATATCGTTCCCTTGCAACTCTTACTTATGAGTTGCAATGGTTAACATATCTTCTCTCTGATCTTGGTCTTCCTCACCCACAACTAATTATAGTTCACTCTGATAGTCAGGCTGCCATTCACATCGCCGAAAATTCATTTTTTCATGAACACACAAAAGCATATTGAGATTGATTGTCACTTTATTCGAAAAAAAATTAAAGCAGGTCTTATTACTCCTTCTTATCTCAGATCTCGTGATCAATTGTCAGATATTTTTACTAAACCAGTTGAAGGTGACACTTATCAACGATTCCTTTGAAAGTTAGGTGTCATTGACATTTCAATCTCATCTCTAACTTAAGGGGGGTGTTGGACATAAATCAACGAGCAGCAATTTTTCAGTAATGCAACTGTGACACAAATCAATTGTTATTATTAGGATATCAATAGTTTCAAATTATAGATAATATAGCTGTAAATTAGTTTCCTATTTTTTCTCTATTTTGATTTTAAACTTTTGTAAGCCGGTGTATTTAAGTTTTAACATATCAATGAATGAAAAAACGTTCACAAATCATTTCCTTCTTTTATTTTTTCACGTTTTACATATATAAAATAATTTTTCATCTAAAAATTGATTCAAAATCACAATACCTCAACTCATGACTATCCCAATTAAATGTGTCAAATAATTGTAATTTAACTTAAAATTATAATTTTATATTCTAATTCTTATCATAACCTAAACGTATAAATTATGAGAGAATGTTTGTTGCAATTCTAATTTAATTTTTTATATAAAATATTCTAATTATTGATATAATTGTAAAAAAAATTAGACAAAAATCATTTAAAAGGAATAGTAATAAGCATATGGGTGTAAATAATAAACACACCTAAAATTAAATATGATTCTAAACTAATTATAATTCTACTCAAGTTAAGATTCAAATAAGAAGTTTGGTTATTTTGCAATAATTTTTTTATTTTTTATTACATCATTTATTACACCTTCCACTTTTTCTTGCTCTTTTTTTCTTTCCCTTCTGTAATTCTCTATCTTTTCACAACTCATATATAAGAAGGTTTGAACAAAAGTCTTTAAATAATGATTCTAAATTATAATATAAATTTCATGCATTAAAACGATTTTAATAAAAGCTAATTCCTAGTCCATTGGAAGCATGGCAGAGTGTTCCAAATGCGCGCATGCATGGAAAAAGTGAGATATGAGCAAGAGCAAGCACAAGTTCATACCCTTGCCTCAAAGGTATTTGATGACTTGAAACAATCCGAAAAGGCGTAGATTTTTATGGTACGGTTCAGAACTGTAAAAACATTGAAATCATTTTTTGGTCTAATGAAGATTTTGCTTGAGATATTAAGTGAGAAAGTGATAGCATTGGGCTTTATAGATGTATAAGTTTCAAGAGTGTTTCAATTGTTCCTAAATGTGTAGCATCATAGACATGAGCTTGTTACATAAACTGTTTCACTTCATCACCAAGGAACACCTTGCTGAAAATTTAAACTTGATACTTCAAAAAATTAATTAACATTCTTGTATTGGCATGTTCATCTACTAATATGTTTTGAGTATTTACTTGAGTATATGAATTTTAAATATTACATTTACTATTGAGGTTGATATCTTTCAAAATATCATCAAGAGGTATAAAGGTCTATGTAAAACAATATAAAAAATAATTTATAACTCTCATAACTTATTTCAACAAGCTTCTTAAAATACT